TGAAAAAATATAGTATTATTTTTTTTGTCTAATAGAACAAATATTAACTATTTAAGAGCTACTTAAAAAAATCAACTAGGCTATTGTACGTATCGCGATAGCTTACATTACTTACATTGCATTAAGTAGGTTTCCAGTATTTTGACAATGTGACAGCACTACATGAAAATAGCTCGGCACGGCTATTATGTAAAAAACATCAAAAAAACGACGAAAAGTCACCTTTTTAAGATACGTAATACCCGTGCGGGAATGTCAAAAAGAATGGCTCGAAAAATATTGCCCGTTTAGAAGCAACATAAGATTGATATAGATCTAGGGGATATGACATTAACGTCTCTTATTTTTTATTGTGCAAATGTGTCAAAGTGACGTGTTTACAACTTAACCAGCTTTTTCTGGACATATTCATTTTCCGTGCATTTTAATCGTTAATTTTTGGTTGTTATTGCAAATAAACATTCTGTCTTGTACCCTGATCATGCGCAGTAGGCGATTCCCTGCGGATACGGAGAAATAATGAAGGATAACGTTTTACAGGTTATTATAGATGAAGGTCCAAACTGAGGATTTCTTAATTGCTGCATAGCTGTAAATAAACAGAGTGTAAAACTTAAGCCAGACCTGTGTCGATATCATACAAATGTGTCATCCTTGGCTCCGCCTCCTGACACCGTTTTGTTTATTTCGAAGCGATACTAGATACTATCTTTATGGATCCTACTAAGCTTTTCTTTAATTGGTAGTTATAAACTTCTGTCAAAATTCCAGACAGATAGATTCAAAATAATGACATGGTTTTATGTTCTGTGTCATACAACAGCCACAAAGTATCTCATGAATTTATTGGAGCAAATACGGAATCTGGGCCTAAAATAGATATACGTTATTCAAATTGTCCTCCAGTCGAGTGCTCTATTGTGTTTCCACATGTATGCACTTCCTTGCACTTATACAACTACGGAAAACCCGATAGACGATTACGATCGATCGGTTTTTCTTTTTATTTTTATCAGTGGAAAAGTAGCACCACCCGCCTGTTTCTCGGTTTATAAAAAAATAGGCCAATTTGTGACGCTCCACCGGCCTTATGTTATAGCTTGCAGCTCACAGAGGCCGACGATTGCACAACGACCGACATATGCTACTGTGTTGCACGCTCTGAAACCCACTATAACGAAGATCACCTGGTGATTTATTTGAATTTCGCGAGTTCGCGCCTTTACGCCTTTTCGATTCACTTGATAGCTCTAACTAGCCAAAAATTGCATTTTTAATAGCTGAAACGATGATAGTATAACTCTAGAAGATATGCTCACTTCGTAATCGAATTTCGTACCTCTTTGCGTATGGCGTCACTCGGTGACAAATGTTCCGATCGTCTGTATGAAATGCATTGTATTGTATGAGAACATTGAATTTTTTCATTGTTTTAGGTAAACAGAAAATTGGTTTTGAGGTATTTTGTTCAAATTCATGTCCGAGATTTTAACTTCTCACGCACCAGGCGAGGATAACATTGTATCGCGATTTTGAATTTTGAATCCATTTGTGTGATATGAAATGTATGTCTATGTATAAATAATAAACGATGAGATTCATTCCTTTGGTCTGAGTGCGTTTATGTCAGTAATCTTGAACCCGCTGTGGCTCTAAGGTACCACTCCGATTCTGATTAAAGTTTGAAATAAGCTTATGCTATGGCAATGACGAAAAAGTTTCTTGTAGTTTTTTCAAAACTGGTCCATTACGAAGAAACAAAAAAATAAATACATGTCTCGTAAAACGAAACGTTTCCGGGGCTCCTGATCATTTTCAGATTTTAAGGGTCAAAATTCGGGCGGGTGTTCCAGTGTAGGGAGGAAAATCTTATTTTTTTATTTTTAAGAAAGTAATTCATAAGCTTTTAACTAATACAGATTATTATTACGATACACAATAATATGACTCATTTAGAGTAGAAACTTTATGAACATAATAAAACTTCAATAATAATTTGATTGCTTTGGATAGATTTAAATTATATAATACGTTCGTTATATTTTAGGGCTAGTTAACTTTCTTATCTAATACCAATAATAGGCCAGGCATGTACTGTAAATCACGACACATTTATATTTCGACAAAACATGTTCTTTGTAGGATTTAAAAATTGCTCAGATTTCATTATCTGGCATTTCAGTGTTGTGCGAAAAATTTAATCTCCCACGTAAATGATTTTTTGTGTTTGAATTTTTGATCTAGTCACTTTAGAACGTATCCAGAAAAAATAATCTGGACTAGTATTATTTAATAAGCTGCAAATATAACCAATAGGGCTTATAGTTTTTATATAACCTAGCGGTTGTCAGACTGAAATATTTGTGTTTAAGGATATTAATGAAAATAACAGACATTTAGTCAATTTGAGGTTAGGAACAATTTGAATTTCAAACTGATAATTGACCTGACAAATGATGACAGAGAAACATTTGCATCTTTGCCAGCCCTCAGGTGACCCAGGTGACAAAGATTCCACCATAGAGACCACACCTATAATTCACCATCAGTCCAATGATGTTTTCCTTTTTGTCCAACGCGTTCATGGCGATCGATTCACTACTATGCACTCCACTCCCGACGAATACCAGAATTCAAAAATACTAACATTTCTACAGTACATCGTTAATTGGGTACAGCGTTTTGAGGAGCTTAGAATTTGTTCCTCGATGTCTTTGGGTTTCTTGTCATATTTAGGTGTCCCAGAATTCGACATGAAGCCGGTAACGCGGGCTAGGCCAAGTCATAATAGTTATCAGAAAAATATAAAATAATACTGCGTGTAGTTAAAAAAAAATCGAAAAAATCTACACACTGTAATGGTCTTTTGGTTCCCATTACTAGAAATTAATATTTTTTTTAGACGGACTGGCGGACAGTGTCGTTCTACGTAGTGACAGCAAGACAGATAGTAACACCACGTTTATTAATTATTCATAATTGTGTAGTGTCACCATGTCTGTGAACACCATACAGGAATATGATTTAATTTTACTTCTACTCATCAGGGTAGGCCGGAAGCCTTTTGCCCAAAAATTACTGAGGTTCTAATTGGAAGAAAAGCGAATCACTTTAACAAAAAATGCCAAATCTAGATATGAGATTATAAAAATTATATGAGAAAAGCAGTCAATGTAAAGAAATTAAGAATAATAAATCATAGTTATAGATGATCAGATTGTTAAAGAAGGGCTAATCTAGGTATTTTGGGTTTGTGCACGGATGCTGGATCATATGGATTCTTATTAACGGATTTCAATGTGAGGTTGCACGTTCGTAACTTTTGCTTGCAATTTGATTAATGAACTGAGGCAAGACAGGAATATCCAGGTCGTGGTGAATGGTCGCGTTAGATACATACCATGGTGAATGTAGTATTGTTCGTAGAATTTTGTTTTTTATCACTTGTAATTTTGAAATGTTCGTCTTGGCAGCAAAGCACCAGGCTGCACATGCTCCAACATGCACCTCATTTATGGAGAATGTACTCGTAGATGCAATGCTAGTGCTGCAACTAGGCTTCATCGTGAGAGGTGCCCAAGTACTGCTCGTCATCCCAATCTCGGAGTTTTTGTGAATGTGTACCGTTTACTCTCAGAGGGGCGATTCCCAAATCAAGCACATGGTGAAGGACGGATTTCCTTTCCATACGAGGACGTCGTACTATAAGCAGAAGACCCGAGTACTTCTATACATGGAATATGGAATATAAGTAACCACGTGTGTCCAAAAGTACTATCTTGGGAAAAAACGAGCTCCACCCGTACTCCGTACAGTAAATACAATTTCTACAACCCCGGAATTAACTTCCAAGTGTTGCGTTTTGTCAAAAAATGTTACATAGACACCGGGAAGATACGCGATTTTCAGTGAAAATTTTATGGACTGATAAGTCGACATTTAAAAAAGATGGTAACATGAATCTATACAAGTTACACAAGTGGCATGTAGAAAATCCACATTTGATGAGACAAGATAGATTACAGTATCCTTTTAAGGTGAAAATATGGACCGGGCTTCTAAATGGGAGAATCATTGTACTCTTGGAGCTGCCTGAGTTCTTGAATGGCGAAATTTATTTAGACTTTTTACAAAATCATTTACCAAATTTATGGGAAGACCTGCCACTAACAATTTACAGAAACATGTGGTACCAGCAAGTTGACTGCCCAGCGCACTATGCCCGTTCAGTTGGAGAATATCTTGATGCGGAATACCCGAGCAGATGGATAGGGCGGTCTGGAACAGCTTCGTGGCCAGCCCGTTCACTTGACTTAAATCCACTCGATTTTTTTTACTGGGAGCGGTGAAAGGAAAAGTTTACTCAGAGCCAGTCGAAAATTTAGCAGACTGATCATCCGATGATTTTTACGATGGAAGGCAGTTTATTGTGAAATTAATAAATACATTCACGCGAATTAATAGAAGTGGCGTTACTAACTCTCTTGCTACCACTACGTAGAATGACACTGTCCGTTACGCCGTCTGAAAAAATTGAAATTCTTAGTAATGGGAACTAAAAGATCATCACGGGTGCAGATTTTTTCGTTTTTCTAAGACTATTATTTGAAAAGTACACGACGTAGATTTTTTTATATTGTTCTGATAACTATTATGACTTGGCCTATCCCCGTTTCCGGCTTGACGTCAACTTCTGGCACACCCTGTATATTTTCTGGAAGGGTAGATCTATAGGTATCTATTAAATCAATTATGGCGATTATTAAACAATATTGCCCACAATCTATTGACATCCATGTTATTCAAAATCATATAATAATGCACACGCTTTCACAATCACGTCGATATAATATTAAATCGTATTGTTCGTTATTGTTTAACATGGCACCATAGAAGCCTTAAACCACTTACGAGTATTATTATTCAGACTGAAGGCGCAATATAGATTTTTTGTCGTTAGCGATATTATCATACAACAGACAAAGGGGAATTGACACTACCTGATTTCTAGTTTCCCACAGAGACACATAGATTTCCATTTCAGAACGTGTGTATCCCATATGTTCTTGCGATATTCGTTATATTGTAAATAATAAATGTCCGATTGCGCTTTCGATTGCGTTCGCTCACGAAATAAAAAAATACTTGTTAATGCGTACGTTACATTATTCGGATTATATTATTATTGGGTCGTGTGAATTAATTATGCGTATCAAGGAAGGATAAGTCGATAAAAATAAATAAAGCAACTAAAATAAGCTCAGATCCCATAACACTTTTGATACCTCAATAAATCCACGGTTTAAATGCAGTTTATGTCAATGTCCGTTAACTGAGAAATGCAATAACCTATATACATCCTATACCGCCAGATGCCGCCACCTAGATAATTGCATTCTTGATAGCCGAAGTAAGGGGATTCCAAGGAATTATCCAATAGGATTTGATTTCTATTCTGGATGCCGATAGAACGAAACCGTACATTTCATGTTTCCCTCCGAATTTTCCTCACATCCCACGGAAGCCTAACCTTCATGGCAGAAGGATGGTTACATTTTGTTTATTTTTTCATCAGCTTTGGGTTGGACTTACATAGCTAGAATATATAAATACTGTTTGTGCATACACTTCGAGGCTGGGCGACAGGGGAACATGGATCAAAAACCCTACTATCCGAGTTTTATTGAAAGTCATTCACAATAGTTTGTACATTTCCCATGGATAATCACGGCAAACGTTTATTCAGAATTCTTACTATGTATTTACTTCCTCAACTTGTCATTCGATGTGTGGATTCATATTTCTTTGAATTTATGTTTAAACTTTATATATGAGAACTGAATGGTAATTACTGAGTAAACCTACTTGACATTTTTTCTAGAAAGTGTCCATGTTTTCCTCTCTAAAAAGAAAAATTCGGTCACATTTGGACAGTTGGACAAAAAATCCTAGATCATTCTGGTTTACAGCAAATGAACCCCCAACTTTTTCAGAATTCTGAAAAATTTTACATTCGAATAATTATTTTACTTGATTCGAGCTCTGACAATTTACTGAAAAATTATATGCTGACTGATTTGACAGTCATCAAACAGTCAGAAGTTTCTGTACGAACAGCGGATTAATTGTTGGTAATCGGTCTGACCTCCCTCGGACAGCTCGTAACGTTCTCATGTACGCAATTAATACAGTCAGCGACGTGTCAGTAACAGCTAACTGCGTAAACTAGGTCATGATTTGTCACCGACTATCAGTTTGCTGATTGTCAGCAAACAGGCTGTACGAACAAACCATATATCAGAGATCGACCGATTATACAGTGCTTTTCTTTAATGAAATTGATGCGTGGATACCATATTTTAGAGTAAAATTGACAGATGAAAATGTTAAGGTTGTCGATGGGCGCCATCTTGAAAAAAATAATTACATGAAAACGGGGGTCTTGTGGCACATCATTTTAAAGCTCCTGACGAGTACTTTATAACTCTCGAATATAAAGTCAATACCTTTACCGACTACAAAATCGTGGTTCATTTAATAATTACCTGGATACATTTAACTTGATAATTCGAATAAATACGTTGAGTTCAGTTTAGAAGATGCTGGAAATGGTTGCGTTGAATTTCTTGACACAATAACAGTCGGTTCGTAATTTCGCGTCGAACATTTTCAAACATAGTAACATCGATATTTCTACAAACATTTGTTATTCTCTGCCGTATATTCAATATTGAAGCAAGTTCAGTTTCGTACACTTTTTGCCTCAAATAGCCCCATAAAAAGTCTGCAGGTGTCAAATCTGTCGAGCGAGCTGGCCACTCCACAGGACCTCGACGGCCAATCCAACGACCGGGGAAATTGTTATCTAAATAATTCCTAACTTGTCTGTAGTAGTGTGGTGGAGCACCATCTTGCTGGAATACAATATCAGTATCGAATTCATTAGGATTCGCTTCGACGATTTCGGTGATTAGAGGGTCAATAGTATTTTCCAGCATATCCAAACTCAATTCCCCGGTTAAAGTTTTGTCCGATGAATAGAGGCCCCACAATATGATTGCCCAATATCACAGCCCAAACGTTAATTTTTTGTGGATATTGAGAATGAATTTCCCGGAAGACGTGAGGATTTGTGTCACTCCCATAACGACAATTTTGTCTATGCACATTACCGTTGAGAAAAAATGTACATTCATCACTAAAACAAATATTTTGGATATAGGTAGGATGCCGTGCAATGGTTTTCGTCATAGTCTCGCAGAATTCTGTTCTTCGATCAGGGTCATCTTCAGTTAGTTAATGTTCCATTTGAATTTTGTATGGGTGATACTTATTCTTTTTCGAAAGTCTATTTACTATGATCTTCGCAATTATTTGAACTTGCTTTTCTTCCGGGATGGTCGGATGACCTGGAGGCTTTTTGTTGTTTACACTACCAGTAGCTGTAGATTTAGATACAAGTTCCCTCAAATATTTTCTACAGATAGGACGATTTGCTTCGATTTTTTTCCAATGGACGAGAATTGACCATTTTAAAAATAGTTCAAACAGTATCTAGCACTGAAACCGAAAACTAAATAAGAATATTTTAAGCGTACAATGATGTTTGTTTTTGTACTAATATTCTTGTCACTGTCAACAAAAAATAACAAAACAAGTTTTTATCGCTGTTGCTGTGGCTACGGCAGGGAATTACAATTATTTGTAGAGATATGCATGTTAGTGGGTTTGTGTTCAAGTAATTATTAAATGTACCACCATTTTGTAGTAGGTAAAGGTATTGACTTTATATTCTAGGGTTATAAAGTAGTCATCAGGAGCTTCAAAATGATGTGCCACAAGACCCCCGTTTTCATATAATTTTTTTCCAAGATGGCGCCCAGCGGCCATCTTGACATTTTCATCTGTCAATTTTACTCTAAAATATGATATCCACGCATCAATTTCATTACCTCAAGTTTTAATTTTTGAATTGATCCGTTAAAAAAATCAAAAGGGAGGGGGACATTAAAGAAAAGCACTGTATATTATTAAAACCGATACCGATATAACAAACGCCGATATACCGCCGTTATCGGCTTATTGGCCGCTTGTTTTTTTTCGTACACAATCCGGGGTATCTTGGTCGGATGAGTATACGCTATACGTGGATCGCTAACAAGTCTATTGACGGCTGCACATACCACGTATGATTAATAAGTAAGCTTGTATAGTTTTTTGTATCATTACACTAGAAGGACATGGGTCCCGCACCTGTATTACGTAACCTAAAAAATGATACTGAATATATCGATTTTTCATGAGATTATGTAGGTTTTTTTGACTTTATGTAGGTTTTCCTATGAGATGTCCCCTTTGAACTTCCACTTCATGTTCACTTGGAGTAGGCGTGGAATGAACTAGCGGCGACCTAGTGCACAAGTTGACGTATTACAGAATTTTTGACGTATAGGTTTTTTACGTAACAACCCTGCCGTTCATCACAACGTAGCGCTACTGTATTCGATCACTTTTCCCTACACTATGCCGGAAGCAACATTCAGGCCTAGGTCTGTAAGACGGCTCTTGCCGCTCTACATCAACAAAGGTTCTGGTCCGGACTTGGATTCCTGATGTGTGCAGTGAAGCTTGCCCCAGTTCTACGTCTCTTCCAGATATATTACGAATCCGGCACCGTCCCAGAAAACTGTAAATTTGCTCATGTCCAACCCATCCCAAAAGAAGGAGTCCGACCCTTACAACTACAGGCCTATATCTCTTCTTTCTGTTATAATTATAAGTAAGGTGATGTAGAGGTGCATAAATCGGGAGTTTCTGCACTACCTCGAACGCCACGGCTTGATTAGCGACAGGCAGTATGGATTCCGGCACCAACGATCCACAGAGGACCTCCTAACTTACGTCACGCAATTGTGGACTAAACTCATCCAATCTTATGGTGAAGCTCATGTCGTTGCTCTTCATATCACGAAAGCGTTCAATCAGCTGTGGCACGCTGCCTTCTTATGAAAACTTCCATCATGTGGCCTCCCAGAAAAGCTTTGCAGATGGGTGGCTGACTTTATCTTTGGCCGCAAGATATCCGTCATAATTGATGGGTTTTCCTCTTCATCCCACAACGTCAATGCGGCTGTTCCCCAGCGATCGGTCTTAGCTTCGACACTATTCCTCTTTCATATCAACGACTTCCTTTCCTGACACCCCTCTACATGCAGGATTTCAGAGCGACAAGCCGATCTCTGCCAGTGAGCTGTAAAAAAGAAGACTAGCAGCAGCTTCGTCTGTGACGAGAGACGTGGAAGTTATCGCTGCTTGTGGATTCAACATTTTTGTACATGCTTCCAAATACAGTAATATCCCTTGATGAACAAAAAGCGTCCTAGCGCTCATCAGGTTTCGATGGATGAGCGAGTTCTGCCAAAGAGTCGTTCATTTCGGCTGGTCGGTGTCCAGATCACCGAACACTTGATCTTGCACGAACACATCTTGTCAATAGGGCCAGCTGCTGGGAAAAAGCTAGGCTATTAGCTTAGGGCTAAGAAGTACGTTTCTCCGCATGACCTCCTCACTGTACAAGGCCCAGATAAAACCGAGCCTCGAGTACCGTTCACATGTTTGAGGTGCTGCCGCCCCAACTGCATTATCCATGCTCGATGGTGTTCAGAGGAAGGCTATCCGACTGATCGATGGCTCTTTTCTAACGGACAGTTTCGGCACCCTTTCGCACCGGCGGACCGTCGGCGATCTAGCTCTCTTCTATTATAAGATTTGTCAAGTGGGTCCACTTTTTAATCAAAAACTACTTCACCGCCTTTCACCCTCTGCCCAGGGTCATTCCGTTGAAAAAATTAAATGAGAAGGGCTATCGAGTAATTGATTGTTTGAAAGGTCTTTCTAAGTCCTTTATTTTGACGTTTGATTTTTTAAAAACAGTCGTTACATTTTCGAGAAAATTAGAAAAGCCTTTATTTATCTTAATTTGCTGAAATAGGAAACAAAAACACACGAAAATATTACTTTTTATTCAAATAAGTGTTCAAAATGTTTTCCGTTAGTGTTTGCCAAATCTACAATTCGTTTATAATTTAAAACGGAAACTACCAACATAAACAGCAAGTAATTCGGGAGATTAGTCGTGGCAACAACCAAATAACAACCTGAATTTTTTTCTGCATTCTTTTCATCGATACAGATATCCTGGGCGAACTGTATTTATGGTCATACCTGTTTAGTTATTTGTTGCTAAGGGAAAAAAAGAATTTTAATTTGCTATCACTTACCTTTGTGACAATCTTGAAGTCATTTTGGAATAAATCTTAATACTTCATTACGCAAAATTATTGATGCGACTGGTATTTCATTAGGCTCTGTACACACAGTTACTAAACTCCATAAATTTCATCCATTCAAAATGAAAATATTGCAAGAGTTAACCGGAGATGATTTCGATAGACGAGTTGAGTTATGTGAACAAATGACTGCATCGAATAATGATAAGACCATTCATGTAAAGAATATCTGCTTCAGTGATGAATGCACATTTTATCTAAATGGATTTGTTGATAAGCATAACTGCAGGTATTGGAGCAATGAAAGTCCTCATACTTTTGTAGAAGGGCATACCCAGTACCCCCAAAAAACTAATATATGGGCAGGTATTTTAGGAAACAAAGTGATTGGATTATTGTTTATTAATGGAAATTAGAATGGAGACATTTATTTGGATATGTTGGAAAATACCATCAATCCGCTTATCACTGAAACCATTGAAAACTAAATCGAAGAGGATGGAAACCCTATACTTGATGAGGGTGAAATATATATCTTCAGCAAGACGGCGCTCTTCTTGACTATGTCATTCCACATCGGCAATGGCTAGACGACGAGTTTCCAGATAAATGGATAGGGCGAAGAGGGCCTATAGAATGACCTGCTACATCTCCTGATTTGACGCCATTAGACTTTTTTCTATGGGGCCATTTGAAATATATTTCCTCCCCAACCTGAAAATTTGGATGAACTTCGTCAACGCATCATCGAAAGCTGTCATGATATCCCACAACATATTTATGAAAATGTCCGTCAGGAATTTGAACATCGAATATATCAATCACTGTTTGGCCAATAACGGGTAACATCTTGAACACTTATTGAAATAAAAAGTGATGTTTTCGTGTATTTTTGTTTTCTATCTGAACAAATTAAGATAAAGATTTTTCTAATTGTCTTGAAAACGAATCGACCGATTTAAAAAAATCAAACGTCAAAATAAAGGACTTCGACAGACCTTTCAAAAAAAACTATTACATTGTCATTTAAAATTGTTGATTGAATGACCCTGGGGGGCAGAGGGTGAAAGGCGGTGAAGTAGTTTTTGGTTAAAGAGTTGTCCCACTTGACAAATCTTTTGACGTGTCTCGGCGTTTTTTCTTTTAATCAGTGGTTTTCGATCAATTCGTGGTGGGAAGTTTTCAAATGCACACCCTGTATATGATATGTAGTTTTTTTTTGTTTCGTTAGTGTGAGTAGTTACGTCACTGACACTATAGGGACGTAACTACACACTAATCTGTTGTACTCATCCTATAATCCACTATGAGCACCTTAATGCGAGTTTATTTATATGTAGTTTAATTTTGTTATTACTTACGCTATATTTAACACACCTCCTGTATGGAGAAATAAGAAATGTGCAGTTCTGCTGTCTATAACTGCAATCTTCTATTGATAATTATCTTTTATTAATCCTTAATTATCCGTATTAACGATATACTGTAATACACATTTACATATAAGACTGTAATTATATTACAATGGGTTAAGGTGGTGAACAATTTTCACTAGTTCTGTATACTGATTGAATGTTTACGCAGGTACAGACGATAGGTTGCTCGTTGAAATAACCAATTCGCAAGGTGAATTGCAATGTGGAATTTTTAGATGCTTTTCCAATAAATTTTATAGAAGCCCGAACATTTGACTATACGGCACCTTGCTAACTAGAGGCCGTGTTGAGTTTGAATAAAGTAAACTGCGTGGGGTATTAACGAAATTCTTTCCTATTTGAAAGGGCCATGCATCCCATTGAATTTGTAATATGACATCAACCAACTGTCCGCTGTGGTTTCAATTACTCTGCCACATAAATCCAGCTGAATTAAAGTTATGGCTTTGGTTATATTAGCTTTGTGGGCATTAGTATATTGCAACATTTGACAATGACTTGCGGCTTCAGAAAACCTCACAATAAAAATCTGATGGAGCAAAATCCCACGATCTTGGTGGTCAATTAATTTATGCCATCTCTACAAGAGATGACCCTACCCTCAATGCATCCATGAACATATTCGCCATGTGAAGTGTAGTGTCACCCACGTGCATATCGTTCAATTTAGGCCAAAATAAATTGGTTATATTTGAGCTGGAGCGGCATTTAGGCTTCTGCCTGCGCGGCTGCTTCGGTGTAAAAAACGCATTTCCACCTTCTTGATTCTTAAAATGAGGCAGAAAAATATTTGAGAGAAATTCGGCGTGGTTATCTTAGCTTTCAGTAAACTGTATTCCTGACTTCTGATGGGAGAGTCGCTCTCCTCGTCATTATGCAGAAAACATGTGGAAGACAACTTTGCGACGAAATGAAAGTAAAACACCTAAGGTCATATTATTTTGCCGAAAATGGATGCATTCACAAACATGTCTAACAAAGGTCTACTGCGCTTAAGAATTGACTCCCTGAAGTTACAGAACCAACTGTAAAGCATTATCGTGGGTATAGTCCAGTGTTGAAAAGTTTATAGAACTGCAAATACCTGTAATAGAGAAATTAGAGGCATACCGGCCACCACAAGGGGTCGGCGCGTAAGTCATATAACAGGACCTTATGCATCACTACATTCCCTTCTAGCGAAGTTGAGTATAGCCGTGACTCCCAGCACCTCAACAAAGTGGTGAACCCCAGTATATACTCACAGCGACACAGAACATGCGCCGGCGACTCTTCCTCTACCCCGCAACGCTCACACATGCGATCCTCAGCTACTCCACGCCTCATTGTGTTATGGCCAGATGGCATTCTCATCAATAAGCTTAGGTTGGCTCTATCCAAAGTTGAGCTAAAGAGTCCATCCGTAACACTAGGTTCTAAGATGCTAAGGTTCACTTGCCTATCAGAGATGTCTAGATATGCTTCTCCATTGCAGAAAGTGTTGTTTAGCAATCCTGTTCTCCAATATCCTCCTGACTCTTAAAGCGGGCACCCCTAGGGCTGGCTCAGGACCAAGAAGCTTGCTCACTGATCCTGCTTTCGCGAGAGAGTCCGCCTACTATCCAGGTAATCTTGCAGGAACTGCGCAGCCTGGCTGTCGGAAAAAATGTTATTCTTCTCCTAGGCTGTTACCCTTCTAAAATGCGGGATACGCAAGCCAGAATTGCATAGATTTTCCTCCGCAAAAAAAAAGTGGTGTATCCGCCGAGAGGCAGATATATCCCAAAGACTCCGGCGCCGTCCGAGTACCAGACCTGCCCACTACCTTCGGAGGATGGGATCCTCGCTTTGCAATTCGACTAAGATGGCAGTGTGACCCTTGACAAGATTAATAAAGACCCAGCTGCAACCACTAAGGAACTGAATCCTTATTGCCATGCAACTAATAAAACTAGCTGCAACTCCATGCTGAGCATGTAAGGCTTCGACTAGGCCAACAGCTATAAACAATTAATTATGCAAAGTAGGCAAATTTTGGAGGATCAGTATTACTATGATCCGTCAGTATTTTTTATGTAATGTATTGACCATGTTTTCAGGACGCCGGTAATTATTGATATTTATGACGGAATTTTAAATGTGGATAGATTAAATTACAAAACATCCGATCCGTTATAATCAAAATACATCTAAGATAAGACACAAACATTTTGTAAGTTTGTTCCATTTTGGTGAACACAAGGAAACTTTCATTTTTTATTACAAACTCAAACAGGTGATTATCGAAACTGCAATGGGATTCGTTACAATAATACTGTTAACGTATGTGGATGATAATTACTGGGTAATTTTCAGTGCATAATAAAGTGTAATTATATAGTAATAACCAACGATGAGTCAATGCTGGTAGTATATAGTATTTGTTGTACATGAACCAGAATCGAATTTGATATTTAGTCCGGCAAGCAAAACCCAAATTTACAAAAATAAAATGGAAATTTGACCATGGTTTTTTCATTTTTTGATCCATATTACATTTTGAACTTTTTTGAACTGAGGCATTTTAATATGCGTTTAACAAAATTTGAATTTCCTATCGTTCAAAATGCTAGAATATGCATTTAGAAATCTATTAATACCACAACATTTATATCATCTTGGTAACAAGAATAAGGCATTTACTCTGCTCCACCAAACCGGTTCACCTCCATATCGAAAAATGATCTGATTGCAAAATAAAAAAGACAATATTCGCGCAAAATATTCATTTTTTCGTTGTTTTAAATCAGGAAGGTTGGATGGAATAACTTGTATACAGGTGAAGTTATAGATCTAGTGCATGTAGTAACCCTGCTCAGCAACTGTTATGCCTCCAGCAGTTTACCTCAAAAATGATCGACGAAATAGTATAAATATAATTTCTTCAGACAACTTTAACCATACCAAATCAATTTTAAAGTGCATTTATTTTTTTTCAGTTCTGCAAACGCGAAAAAATGGGAGATAGAATTGGCGACACTGAAGAGCAATAACGCAAGATTGACAAGTGCACTGCAGGAAAGCACAGCCAATGTAGATGAGTGGAAGAGACAGTTAGCGAGTTTGAAGGAGGAAAATATGAGGATGAAGTCCAAATATCAATCTGATCTCGAAAATAGTAAAGGTATTTTTTTATTTGCTTTTTGGTTGCAATTATAATGAGATAAAGAATAAGACATCTTTTCTAAGTAAGTCTTACTATTTGGTATATATATATATATACTTAGTACCTTTAAGCTAACTTTTATTTTTATAAATTGCTCTGTTATTGGCGATAAGCTTTTGCGCAATAAAGGCTTATTATTATTATTACTCGTATATTTTAATGGTACATGACATACCTTGTTGGAGAAGTATAATAATGGCCTTCTCCACCGAGGTATGTATGCAATTTTCCACTAGCTGTGGTATATTACCATATGTAATTTGAAGCTGTTAGATAAAATAGTCCACACTTCAAATAGCAATGTTTAAATGGCAATACTGAAGAATTATAAATGCAAGCACATTTAACATGAAATCGATTGCAAATGTTTTTACTAGCAGCGAATTAAGTTTATATAGAAAACTAGAGTTGTTAAGTGTTATCCCATTATCAATATCTTTTTGAATTCTGAGTAGAGTTTTTTACCATTTTTCAGATTCTCAAAATTAAACGCTAATAAAACATTTCCCCTGTTTCGGAGATTTTAGAATAATGGCAAAAACTCTTATTCAAAATTCAGAAGTAATTCGGCACAATAAGAGTATGAAAAGGTGGTCATACTGATAATAGAGGGCGCGAGTGTGGTTGGATAGTATGGTTTCGTTTATGGTGGCCCAGTAGGGATTGCTTTCTTTAGATGGCGTTGCCACTGGAGGTACTAATAAGTAGTAGAGAGTATTATTTGTAGTGCGCCAATGATCAGTAATACCATCTATAGGCCAACAATCACTGACAGTTGAAATCTTATTCCAGGCAGTAGTTTTTTTCGCGACCGTTTCTTAGAATGTGACCCTACTAATTCGACGGACGTTAGGCTTCGATCAGATGCAAAGAATATAACTTTTTCATATATGAATCAACAAGTCCAGTTTTCGATTTATCCTATCTAGCAAATATCGTAAGGTGCTCCGCGAACCTTGGATTCTTATCAGTATATTTATATGAGAAATATAGTAAATAGAAATAAAAAAGATGAGTAAATCCTTTAGATCTGACTCCTTCGACTGAATTTGGTATCACAAGGTTATGTGTCAATGAAAGTAACAACAACCACGATTGTATAAAGGTCTCTTTGATTGAAGTGCACCAAACCATCGATATTTGAATTTCTTCAGTTACAATAATCTTACAGTGAGATTGGACTGAGATTTGCTCACATTGCTTCCTATTCATATAATTTATCGGTAAAGCACCATTACCAAACAACCTTATTATACAAGTGTACAATAAACGGTTGCTATATTTATTTCAAAATCGAACGTAAAACTAGGTATTCTGCAACCCGTCCATATACTTTCACATTTCATTGCAGATGTGAATAATTGTCGATTAGCAGCTTTTTTAATTTCCATAGAACGCCCCATTTTCGTATTATTATAACGGTTCAATTCGCCACATGTCATACTTGATGTTGGATAATCAAAGGAGGAACTCTACTTCTGATGAAATCACTATCAATTAAGTGTTCGCTTATGTATATGTATTTCATGCGTGAATTTATGCAGAATACAAAAAAATTATGTGACAGGTTCTTATATCGTGCACTCGTTCAAAAAGAAAATAATGCTAAATTAGTTTCCCCGTGACATTGCGCGGACTTTTTAAGTCGTTTACACCATGTAAACTTTTGGCTCTACTTTTTATTCGAATCAGTGTTCCTGGAAATGAATACTTTCCAATTTTATTATTATTTCGACGACATATCAATTACTTGCTCCCAGAAAGTATATACCGAGTGCAAAATTTGCCCAAACCCCAAGAATAAACTTTCTCATTAAAGTTGTGAAGTAACAGTTTCATTCTCCTTGACATTGCGATTAGGCTTCGGTCAGACGTGGAAAAAATAACATTTATCCTCTGTCAATGTCTGACATGAAATGATTCTATTGGTATCCGAGAATAAAAATCAAAACCCGTTGGCTCATCCCTTGGGCGAAAATACAGAAGATTTAAATAAATTCTTTTTCAATTCAATAATATCAAATACTTTTTTTCCAAAGCACGAGCGATAAGACATCAACCTGGAAAAATAGGTGTAAACAATCTATTTCAGCTATTAATATCGTTGAAATAATGAACTTAGCGTTTCGATTATGTTTTGTTGTAGGAGGAGGTGATATTGCAGATGAATTGAGAAAAGAAATTCATTCGCTGAGGATACGTGTAGAACAACTAGAATCAGAACTAGAAGCGAAAAATAGTGAAATCAAAATGCTGATGTCCTCGAATAAACACTCAGAAATACAGGTAATTAATTCTATTATATCAACTTGTTCTTTCATAAATATGTACAACGATCGAAATAACCATTTTGTTCCTTTTGGATGTTCTGTACTGAATGATCTATGCAGTATTCATACACATCTATATATGAGAATTCTTCAACTATCCTTGTCCCTGTCCGTTTGGCAACTAACTTGTCATGAGCGTAAAATTTAAGTTTATCTTTTGTTAATCTTTGATATCAAATGTAACAATTCCTGGAAATAAAATTACTGAACAAGGACGACAGTTGGAGCTAAAACTGGAGTATTTCCAGAAACTGAATCACAACAACTGTCGTTGTCTCACTCTATTTGTGCAAGAACAAGCAGTTAGGAAAGTTAATCTCGGCCTATGATGCAGTACAATTTGCTTCATTATTTCGTATAACAGATATATAACCGCCATTATCGGTGAACAGACATTTAATTATTGAATGATACATATCCTGTAAAGTTGCCAATTTCTGGCCTACTGGTTTCTTGAGGAGAGCATGTTTTTAGGCCTCATAGAATCCCTAAAACCTAATTAGAACGAGTTTGTGTTGTTTCAGTCGCTCCAGAAAGAAAACCACGAGCTCCAGAGCACCATTAAATTGGCCCAAGCAGAGCTGGAGATTGCATTGAGCGCCCATGAATCACAGAAACAAGTCCTCATCACTCTAAACACTCAGTTGGCAGCTAGAATCCACGAACTGGCCACCATCCATGATGAAATGTCAACGGCTATACAGACGTGAGGCAGGTTGTTGTAGCAACGATTGTACGTAGCATACGTATAGAAGGGAGGGACGAGGCTTGAAAAAGTGGGCGGTGCCTATGCGGATAGGTGGCGCGTGGAAGGCTGAGGCCTATCGAACACTAACTGTGAGCGAAAATCACATCCAAATTACTTAATCCTACGGTGGAGATGTTTGAAGAATGTCTACTGACAACTTCATTCTTTATCGAACCTTGTCCAGCCGCTCTCAAGTGAAAAGGCTTATAGTATTATCAATCAATACTATTTAGTACTATTATTTGGTGAAACGAAAATTCATACCATCGTCGATTAAGGTATGATCCAGATTATTATGTTATAAAAATGCCCTGATGTTTCGCGAACCCGCGCCCTTATTACGCATTTGCGATTGTCAGATTGTGATTTCTTAGGTTAGATTGCAACTCTTTGTCAGATTGCAATTCTTGCAAAATTCGTAATGTCAACCAGCTATCAGTAGGTTGCATTAACTGTGTGTGTTACCTACTTTGAGAGATTGTGGCGCCAGTATATTTTGCTGTCCCCATCCAACCCTTTTCTGCTCATGGATAGCATATACGGTCATAATGTTTGCACATCGGAATCAAGCAGATAAAAGCGATCTTTGTACTCAGTCCTATTTCCTCCGTCTCTTTTTGTTCCAAAAGTACTCCATATAAGACTACCACCAAAAAACCATAGTAGTGAAATAAGGATTGCATCTCTTTAGGGACATAAAGCGGATATTGCGCCATTTCTCTAGTGGCATGTCAACTACCTGAAGAGATTAATACCTAGTATCACCTGTAAAGAAATAGTACAACTATGCGCTGCAGTGTTGTCTTCCTGCTATAGTATAGAACTTACTGCCTAGATCATAGAAGCTATAAATGGTCCCAGTTAGTGCCATTTTCGAAGTAGACGTTACATTAAAGTCAAACAAAATACACCAACAGCACTTAGTTGACGATTAGGCAACACACACAGCTACTAAAAGTGGTCGATAACTAGTACCTAGTTTAAATGAAAGCGAGTGTTAAATTGTGTCTGAAAATTGTCATCGCTATCACTTTTAATTACGTAATCAGGGTGCGGGACTGTCAGATTTGCGATGTCTATTTTGTGCAAGCCGGAAACATTATTGTGTTTAATAAAGGTAGTAGGATTCCTTTTGATCCACTGATGTACCACGCATGTTAAATTGATGTACATGGGCCCCTCAGATGTCAAGCAGAGTTAGTGTTCTGCATATAAATCGCGTCAATGTTATTTTATTGATGCTCAATTTTTATTTATTTTATAGTCCAGCCATTATAACATTAGCGAAATTTCATCAGGTGTCATTGTTTAACTATATACCTATAACGACAGATCTTCTCATCCGCCATTTTGAGTTCATTCGATACAGAGATCAATCGATCCAGCTGAATATATTTGAGATGATTATGCTCATACAGGTACATCATTATGTACACTGTTGTATATGATTCAATCAATCGTTGTCGAGTGGGTTTTCTTGAAATGCTTAAATCGTAATTTAAAAAGGGATGACAAGTGTGTAAGAAGTCGGAGCGCAAGGGAGGATTTAGAGGGGGGCGAGGAGGTCTCACGCCCCTATAGACGCTTAAGTCTGCCAGTGTTTTCAACAATTATGGTATATATTACCGTATTTTAGTGTAAATATTACCTTTCTAGACCTGAATCGTGATATATGCACCTCCTCCTAGACGAATCTCACCCCCGCTCTACAATTGCCACAAGAGCATTTGCTCTCAGAAGCGATACTTTAGTCACCGCCCCCCCCCCACCCCCCGCTCTTCAATTTTTTAAGCTACCTCCTTCTGAGACGATCGTCTTCCTAAACATGAATGTAGCGATCATCGCTGCGCCATCTCCCGCCCCCTTAGACAAATTTCTAAACCCGCCCTCTATAAGTGTTCCGAGCTGGCACTCTGAGATAAACAAATAAAATCAAAATGGCGGTAGAAGTACTTCGTGTTACCACTGTTACCTGAAATAGCAATTTATTTTTTAAGGCTTAACTGAAACGATGACGCTGCTCAAAACTTGTGTGTTATTTCAATACGTAGGGTATTTAAAAAATATTTGATCAAAAATGTCGGACACCAACGTGCCATTTAGACTTACAATTTGAAATGCCAAAATTAACGCACATTTTTGGAAAAGATTAAAATGAGCTCATACAATCTTTTTATGAGCATAAATCTTGAACAATCAGCCATCACGTTGTTTTGCAAATTAATATAAAAAGAGCTTTGCCTAACTTTCGCCTTCTTGAATCATCGCAAATTGCGTAGTAAAAATTATCCTGTCACTAAAAGTCTTTTTTAATCATCCCTCATGTATGTAGTTTTTATTGGCAGGCCTCATACCAAACAAATTTATATCCACATTAACTTTCGAAGGCAGCAACCAAAAATATTCCAGATTTAAGCAATAGATAAAACTTCATTCATGAATGATTATGTAACTGTCAACATTTTTATTCAGGTCGAATTTATTTTTTGAAACAATATATTGCTGGTATGGACTGAGGGAGCGCAAGCTGTTAGGTGTTGCTGTGTTGTAATGATTTGAAAAGTGGATAAAATGGGACTATGGTTATTACAATCAGATTAATAAGTTTTATGTCGACTTGGCACCTACGTCTCACTTTGACTTCTACGATAATTATCAAAATAGTCTACTCAAAACACATTCGCAATGAAAATTACTATTTCTTCAAATTTCAGTTGAATTGTAAAGAAACAGAGTCCTAAAATGCAAACCGTTTTCCTCATGCAGAAATTTACTTTTGCAATTATATAGAAAAAGGAAACCTTTGATAAGAGTTATTTTAACCCATTATATTAGGGGAGCCCAGGATGCTAAATGGAAATTCGTAGGAACCTATATTGTTACATGGAGATACTGGAGCGCGCTAGATATTGGTAGTGTATATGCCAAACGTTTCTATGTTATTGGAGATATTTTAGTCTGCCAGTTTTCATGTCGTATGGAAGGGTACAAAATAGAAAAAAAATTGAGGGGATGTTAAATATTACCAGAAGAAGCTCCCATTCAAAATTCTGACGATTCGGACGTAAGGCAGGCTCGGGGCGGCTTTTTGAAAATGTTATTTTGAATTTGTACGCCTTTTGTACAGACGATTCAGCGTCATACCCGGGACTTGCCGACTCATAATCTGAGATTAAGAGGAGGGATTTTCTAAATCTGGCAATTTGAATGAAGTTATTTGTTTTTTTACAAAATTGAATTCTGTTGAATAAAATGCATGGAAAAATTACGCCAATAAAAATCACTTTTTTTTAATTAGAATATATATATATATATTTATATGGGAATGATTACATAAAATGATAATTTTTTCAAACAATTTTCTTTAATCTTCATCCTCATCCGTCGAACCATCTTGACGATATTAAAATATATCTTATTCTGGAGTATCTCCTAGAATATCAAGTTTTATGACCACATCTTCATAGGGTTATTATCGATGATCTTTGAATTGTGTTATTACTCCACTTTCTGACAAATCTTTCAACCTTCAAACTTGCAAATGTCATCACTTGATTTTTCATTGGTTCGTGAAATTTTTCTGAGTTTTCTGAATTTAAATTACATTACAAGAAACATACTTTACTTCACAACATGAGAACGTCTTTCTTAGTGAGAATCATGTTTATTTTTTATCAAATTTCCTCCAGTATTTTTTGAATCGATGTGCACCTCAAAAATATTGAAAAACAGAAAATATTTTGCCACTACGTAAGTGAAATATAACGTACTTGATTCAGAAAATCACGGTTATGCTGTTTTCAGGCTTTTTAACGAATAAACGTTTTCTGAACTAGTTTTTCAAATTCATCATTTCTAAAAATATCCATAAAAACATGCATTGTTTTTACTTTATTGGCGGTTAAATCGAGGTTCGCATAGTATTTGAGAAGACAAGTATAGTGTCAATTTGAAATTCAAATTTTTCCCAGCTTCAAACCTCGCTTCATCTATCAAATCCGCCTTTTTCTCATCTACTTTTGACAGTTTGACCGCCAACCACACTAGCGCTGCCTAGCGGGAGCAACATTGGACATCGCTGCCATTACTCGGAAATCTTGTTATTTTATATATTGTGCAATTTTTATATGCTAACTTTTTCTGTCCACAGTCAGAACATGCATTATACCTTTTAAATTTCGTTTATTAATCATTATATTGAAAAAAAGAACATGTTTTCTGTAATAGCTCATTATCAATATTTTTATCTACCAAGTCGACACTAGTATTACAATGATTCGAGGATATTTTAGGTATTTTTTAATCACTGCCACATATTGAGACATGAAATATCCCTGCAATAAAACATAAATATTTCGACAAAATGTAGAATTCTGAAAATGTACATATCCAGAAAGTATGACCTAAAATTATTACAATTGAGGCCAGAAGTTTTAACTTTTATAAACATAATTGGATTATAGTCTGTCAGTGCGGATGGTAGAAAATTTTAAAACACGCTTGTTGAAATTATATCTGGCGAACAAAACGTAAGATGCGAATGATTTATTTACGGTTTAAAAGATGGTTGCGAATATGCCTGTGTAGAGAGCAATAGAATATGTAAAATTTGTAAAATGTTGCACACCGATGGCATTTTTTTGTATGGATGCTGTCATATTATTTTTTCGAGTCAATGTGAGGACTACCATGACACCCTAAAGGCATTAGTAAAGATCAATGAAGTAACTATCTTCTGGGTTTCAATGCTTCAAGTCATATAGAGTAGGTATGTATGTGAATTGACCACCAAAATAGGTGGGACAAGGTAGTGGGAAACACCCAATCCGTGACATGTCGGATCAACTGAAGCCTGAGAAAGATGCAAATACTTTGCTGTCATCATTTTTCAGATCAAAAGAGAATATCAGGTTGAAATTCAATTCAGAAGTTCTGAGATTGAGAGAAAGAGCTATGTTGAGTGACTTCCATTGATCATTAGCTGTTGGCTATTAATCTCTTTAAGAGAAAACTAAATGCTACCTCCGGTTTTCATGACCTGTTTGATGGAAGGGTGTACTTCAAACAATTCACAAGTACACTGGAACGAGAATTCGCTTAATACCTGTGACTGGAGGGCAAAGCAAGCATCATGGCTAAGCGGCAACCAGTCATCTGTGCCGTAGGCGGCTGAAAGACGAATAAGAATGTTTGTCTGATAATTTCATGACCAAGTTTTATTAAGATATAATTTTAGTTTTTGATGTATGAGATATAAAAACTGAATTGAATATGACAACGTCTGTACAAAAATTACAGCTTTCATTGATTGTCAAAAGCAATTGCCATAGCGACTTTCATTCTTAAACATATAGACCAATTTGCTGCACGGGGAAAAATGACGCCACTGTAGTATCTCCTATCAGTAGGCGAAATTATTTAGCGAATTGGGAATGGTAGTCGCCAGGAATGTTTTTGAAAAGTAGTTTGGAATCAACATGTAATCTGCAGCACAACAATGCTTCAGTAGTAGCTTCAGGCTGATAGTATTTGACTAAGATAACAATTTGACAATTTAGCAGCAGCTAGTTGAGTATGAGTAAAAAACGTGCATTTTGTGGTCAACTAGTTGTTGATTTTTCTCGAACTGACTTGATTATCGAGAGATAGAATGTGCAAATAGTTATGTTTCAAATTGTTTCATTTTTTTGCCCATTCAGCAATAGAAGATTGAAGCTTTCATCCGATAAGTGTTTGTGCATATAAGCAGCATTATTATTTATAAAGTACCCAATTTGTTGTTCATGATGGAAAAATCAACCAAATTGCAACATATTTTCTTCACAGATTCAATTTATTTATTTTATTTATTGACGTTTTATACGCTTGGGTGCTTACAAAGGCCAAATATATAAGGAATAGTACAATAATGCAGTCTACCTAAAAAAATGTAGAAAACGTCAATTCTAACATAAATAACTGTAAACAATCACAAATAAGTAAAGAACTATCACATCCGAATAAGTCAATAAATAGGTAAATAAGCATTTTACACCACTATAAAAGATCCGGAAAATTGTCATCTATAAATTCTACAATAGTATAAAATATCATACATTAAGATTTGACTTTATGCTTTATGCTATGAAGGGCATTGTAAGAAGATGCCATAGCAGTTAGAACCATTTCTAGTTTCTTGTAGATGATTGGTCGATAAACATTGCAATTTTTGCTTGACTTTTCTGTTAATAAAGTGGATTTTTAAAAACCTGAATCTGTGCTGAGCTTGTTTGCTATTCTATCTTCCGATACACTTATTTATTGTATTATTTTTTATTTTTTATATTATGTATAGTGTCATATAATTAAGGTTACATAGGGAAAGTATCTAGAATGGAAAACTACTAACACAATTTTTCTTAATTGGGAATTACGGATGTTTTTAACTACGACTGATTACATATTAAGATTGCATTTATTATATATATATATATATTGTTTTGTAGTTTCTATTTTGTACTTTATAAGTATGTCTATATGTGGAATAAGCTTTATCTTGGTAATATTATCATCGTCTGGTATTTCGTACGTTATAGCTTTATACAATGATAGTGCAAATATTTGAAATATAAAGTAAGAGCGGTAAGTGTAGCACTGCCTAGTTATTTTTTGTTTATATTTTACGTCGGTTGAGTATGGAATACTAGGCGAGAGGATAGAAAGAGTGTGTGGAAATTTTGGTCATTGTTCAGTTGAATGGATTTTAAAAATCCATATGTATCCTTGTAAATTCATGATATTCGAATAAGCAATACCTATGGTACATTATTTTTCGTTTTTTGTTTGATGTAACAGAAAGCTAAAATTTTGTTTCTTCATATCTATATTTTATAAAGAACAGTTGATATATCTGTCAGAACCTACCGAAAATTGTAGGACTGCTATTTTTAGAAGCATAATAATATTCATGTTATTGTGAATCTTTCATCTAGAATGTTTAATGCTTTGACATGACAAATGATATTGGTCACGTTCAGAATGCAGCGCTTCTGAAGGGAGATCTTACTGCGTTTACACTCATGCAGTTTACCATATGCCAGAGCTGGGACATAAGCAAATGCGCTTCCGTATCATAGAAACACTGTCACATTATCTCTTCAAAGTGCTTCATAATAATGAACGCGACCACTGATTTTCTCTACTGTCACTGGTTTACTTTTGAATTTTATTTCAAGCAGTTTTGTGTACACTCTTTTATAAATAATGTTGAACTTATCCCGATAGAAAGACTCTCTGATGGTAGATATTCCGGATAGATATTATTATTATTTATTACATCGATATTGCAATTAAATGAACAATAACCAAATGGAAAGCGTTGGCCAAAGTGGTCGGAATCTGAAAAAGTATTATCGAATATTTTAATAATTTATATAGGATCGAAAAGGTGTTATCCTTGAGAAGCTAATACACTATTGTATCATGTAATTATAGATAGATAGTACAGATAATAAAATTGAAGAATATACTGATTACATATATAAGTACAGACAATTGTTCCAAAAACGTACTATACAGTATACAGTATCGTTGAAATTGATATGTTTATGTTAAAGACTAACAATGCAAGACCAAATTGTATTAGAATATTCAGTTTTTAGAAATAGATATTTCTGTACAACTATGATTTTATCATTTACTTTTTAAGAACGTACAATATGAAACGCTGTTGAGAAAATTAATATAAAAATTTCAATAAAACTGTCTGTTTATTGTGCTTCCTGCAGAGATGATATAGCTCGTACCGTGTTTTTGTGGTAGGAAAAATAACACTTTATGACTCTTGTAATCAACAGTAATTCATATCTGTCAGACATTCACATTTACCAAATATGTATTTGTATATATTTGATGATACAATATCCTACATGACATTCAGTTTTGAGGTAATCGGTAAGGGGTGAAATGAGACAACTGTTTTGTGGGGAGGCTCCTGACCATTGCAAAGTTCACCAGACTCCTTCCTTTAATCGACGACATCGACTATTTCCGTTTGAGATGATTGTCAAATATACTTGCCAAGTTAATTTCACCAGACTATTTTCATGGATGCACCCAATATCATCGACTATTGTTGCTTAAGGTGTGTGCCAAATAAACTTGCGAAGTTAATTTCGCTAGACTATTGCCATTAGTCAATCAGGAGTCGTGTATGCCAAATAAATTTGCAAAGTTAATTTCACCAGACTATTTCCATCAGTCAGTTAGACGACATCGACTAATATCGCTCGAATTATTTGCATAGAGGGATAAATTGCTGTCCAAAAATCGGATACATTGGGTTTTGTTTCTGTCACCATGTGTAACACATTCTAACAATAATTGAAAAAGTATATCAAGCAATAAAAACGTGAATTATTGTGTCTTTCAGATATATTTTTCTCGAGAGATCATCAGGAATAAGTTAGTGTAGTGTTTCTCAAAGTGTGGGACGCGACCCCCTGGAGGCTCGCAATGACGTATAAGAGGGTTGCCGGAAATTTGCAGATAAAACCAAAACACCACTTTGATAAATGTTTTTATTTCAGTAACACCGTAAATAAAAAATTAACAACTATCAAACGACACGTAAGACTAAATATTAATAAGAGTGGGATAAATCGCAATTATTAAAATAATTGTTCATCTTTTCTAATATACATAGTTTAAGTTTAAGCAGTAAAGTAGAATAGAGTCGGAAAAACCATCAATAACTTGTTTTTGTCACTGTTTTAGTTGTGTGATGAGTAGAGAGAAAGAGGGGGTCGTGAACATGGTTTTTAACAAAAAGGGGTAGCTCTTTTCTTTTATACCAAAGCAGCCGTGTGGGCCGAAGCCTAAATGCCAGAACACCGGGGCTGCTATTAAGAGCTTAAATAAACTGTTAATCCGATTTTTAAACTGCCTACGCTCAGTAGCAATAGGAAAAGCCTGCTCATGTAGATTGTTCCACAATCTCGATACCCCAAGGTCAAAGGCGCGGTCGTATCGGCCAGTGCTGAATGTACGAAGTTCGACCCGATTAGAATGGCGGGTCTGTCTGGCAGGCACATCACGCGGTTGTATCATGGAGGAGATCTCTGAGTAGCAAAGCCCATTGGCGTAGCGGTAGAAGAGAGCTAGATCGCCGCTGGTGCGAAAGGGTCCCGAGACTGTTCGTTAGAGAAGAGTCATCGATCAGTCGGACAGCCCTCCTCTGAACAGCATCGATCATGGATAATGCAGTTGGAGCGGCAACACCTCAAACCTGTGAGCAATACTCGAGGCTAGGTCTTATCTGGGCCTTGTACAGAGTGAGGACGTCATGTGGAGAAAAGTACTTCTTAGCCTTAAGCAAATAGCTTAGATTTTTCACAGAAGCTGCTGCTATTGACGAGATGTGTTCATGCCAGATCAATAGTACTCAGTGATCTAGACGCCAACCAGCCGAAATCACCGGCTCTTTGGTAGAACTCGGCCATCTATCGAAACCGGATGAGCGCTAGGACGCTTCTTGTTCGTCAAGGAAGCATTAAACTGTACAAGAGTTTTGCTTCCCCAAGCTGTGATATCCTCCAGGCATCTAGCCTGAAAGGAAGTCGCTTCTAGTCACTTTACTCCAGCTATCATGTAGAGTGCTGTCATCAGCAAAGCTGTGGATTGGATTGATTGTTCAAGAAAGGAGGGCGTAGATAAGTGGAAGTGGAACAATGATGGAGCCAAGATCGACCCCCGGGGAAAACCAGCGTTGACGTTGTGGGATGAAGAGGAGAACCCGTCAATTACGATGGATATCTTGCGGCCAGAGAGAAAGTCAGCCACGCATCTACAAAGCTTCTCTGGGAGGCAATAGGATGGAAGTTTGCATAGGAGGGCAGCACGCCGCAGTTAATCGAACGCTTTCGTGATATCAAGAGCAACGACATGGGCCACACTATTAGACTGGACGTGTCTACTCCATAATTGCGTGACGTAAGCTAGGAGGTCTACTGTGGATCGCTGGTGTCGGAAACCATACTGCCTGTCGCTAGTCAAGCCGTGACGTTCAACGTACTTCATAAGCTCTCGGTTTATACACCTCTCCATTTCCTTACTTATAACAGAAAGCAGAGCTATAGGCCTGTAGTTATAAGAGTCGGTCCTAGATCCTTTTTTTTGGGATGGGTTGCACATGAGCATATTTCTAATTTTCGGGGAGGGTACCTCTTCAATACAACGCGACACGAATCAAGACCGGACCAGAATCGTTGTTGATGTCGAGCGACAAGACGACGGTTTTACGGTCTTATGTCTGAATGTTAGTTCCCGCATATTTTAGGGAACCGTTTGAATCGACGGCACTCAGGCGTTAGGTCCATGGTGGAGTTGGCAGCAAAGATCTTGGCAAGCACTTCCGTCTTAGCCTTTGAGTCAGTTACAATTGTTCCATCCTGGCAGGTAAGTGGTGGAGGGCATCTATGTGAAAAGTTCCTTTCAATCTGTTTGGCCAGCGTCCAGAAAGACCGACTGACATTGCGCTGCATTAGCCTTTGCCTAATTTTTGCACCGAGTTGGTCTTTGACAATGGGACCGCTTCGTTATAATTGTTTCTGGATTTGATGTCGGCTTCAAATTCTCTACAGCGGGGTTTTATCAGAAGGGTATGTCTGCTGGCGAGCAGTGTCGCACGATTTGGGAAACAATGAGATAGCGTTATTTAATATTAGAAAGCGCACATTTAATAAGATCTTTAAGTTTGGCCGCCCCAGGGAAAATTTGCCTTCTCGCTGTCTTCAAAAAGTTTTGTTGTTTTTTGCTTTTCAAAGAAATTAGGCAGTAAATTCGTACGTTTGTACCCGCCTTCCTGGGAAAAATGCCTGCGGGCGCCCATGGTAATTGGTGGGATAGTTGTCAAATTGTTAGTGACACCGAGATAGAAGGGACCAACGGTCACTGTCGAACATACAGAGAGAAGCGTGCAATACGTAGAAAGAGACACAAGCACCTCGTTGCCTAGTAACCCGAGTGACTAGGCCACGGACGCAGCTGCGGGTTGCCACGTTGCCATCGGCGCACCTTTTCTAACATACATATTGCAAGCTTCTCTCTCGTATACATTACGACGTCAGGCAAACTTGAACCTCACCGTATATGTATGACAAAAAATTTCACCAGGCTATTTCCATGTTTCCTTTAATCTATATCATTAAGGATAAATCCTTTCAGCTGATGGATTAGGCTAGGGAGTGTGGTAACTTAAATGAGCAAGCAGCCTAGGATATCGACCAATCTGAAACATAGGGTCTTAAAATACTCTAACATAGGCTCACATACATATCTACTACTGGTATAACAAAACACTAATTTTCGATAGCATGTCACTTTCCATTCAATGAACAAGTTTTATATTTTTTCACACAATCAACATTTTTGAGTCCAGCTGTTAGCGCTTCTTGTAACGCCGCACTGGGTAGAATGTTCACTATCCATTCGCTCGTTACCAAACCTTCCAGAATTTTATCCGTGCTGCTAGCACTTCCATTCGATACCCTCTGCGCTGAGTTTTGAACCATTGAGCAGAGCATCCTTTGGGTACAGGACACAGTATCGATGTTGTTTTCAATCAGGAAGTTGTCCAAACTCGTGAGTATGCGCCAGATTGATGTGGGATCGTCAAATTCACCTGGAAATAATTTTTTTTTTATATTTGATGAAATCAATTAAGTCGTTCAATGTAAGGATTTCAACTGTTTAACAAGTAGATCTTTCAACTTTTTCTTTTAAATTAATGTTCGTACTGTTCCAAGAGTAGTTAGGTTCTATCTGAAAACCGGTGTTATGCCTGAATGTTACTTCTCGCATAGTGTAGGGAACCAAAGGTCTTGGCGAGCACTCCCGCCTTAGCATTTAAATCGGTTACAGACGTTCCATCCTCATACGTAAATGGTTGAAGGCTACTCTGTGAGAAGTTCTTTTCAATCTGCTTGGCCAGCGTCCAGAAAGACCGACTGCCATTGCCCTGCAACATTACCCTGTGCCTAGCCTTTTACATCGTGCTGGTCTTTGGCATTGCGTACTGCTTCGTTATATTTGTTTCTGGACTCGACGTCGGCTTGTCTGTTCCCTATAGTGGGGTTTTGTAAGAAGGTTCTATGTGCCTTAATCTTCTGCTGACAAGCAGTGTCGCACGATTTGTTGAACCAGCCGTTGGACCCTGGTTTAGTCACTTTCACTGTATGAGGGATGTATTCCTCCATCCAAACGCGGATAATTTCAGTTATCGATGAACAGACAGCTGACGCATCCGGGAAACAAACATCTCTCCAGGAAAGGTGAAAAAGAAATCTCCGAGCCTCTCCCAGTCGGCATGTCCGTAATGCCAAATTTTGCGGCCTGGGCGAGTTTCTGCTGCCGAAGCGGGTTGTGACCGAAGCTTGACCTCCACAACACCATGATCTGAGACAGGACAGCAATGCTGTAAGGGACAGGTTGAGTGGTCAGAAAGAGATCTAGCAGGCTAGTGGCGTGAGACGAAACGCGGGAAAAAAGTAGGACTAGTCACCAGCTAAGTCAGTCCTTGGGTAATAACGAATATTTCAACTGCACGACCTGCTGCATCGGTCTTGTTTGAGCTCAACCAACTATCTATGAAACGGGGTAATTGAGGTTCTGGAAGTCGATCTGACAAGCGAAGTATACAAGTGGATCATCCCAGTTATAGACCGTGGGAGAGCGATAAATCAAATAAATTTGGGGGATGTTTTGAGGTTGAGGCGAAGCCACAGAATGTCCTTCAGGTCTGATTCCAAAGAAACGTCGCAGGAAGGACTGCTGTGGACAAAAGCCAAAACTTCTTTCTCAGATTGGAGTGCACCTCGTATTGCACCTAGATGTTCGAGTTCACTCATTTGAGTTGTTTAACTCACCAGCAAAAAACTTACGCCGCAGTTCTAATTTCTAGTACCTTATAAAAATAAGAATAAAACAAACATACGTTTATTAAATAAATTAAATATTTTTTAAATCAGATATATAAAAGATTCAGCAGAAAATAACTTGATTTTCATCTGTCAACAGTTTTCATCCCTGTCAAGAGACAATTAGCCTTTTCAGTTGATCCGGGTTTTAATAATCACCTTCTTCTTGGCCGTACTTTTCGTTTTCGTTGACTTATTTTTAGTTTTTATACTAAAATAAGGTAATTTAAATGTTAAGGCCGTCATGCTTCCTACTTGAGAACACACTGCAGCAAACGTGTGAATGGCTTTTCTTGCCTCCTCAAAAAAGCCCAACATTTGTAGAAGTTTGAAGGTTGCGGCAAGTGCCAAGCGTGGGGACGCGCCAGAAAAGATTCCCATATCCCAGTTTATGAAAATGTTCACCGAACTGTGGCCAAAAATTATTTAAAGAACTTCCCTACCTTATAGTAGTATGTAACAAATATAGTACTGTCGATGAGTTTGAAACTCTACCAACATTTTTTCTGAAAATAAACTCGTCTTTATGATGAAAGTTTTGTTTTGTAGTTTACTCTGCAAAGTAAAGAAGAAAAAAACTTTATATCTACATACTCCAAAAAGAAATCTGACAGAGTCAGTTTGAAGTGTAAGAACTCAAATTAATGTCATCCTAATCACGCTCATTCAGAAATTCTCGTAGCTCAAAATTTTCGTACATTCCCGAAATTTTTGTCTCTGTGAGTGTAGAGCCGTGTGCGTGTAGCCTCAGTCATTATGTTGAGAAACAGATTGTATATGATCGAGGTCCATGTCAATGATTTGACCTTTAGGGCGGACTATGGCACTTTTCCTCGAAGGAAAGAGGTCATGTTCAATATCCAATTCGGTAAGATCATGGACATTGACATTGATCCGGAGGACTTTCCAGCTGAAGAACCTAAAGGTGAGTATCTAGAGCTTTGATTCTGCACAAAAATACGTCTCTCATTTTTAGTAACGATCCATATAGCCCAACTGTTTGGAGCTTTTACTTTGTGAAATATAACGTGGTTAGATTTTTCGGTTCACTCTTCACCGTCCGTTGCGACTTCGAAATATCGATATCTCTGCCGCCTAGATCCAGCTGAATTTGAATGATGGCCAGGATGTAGTGGAAGGTTGCGACGACACTTTTGTCTCAAAACCTTATTTAGACAAGAGGGGGCGCTAGAATAAGTCATCAAATAAAGTGATCCGCTTTTAAGTTGAACACTTTAACGTTGACAGGTAATTATTGGAAAACCTTTTATATGAACTAATTTCTCTACTACCTGAGAGATGGAGTTCGGATTTTTGGATTACCCTCGCTATATAAAGAAAAATCAAATCTAGGCAAACTACATCGCAAACCACGTTGAACATGGATTTTTGAGAGAGAATAATGTAACAACTTATTCAATATTTAAAGATTCTCTATGTATAACTATATGCGCTGGCGCGCTCCCACGGGGTGGGTAAAGGAGGTAATTACCCCCCCCCCAGACGACTCGGGCAGTCTTTGAAAAGATGGTATAAAGTAAACGTCTTATAAAAAAATCTGTAACTTTAAGACGGGATAGCGGCAACACTGCCAACCCGCTCAGTGCGCATGCGACTACTCTCCCACCAACAGCAACGGTGTGCGCTTCTTCCTGTTGGTAGAGGTATAGTCTAGTCTTTTATGGTCTAGTCTAGTGTACTAAATTCTGTGCCAGTCCGGAGTCCGCTAGAAAATTTGGCTGAGAAGTGAACAAGCGGTTGGTATTAACGCTATTTTCTATATTCTATTGATTTTTTATTTTCCACGCATAAGCCAAAAAATGAATTTTTGTTTGTTTTTAATTTTTATACTATAAAAAAATCGTGTCTACAAAAATGACAGACGGAAAAATGGAAATTTAATATAATTTCAATTACGAAGTGTTTGGTCCATACTCCATCTATCATTATCATCTATGTCTATTTTGTCTCGGAAGCCCCTGTATATAAGCATGTCCGTGCATTTCGTTCGTCCGAGATGGCAAATTATATATTTAGTTTTTCAAAATTGCGTGGACTTAAGAAATATTGTTTTCCAAATAGAAAAGGTTTTTTGTTATGAGATACGTGAGTGCGTGGAAACCAATAATGCCGTTTATTTGACAATATTTGTGTAACTTTTAGTGCTGGTTGACGGCTGCTGTTGTCAGGATGAGTAAAAGGAAACAGAATACCATCGATTGGTTCGTTTCTAAACAAAACAAACTGTCTGATCCACCGGCACAAGAATTACCGGAAAAAACTGATGATAATCCTACAATTCAACCTGAGCCTTCCACTTCAAAATTTCTTGATGTTGCACCGTATGCTGAACCAAGTGAAGAAAAATCGGGTGCGAAACCTGAAGGATCCAATTTTGTTGATGTTGCGCCATATATGTAAATTTCAGCGGCAACTTGTCTTCCCATGAAAAATATACCTTATTGAGGTATGCAATGATTCCTAATGACTCTTTCAAATATTTCTATTCCACACACTTGAAAAATAATAAAAAAGTGAAATGTTACTTATCAAAAAACACTGAGAAGTTTCCTTGGCTGTCATATTCAGAGGAACTACAAGGGCTTTTCTGTACATATTGCGTGGTTTTTGCAAAATGCGGAGGAGTACATAAATCAACTAAATTGGGAAAACTTGTTACTGTACCACTAAAGAAATTTTCGGAATTGTATGGCAAAATCGGTGATTGTGAGACACATGAGAACTCAATATATCATACAGAAGCAGTTTCAGATGCTACAAACTTTTTAAAGATTTACGAAAATCCAGAGAATGATATAAGAAATATAATAGGTTCAGAGCGAATTAAGCAAGTATCAGAAAATCGGCAAAGATTGACTCCTATAATAGAATCTATATCTATATTTTTTTTAGGACGCCAAAACATACCACTTAGAGGGCATAGAGATAGGGGACGACTTTTTTCTAATGACAGCACGAATGACGTGGATGTCCTTAATAATGAAGGGAATTTTAGAGAACATACGGTTTAGAGTCGAGAGCGGCGACAATTTATTGAAAAAAAAAACATTATAGAGAACTACGTACATAAGCAGCCGGATCCAAAATGAAATTATAGAATGTTGTGGCGAAGAAATCTAAGATATAGTTTTAAGTCGCGTCAGGCAAAGTCAGTATTACATTTGACGAAACTATAGACATTAGCCATAAATCACAAATGTTAATCGTATTGCGGTACTGTTATCAAAAACATATTTACGAGGACTTGGGATTTGTGGATTGCTACTCAAATTTTGATGAAGATACAATGGAGCCCAAACTCACGGTCAAATTCTTGCTCAAACGGTCAAGCATTTCATTAAAACTAGTAACTTAGACTCAAAACTATGTGGGGCATTGGTACTGATACATGTAACCTAATGTTAGATGAATAAAAGAGCGCTGTAATGGAATTGCAAAAATGTTTGCCAAATGCTCTAAAAAGCCCATGCGCAAATCATACCATGAATCTTTAGATTTCAAAAAGCAGCAGTGTCCAAGCAGTAATAAATACTGTAGGTATAATGAAGGAAGTAATTGCGTTCTTCAAAGCATCTGCCAAAAGAAATACAGTATTAAAAAGAAAACTAGACGGATATCAAATTCATAGTACTCGTATGTGCGAAACACGATGGACCGAGAGACATGATTCTATGCTCCAACTTGAAAGCAAATTCGAGAAAATTGTAGAGGTACTAAATATTATATCAAATTGGAAAGACCGCGAAGCTTCTTCAAAAGCGGAGTCATTGAAGACTGCCATTACTTCCACCCAATTTATCGTATCACTAAAGTACGTGATATATTAGCTACAACAGTCAACCTGAGTAAGATTTTACAATCAAAAACAATTGACAAACAATACGCTGTCAAACTAATAGGAAATATTATTTCAGTTGTACAAGAAAGACGCGTAAATTCCGAAAAACACTTTAGAATACTGTGCCAAGAATAACAAGCAGGCAAGGCCCGAAGTTACCTCTGACAAGGAAAATCATTACAGACTGAACCTACATATATATGTCCCTTTGCTAGATAAGATATTACAGGATTTGGTATACCGGTTCAATGAAGAATCTTTGAATATATACAATTTTAATATTTTCCTTGCTTCAGTATTTAATTCAAAAACTGAAGCTGAACAATCTCTAAATATTTGCATGGACTAAATAGTAACGAAAACAAAAATTTAATGAGTACCAGATTAAAAGCAGAATTTGACCTTTGGAAGTCACGTACACATGATATTATAGACAGTGAAATGTTACTGTATTTATCATGTGATGAAAACATTTTCCCTTCAATTAATAGACGCCTACAATTATTGATTTCATTGCCGGTAAGTGTTGCGACATTTGAAAGAAGTTTCTCCCATCTAAAGAGGATAAAAACTTGGCTGCGCTCCACTATGTTACAAGACCGATTAGTGGGTTTGGCTCTTTTGTATATGCATAGGGATATTAAAATAGACGTGAATACAATCATAGATCGGTTCGCCAGCAAAAATAATAGGCGCCTTGATTTTGTAATATGATAACACCTGAACTTTGACTAAGGTTGTCTCTCAAATCCATCTCCCTTCTGTTGGCCAATAAATAAAAAAGCAGATGTATTTAAGGGTTTACTTACGTTTAAACCACCACGGTGATCTTTTAAAAAGTATCCAATCAAGATATGTGGTTTCATTTATTGGCCACCAGATTGATATAAAAGTCTGTTCAAATTCTGTTCAAATCACTTTCTAAGCTAATGTAATGATTGTTTTATTTTGAGACTGTGAACTCATGTAGTTTCATAGTTTATATGTTTTTGTTTTTTTTTTGAGGCTGGCTGAGAGAATGTAGTTATGCAATGTTTTTTTTTTGTGTTTTTCTCATGATTAATAATTTTATTTTGATTTACATTCAGATTTATGCCTTATAGAAGTCGTAACATACTTGTTATTGTTATTTTTTTCATGAAGATGTATTTTTTGTTGTTTTGTATGACATTGTTATGTAGAAAAATCTGTGATAGATTATATTATTTTGTATTTTTGTTTTAATATATGAAGATTGCTCGAGCTTGGTTTGCTTTATTTACACTTTGATTTCGTATGATTCAAAATTAAAATCAATTGTATGTATTTCCTACAGAAATTACTGTAACAAATTCATATGTCTGCGTACGTCCATGCTTTTAATGTTAAATCATTATAAGTCTTCAGTACGTCACACTGAGAATTTACTTTCCATTTTACCCCTCCGAGACTGAAATCCTGGGAGCGCCACTGACTAGATGACCTAAATCTTACACATTTTCTTCACTTATAGAGCAGTAGTTATTACTTGATAAATTTGTAGATTTAAAACAAGATTCCATTGTTAGTAGATATCGTAGAACAATAAACACTAACGTAGGAACAATAGGTCTTAATCAACCAAAATTATATTGAATCCATAGAAATTAAAAAAATTACTAAAGATTCAAATTTGAATCAGAAATTTCACTTTGAATCTGCAATAGCTTGTGCAAGATTTACAAATACATACGTAATTTATGCATATACAAATAGACAGATTTCCTGTACGAGTGCTAACATACTAAGTGACATAAATCCGAACACCCAGTTTAAATGGTTTTATTTTAATAAAATATTGTATAAGTATTTAATGAAGCATAATAAGTAAATGATAAAAATTTCAAAATGATTGCACTGCTTTAAAGCCCTTTGACCTTTAATAATGTGTGGATGCACCCTGATGTGCTACGCATTCACCAACGCGCCTAGGCATGCTTCTGATCAGGTGGTCAATGTCCTCCTGTGGTATCTCATTCCAGGCAACCACCAACTCCTCTCGAAGTGCTTCTAGAGTCTGAGGAGGACGTTGCAAATTGAGCAATCTCCTACCCATCATATCGCACACGTGCTCAATTGGGGATAAGTCGGGAGATCTTGGTGGCCATGGTAACAATGTGACATCATTATGTTGAAAGAAGTCTATTGTGACTCTTGCAACATGTGGTCGGGCATTATCTTGTTGGAAAGTTGGATCTGCCAGGGTGTCAAGATAGGGTAAAAGATGGGGTTCTAGAACTTCGTGGATATAACGCTGCGCGTTCATGTTACCTCTGATGAAGATTAAAAGTGACCTGGAACCATAAGCTATAGCACCCCAAACCATAACTCCAACAGTGTGATGAACATGTCTTTCAACAAAAAACTGTGGATTCCCCCTTTCACCACGTCGCCTTCTAACCCTGGCGCGACCATCGTGCATGCCTAAACAAAATCGAGACTCGTCACTAAAGACAATACTGTTCCATTCCTGATCCCAGAGTGACCGTTGTCTGCACCACTCAAGGCGATTACGTCGGTGTTCTCCAGTTAAAGGGAGGACCCAGTGTGGCCGGTATGAAAACAAGCCAAAACTTCTCATTCGTCGGTAAACACTTCGCATGCCAATAGGTCTTCCGTGTTCTGCAAACCATTCATTTGCAATGGACCTGGTAGTGGAGAAACGGTCCCTTAAGGCCAATAATCTTAGGCGGCGATCTTCACGGTCTGTCGTTCTACGGCGGCGTCCAGTGCCCCTTGCTCTTTGCGTACGGCCTTCTCGAAGCCATGCCTGACAACACCTAACCACAGTGTCTACACTTCTTTGCACTCTAACTGCAATTGCCCGAAAAGAAAGTCCAGCTTCCCGAAGTCCCACTATACGGCCCCTATCAAACTCACTAAGTTGACGAAATCGTACAGGTCTCCGCACTCTAGGCATCGTAACCGATCGTAAAGGATGTCAAGAACCAAAATCCTCCAACGTTGATTCTTTACTGCGGCTGAAATAACCATTTTTAGAGCGTTAGTGAATTAAAAGAAAGCAGTATAAAAACCGGAATGTCCAACTGATAAAGCTGAAAATTTTTTCACTTGTTATTTACAGTAAGATAAATACATTCACCAACTTTTATTAAAATAAAACCATTTAAACTGGGTGTTCGGATTTATATGTCACTTAGTCTCACGAACGTCTCAGGCTTTGTCGACCCATGGAACGGCACCTTTATTTAGTTCTCTAAGCACTAATAATTAATTTTCAGGTCCCGTAAAGAACGTAATATCTTTGAACGTCGGCAAAACGTTCTTATTTTCTACTGAGCCAAAACAATTGATAGACTCTTTGAAGACTCTCCCTCTAGAGGTATCTCTGAAAGTCGAAAACAAGTTGGTGGGAACTGGTTTAATTGCATGGAAACAGGATTTCATCGATATGGCCAAATTGTGTACAGACTCGGTGGTCAGGTCATCGGTCTTGGAAGGAGTCATTCCCATGAATAAGTAAGACAACAATACATAAGCAAAAAAAAATTAATACTAAATTAACCAACAGCACCCACTATTTTGCGAAAAACCTACATTATTATTATTATTATAGGCTTTGGTTATTATTAACTTCCAGCTACCCTACTTCACTACATTTTTAAATTAAGAAAATGTATTATTACAGAGGTGACGACATAGTCGGAGGCGTAGATATCTTCTTGCGCATGACATGTTACGCTGATGGACTGGAAACTGCTTACAGGAAAAACAAAAATGGTACTTTCGACTTTATTAATAAGAAAAACGGTGCCACATATAATTGCAAAAGGTAAGGTGACACTATCATTTGCTGCTACACTTTTGGGGGTACCGTTATTGTAACGCTGCCGCTGCAGTTAAAATCAAATTGTAATGTTACGGCGCGTGACGCGTAACTCGAAATGCCATTCTTATTCACATATTTGAAGACCAAACTCATAACACGCAACTCCTGATAATTCATACTATTATCACTAAATAAAATATAACAAACAATCCACGCCACGTCAAGCGAAGTAAAACATATGCCATGTCAAACAGAGCGTATAGCACGCGGATAGTCTTGGGACCCTTTCGCACCGGCGAGCCGTCGGCGATCTAGCTCTCTTCTACCGCTAGAACAATTGGCTTTGCTCCTCAGAGCTCTCCTCCATGATGCCGCACGCGACGTACCTGCCTGACAGACCTGTAGGACTTTCGCCTCCCATTCTAAACGTGTCGAACTTCGTAGATCCATAACTGGCTTATACGATCGCTCCTTCGTCCCTAGGATGTCGAAATTGTGGAGCAATCTACCAGAGGAGGCTTTTCCAGTTCTCCTAACCTTAGTTAGTTCAAAAATCGGATTAACAAAGTTAGCAGCCGCGGTATGCCTGGAATTTAGGCTTCTGCCTGCGCAGCTGATACGGTGTAAAAAAATTATTTATATGTATATAACCTAATACTAGGTTCCATATGAGGCTAGATTCACAATAGCTTGCTCGAAAAACCTTATATAAGACAGCACCTTTAGTATACAACTTTTTTTTATCTAAACAGTCATATAAGAGCTAGACTAGGGTTGAATTTATAGCGCGGAATACCTCGGGACATGCACAAGTTCCATAATAAAACACTGGAGAACTCGTGTAACGCGTTTCACTTTCATTTCTCTGACGATATTTTACAAATAAGAGTGAAACGCGTTACGGCTTCTTCAGTGTTTTATTTTTAACCGTGACAACGAATGGTACTATTTGATGGTTTAACATTGATATTTCATTTGCTATTTGCAGCGAGTTGAGTTCAAAGGGGGATCCACTAATGTGCGCTAACCTCCATGGATCCATGGTTTGTCCAATAGGGGGCAAGAAAGATTTGTCCTGGACAGATTTATTCGGAGGTACAGCAGTTTGCGTAAGACCGTCTATGGTTGGTACTCTGATGGAGGAAGAAACATGTGAGTGTGATTTAAAAAAAATAAATACGACCCAAAAAATTTCAACGTTTGGAATTATTGTTTGAAACCACGAGAATAGGGACATTTCATGCGTGTATATGATTTCTGCGGTGTACGAGTAATTTTATACCACGAAAGCCCGATTTTACTATTGACCTACGAGATTAAAAATTTGCGCCTAGGGCGGAAATTCGGCCACTCGGTAGTGAACTTGGTCGATTTCTTCTAAAATATCTCTCAAACTCCATAGTTTCTTTATATTATACTATTTGTGTAAGATGGATCCCTAATGCAATATTAAATTTAGACCAATCAAAAATAAGGGTTAGTGACCTAGTCGCAAATTCGACCAATGGAAAACAAGTATCATATACTGTAATGAGACTGATTTTTTTTAATTTCTCGATTCAAATATACTTATTGACATTGGAAGAGTTAAACCCAGAAAAAATAATTATAAAAATATATATATATATATAATAATAATTATAATAATTATAAATAACATAATGACTATATTTAAAGCATGCTGTGGCAACAATGTCAACGTTTTCTCTTTGTTTTTACCTTTGTTAAAATGTTAGTTCTTAGTTTTGTGAAGAAAGTAGTTTCTGAGAGCTGAGTAGTACAGATATTTTTAGTTATTGCCCTTTCATTTACTAATGTTAAGGATAACAAAATGCGTCGAGTTCGAAGACGTCTAAATTATCACCATGTTTGCGACTTTGACAGGGGTAGAATTAATGCCTATCGAGATGTTGGTTTGCCCTATCGCGAAATTGGCCGCCGTGTTAATTGTACTGCAATGACGATGTCGTATGTGGATAGAAGAAGGTAGAGGAACACGAAAAAGGCCAACTGGTCCTCTGAGGCATACCGTAGTCAGACAATTAGCCCTACGATACCGTTTTTCCACTACGCGTCAGATCGCTGACCAATGGTTTGGAGAAGAAGGTAGAGCTGTTACTATGCCACTCTATCGCCGCATTCGAGCTTTTCGACTTTTTTCATACCGTCCACGGTTCGTGCTTTCTCTGACTGTGGACCACTGTCGTCAACGTTTGAACTGAAGCAGAGAATGGTAATGTACACAGGATGGTTTGGGGGGCTATTGCCTATTGTAGCCGATCACCTCTTTTCTTTGTTCAAGGCAATATGACTGCTGCGCATTATGTTGATAATGTCCTACAAACCACTTTACTGCTGTATCTAGACACGTCCTTTCTCAGCAAAACAACGCACGTCCCCATATTGCTCGTCGTATTACGGACTTTCTTCAAGAAGCAGGCGTTAATGTTTTGCCGTGGCCGGATTTAAATCTTTTTGAACATGTGTGTGATATGATGGAGAGGAGACTATCCACTTTGCATCATCAGCCACAGACTCTGCCACAGCTAATCCACGAAGTTCGAGTTGCTTGGAATGAGCTGCCACAACCAGACATCGGTCATCTCATTCTGTCCATGCCTAGAGGTATACAGGAGTGTATTCAGCTGCGGGATCGCCCAACACATTATTAATTTTTTATTATTACTTGTCAATAAAATTTCGTAAGAATGTTATCGTTTCATTATTGATGTAAGACTACCTCATTGCCAAAAAATCAAGTTAAAAAAATTATTTTTTTCTGGGTCACTGAGCATATCATTTTAATTTTATATTGTCATCCTCAAAATAACTTCCATTCCCCATAGCAGTGCTGGAACTGGAATAGCTTTCAGCTGGTTGGTTAACAGTCGTTTGAATGTTTTCAACTGAAGTGATTTTTCAATTTCGGGACGAGAAAAAAGTCACGAGGACTAAAGTCAGATGAATAAGGAGACTAAGGAGCCACAGGAATGTTTTTACTGGCCAAAAACTCGTTTATTGACATTGGGGTATAACAAGGATTAATCACGATCAGCAACACCCAGTTATTCTTGATCTGATGAATGGTGGTGTGAGTCAAATTTAACACTTTCCTGATCACTCTGACTATCGATAAGACAGCCAACTAAGGATAAGGAATAATTATGAATTATGCTTTTCTATATAGTGAGCGGTGGTGGTAACTTGGTAGAAATCCTGGCACAATCCAGTGCCTTCGATATTGTCTCGATGGTATTCCGGCCACCAGAGAACAAGTTTTTCGATTTCTTCAATATGGTGTCCGTCCCTAGTGGACAAGATGACAAGGGACGAAAGGTAGGGCTAACAATGTTTCAGTAAAGGAGCTTCTGAACCAGCAATATTTTTGTTACAATATTTGGCTATAATTATGGCGACTAAGCTCAGCCGTCATGAACTGTGCCACATCGGGACAGTGATTCGATGCCGTATTTTCCATGCTAGTTCCGGAACCGATTCCTTCGATTAGTTCACGACTCCTTTTAATTCCTGTTTCTTTCGATTCCGATTCCCGTAATTCCAAAACATGCAATCGTTGTTCAAAATTTCGGTGTATTCATTTATATAGAGTATTTCACGACGATTTGTCAATTCATATGGATATGGAAAACTAATAAGATTACTTTTTTTAACAATACAAGCAAATATTGCACGAGATGCGTTTTTAAACAATAATTCAGTCGTTTGCAATACTTGAAGGCAACACATGAAATAATAATATTAGACAAACGTTTGCTACACTGCAAATTTTATAAACCTATTTTTTGGGAGTACGTTGTAGTTTGTATCTTCAGGTGATACTATGTCTTATGTCGAAGATCGACATGGGAAGATACAAGTCACACGCCCATGTCATACTGACAGCGACAAGCATTAATCTACAAGACACATACGTTGGCGACGAAATGTTCATGGCGGTGAGACAAAACTGAAAAAATGTATGCCTTTTAGTTTACACAAACAAACATCCGCGTGTATGTATGTGTGAGAAAGATGTACATGATATATGAAAGTAATTCCTGTAGTTCTACGGTGATCCGCCAAGAACCGTGAAACGTATACAGGGTTTGTCCGGAAAGTAATAGGACTCATTTTCTTCCGCCATGACTGTACTTCGGAGCGTGCGCGCACCGACTGGATTCGGTAGAGGGCGTTCCTAGCTAACGAATGAGCGGCTGGTCAGTTGTCTCCGAGCATTTGGAGAGTCAGGACAGGCATTTTCGCGCGACGTGTTTCTGTGAGTGGTGCAAGACGAAAATGCAGCATTCGTTAGAGCAGAGGTACGCGATTAAATTCTGTATGAAACTCGGTAAATCTGCGACAGAGACGTTTCATATGATCAAGCAGGCTTACCCAGGTGTTGCTTTATCAAGAAGTGGTGTGTTTCGGTGGCACCAGGCCTTTTTGGAGGGCCGGGAAGAGGTCGCTGATGAAGACCGTGCTGGAAGACCTTCGACTTCGACAAACACCGATAATGTGACTCGTGTGCGCAAATTTTTGAACTCAGACCGTCGAATAAGTATTCGTTTAATTGCCCAGATGTTAAATTTACCAAAATCTGTGGTTCATGACATTGTGACGCAGCATTTGAACATGCGCAAGGTGTGAGCGAAGATGGTCCCAAAAGTGCTCACTGACGACCAGAAATTGCGGCGAGTGGAAGTGTGCCAAGAAAATTTGAACATGTGTGAAAGTGACCCTCAATTTTTGAATAACGTAATCACAGGTGACGAATCGTGGATCTTTGAGTATGATCTCCAGACAAAGAGGCAATCTTCCGAGTGGCACACGACGGCGTCCCCCCGCCCAAAAAGGGGAAGAATGAGCAAATCCAAAGTGAAAACGATGCTCATTGTCTTTTTTGACATCATAGGCTTCGTCCACCATGAATTTGTTCCTCCTGGACAAACCGTCAACGCCAAGTTTTACGTGGAAGTGCTCAGGAGACTCAAACGAAGAGTCAGTCAGGTCCGACAAGACATCGCAGTCGACTGGAAGTTGCACCATGACAACGCCCCGGCTCACACCGCCTTTCTTGTTAACAGCTACCTGACCGAGGCGGGCATCCCAACGCTTCCGCAGCCGCCCTACAGCCCAGATGTGGCACCCTTGGACTTTTTTTTGTTTCCTCGCCTGAAAAGGCCGATGAAAGGCAAGCATTTTGAGACGACAGGGGGGATCCAAGCAGCATGCACCGCGGCTCTCAAGGCTATTCCGGAGAATGCCTTCCGTGACGCCTTCGATGCTTTCAAATCGCGCTGGCAGCGCTGCATCGACGCAGAAGCAGCCTATTTTGAAAGTTTTTAAAGAATTGTAACGATTGGCTCAATAAATTTTTTTAAATCGACTCAGTCCTATTACTTTCCGGACAAACTCTGTATGTTATGTTGGTCTATAAACAACTTTCGAATGTTATAAAAATCAACGATGTGGCTTTGTTCGCAATATTGATACTCATTTCTTAATGGCTGCTTTCAGATAAATTCAGAGATAGAGTTATCTTCGACAAAATATAGAGAAGAGGATGACCGGTTATTGTTGACCTCTGAAAAAATTGGAAGACAGTTGTGCAAGAACAAAGACTGTCCAGCAGCTGTTAAGTTCAAAGAATACGGCATAGGACCACTTGCTAATGAGAAATGTAATTTTCAAGATATTAAAATATGATTTGTTGTTACTATGGAGCACAAAGGATAAGCTAATGTACATGTACATCATATATAGGAATGACTTTTCACAAGTGTTTCGGCCACCTCGGTGGCTTTACAAATAAAAACGACTCAGACAAAATATTTTATATTTATCTCTCGTCCAGGCGACAGTGACGTGTCTGGTACTTACAAATCCAAACAAAAAATCACCATGCTCATATAAAAATAGTGGATTAAATTTTAAATGAAAATGTCAAAACTGTGAAGTTTCGGCTTTTAAGGGTCAAGCAAGTTCTGAAATAAGAGGAAGATGATGAGAGCTTAAAATACATGTATTTTGAAACATATATATATATATATATATATATATATATATATGCGCAGTAGTCATTGCCAAAACCAACGACCAGTTGGGCACAAAATACAATTAATTGTTAATTGGGAAATTGGCAAATTTTTAGGCTTAAGTTGACTCTTTTGACGATAAAAATCAAGCTTTCGGCATTCTCTATGGAGCCTTCATCAGGATTTCGTCGTTGAGGTTGCAGCCACAAGGTGTTTCAAAACGAACGCAGAGAAGATAGAACTTGTTATAAATATAAAAACAAAAGGACGGAGTCATTGGGCTTGTTGATAACGACAGATACCTTCGTTACATGTTAAAAATATCAATACATCCGAACATATTGAAAATTATTACACATGAGAAGACATTTTAGGGAAACAATCGGAATGCAGTTCTAACCTCCTACCCCCCCCCCCCCCCCCTCCAATATATATATATATTCAGACATTTCATAAAAATGAGGTATTTTTGAAACCAAAAACCCCGGTTATAAACTCTGATTATTCAATATTGCCAGTTTTTTTTCTAAAAATTCATTGTTAAACTGTAACTGCGATGGCAATTACGTGTTGCGTGCAGAAAAACTTTGAATCAATGCCCATCTTAACTAAATGCAAATGTCTTCCTTCAACAAATGTTGCATATTCTTCTTTAACGAATGATAGATATCATCAAGAATTTAATTTAATTAACTCCATTATTTTTAAGGTTTGGGCACCCTATATGGTGAAGTAGACCCGCCATGCACGTACGGTTTGAGCAACACCTACGGAGTGATGGAGAACTACGGTCCATTCGGTGTGTATTCCCGTCCAAAACGGCCAGACCAACCTTTCATCCCGAAGCAACCTCCAGAAGCGGATCCCGTACCGCCAATGGAAGCTGAAGTCTATCTGCCTCTAAAGAAGCCTTGTCCGGGAGCTCCCAAGCCTCCATGTACCCCAAAGTTGTGTTGCGCCTGTTATCGACAGAAGAATGGTGGAGGTTTGAAACGAGGAAGTCCACACCAGGAATTAAATACAGTATGATTCAAAAAACAATGGCAATGTTTCTAGGTCATAAATATGAAAATAAGCTAAAAATTTATAATTCCTGTATGGGTGAACATGTCATAAATTCACATGACAAGTTTCAAATCGTTGTCTTTGGTCGGTTGATTACATACACGAATTTCTTAAGTGAACGTCTTGCGGGGTTTTCATTAAGATGGAGGAGCTTGAGTATCGTGCTGTCATCAAATTCTTCGGGTTGGATGAATTAACTCCTGAGAAAATTCTTCCTAACGTCCCTTAAAGGTGACCCACGCCAAAAACCGCAACAACACCTGAAACCATCGAAAAGATCCACGATATCGTGTTGGACGATAGGCACGTGAATGTGAGGCCGTGAGAATATCGTAAGAATGAAATTTTGACGATTGTGATATAATCTCACCACAACGTTAAAAGAGGCGACAAGCGAGAGTGGCGTGTCTGGTCCATAAAAACACCAGATACCTCATGTTCGTTTGACGAGTTTGTCGTATTTTGAGAGCGGGAATGCCTAGCCCAGGCCTAAGAGGTCTTGGACATTGCTAGGTTTGTGTGGTACCATTTTAAAATTGTAATGATTGCTACACGCAGTCTGGGCGTGGTGTAGGACTGTTCGGACTTTTTTTACATCGCAGCAGCCTCGCAGGCAGAAGCCCAAAAGCCAGAGCACCGCGGTTGCTATAAGGATCCTAAAGAAACTTTGTTAATTTGATTTATGACCTGCCTAAGGTTAGTAGAACTGAAAAAAGCCTCCTCTTATAGACTGTTCCTCGAAGGAGCAATCGTATCAGCCAGTTCTGGATGTACAAAATTCGACACGGTTAGGATGGGAAGCCGAAGTCAGGCGGGGGTTGTCACGTGCCAAAATCACGTAACCAGTAATTTGAATTTCTCTTTATTGATTATAAAGTGCCCATTCCTAGACCAAACCCTTTTTAACCCTTTTTAATGATTTTCTTTCGGCAAATTTCATGGTTTATTGATTTTATAATTCCAGACGTATTATATCTTTCTTTCTCAGCGACTCAGTATTGTGTTGAAATCTTTTGGACACTAATTTTTATAGCCTCATGAACGACTATCTTCGAAATTTTCTCATAAAATATGTAATTTCCGATTAAGATGCCTTGTTTTAAAAACTTGGTGTACAGACGCGTCCAGCGCCATTTTTGCATTTACTTCCCTGCGGAGATTGTGGCCTGGGGGTCATTTGGTTAACTTCCACATTTTGGGATATTAACTTTTATTTTGTACCTTATGTTTAGTTGTGTCGGTTTGGGTGCTACCCGTCAATTTTCGAATTGGATTTTAACCTCCAGCGTGGAAAGCCATTGAGGAGAACCACAATTCGCACTCCCCCAGCTTTGTTTTGTAGCTGCCTTGTAACTGTTTCGCAGCCGATTTTGTTTGACAAAAAACCCTGATGTGAGCAGGTTCTTTTTATAACGTAAATTTTGGGTACGAGGCAAGCAGCCCCTACCTTGTAACGTTCCTCACGTTATTCAAATTACCGATAAGTGTTCAAGATAGTAAAAAAAAGGTTACTTGATTTTGGCACGTGACAACCCCCAAGAGCTCTGAGGAGCAAAGCCCGTTGGTTTAGCGGTAGAAGAGAGCTAGATTGCCGACGGCCCACCTATGCGAGGGAGTTACGAGACCATTTGTTAGAGAAGAGTCGTCAATGAGTCGAATAACCCTCCTCTGAAATACATCGAGCATGGGTAATATAGACGGGGTGGCAGCACCCCAAACATCTGAGCAATACTCGAGGTCTTATCTGGGCCTTCTATAGAGTGAAGAGGTCATGTGGGAAAATCACTTCTTACCCCTAGCTTTTCCCAGCAACTGCCGCTATTGACGAGATGTGCTCGTGCAAGATCAAGTCATGGGTGATCTGGACTCCGACCAGCCGAACGGCTCTTTGGCAAAAATGGGTCATCCATTGGAACCGGTTGACCGCTAGGACGCTTTTTGTTCGACAAGTTACAGTACTGTGTTTTGGAAACATTAAACTGTACAAGATCCTTGCTTCACCAAGCGTGATAACCTCCAGGTCTCTCGTCAGAAAAAAAGTCGCTGCTAGCCATTCTTTTTTCCATCTTACTCGGTATTGTTACTCTGAATTCCTGCATGTAGAGGGCTGTCATCAGCAAAGCTGTGGATTAGATTGATCGTACAGGAAAGCAGGCCGTCAAAGACCGATCCCTGGGGAACACCCGCGTTGTCTTTGTGGGATGAAAAGGAGAACCCGTCAGTTACGATGGATATCTTTCGGCCAGAGGGAAAGTCAACCACCCATATGCAAAGATTCTCTGGGAGCCATATGATGGAACATTGCAAAAGAGGGCAGCATGCCACAGCTGATTGAATGCTGTAGTGATAAGGCTGGATGAGTTTAGTCCACAATCGCATAACGTAAGCTAGGAAGTCCCCTGTGGATCGCTGGTGCCGGAAACCGTACTGCCTTACGTTGTGACGTTCGAGGTACTCCAGAAGCTCGCTTATAACAGAAAGCAGAGTTATAGGCCTGCAGAGGGTCGGTCTTAGATCCCTTTTTGGGGATCGATTGGACATGAGCAAATTTCCAGTTTTCTGGGCTTCTACCGGAACACGCTGTATAGTAGCGACAAAAACAAATCAACTGACATTTGGAAGAACGATGAATATAAAAGATATTGTCATTGCCAGTTTTTGTTTTGTAGTTTGACAGAGACCACAGAAGTAGCCGAAACGTTAGTAAATCTTTTGCATCTGTGGTTTTATTTGGCGACCAATGAAATATGGAGATCAATATTGGTTCAAGCTTCTTTAAGCTTTTTCATATCGTCGCCTTCCGGAGAAAATCACGTAACTACACATTTTCTCTAAAAATAAGATTTTTATGCCATCTTTCAGCTATAAAGGTAACCTCTCGATGCACAAAATATCCAAGTCCCAAAATCACTATTTATAGGTTAAAATCCGCCAACGCAATATACGTATCTCCTGATGATGTTTAAGGTCCCGCGAAAAATGCGTAAGTCCCTATGTAAACACTGCAGTTTGCGTGGCAGTACTTGTCGCTCCGAATATTTTGTTGTTCTTAACGTGTCTAATCAACTTTTTGGAAAGCTGTTTTTTGCAAGGTGGACAGTATTCTAAATATGTTCTATAAGTCATTTCAGTTGCGTATTTGTGTATAGATGTGATTTGAGGGAGATACATAATTTTTGCGTACTTACAGCTATCTAAGCATTTTACTTTTTGTTTTTTATCAAACCAAAATGGTTGTAAAAAATACTGTACTGAAATTTCTGCTGCCACAGAAGGTACGTTATAATGAAAATATGAATTTGATTTTAAATTCAGAAACCAGGTATTTAAGTTGAAACAAATATATGATTGATAGTCAAGATGTAATTTAGATAAATCGAATCGCGTCTTTAAAAACGCTGCCGTGGCAGATTGTTTTTACATTTCATCAAATAAAAAGGTAGTTGATTGAATCAGAAGAGTTATTCCAGAGGAAAAGGGCTAATCAGCATAATGTTGACCAACCAATGTGGTTAAAAAATGTAAATCAAGCGAACCGAGAAAAGGGCGTAGCGTATAAAGCCAAAATGAAGGTTGATGGAAAATAGAATTATGACATTCGAGAAAATGTTATTTAATGTTTGCGACTGTACGATTACAACTATATCTATTAAAACAGAGTGCAGAAAATTGACTCAGGAAAACCTAATTCATGCGGTTCCAACATATCTTGGAACCACATGAATTGGCAGGAGAGAAAAATGTGCCTATATCCAGAGTTTGGTGAAAATTCAAAATGATAACATTCTATGCACTAAAGTACTACCTCAAAGTCGAGAACAAAGAATTTAGGGTCTGCAAAAGAATGTTTCTAAATACGATCAGCATGAAAGAATCTACAGTATTGAACTGGACGAAAAGTGACAAACTGGAAGGAAGTGGAAAGAGACTAAAGGATAAAAGAAGACTAGGAGTAAAATATACGGAGGACGAGCGAGGCACTGATGAGTTTTTCGATTCATTACCAAAAGTTGAGTCACACTATTGCCGAGCATCCAGCAGTAAACTATATTTGGAACCAATGTGGACTTCAACAAATCAGTGGTATAGTTTTTATAAACGTCATCATTGCCCTGACAGTGGTGATGAACCCGTATCACGAACGGTCTTTTTCAAAGAATCTAATAAATGAAATCTCTCGATATATGTTCCTACCCCCCCTGTGTGATACCTGCGTTGCGTACAATGCAAGGAATCTTCCAAAACGAGAGTATGATTTACATCAAGAAATAAAAAAAGAACCGAGAGAAGGAAAAGAAAAAGACAAGAAGTCACCTGCGACAGTATCCACAATGGGCTTGTAAGCAGTTGTCCTATGTCCAAAATCGACAGTCAGTGCAATGTATTATAAGACTAAGTTGCTTGTGCTCAATTTTACCCACGTCTAACGAATTATCATCTACATTGACTGAGTTTATAGAAAACACTGTCATTCCTTCACTAAAGGAAGAGCAGAAAGAAGTAATCCTATATAGCGACGACTGTACCGGGCAGAATCGAAGCTCTATTTTGGCCAATACTTACTTAAAATCACAATGCTCCATAAGATAACATTAATTCAAAAATACCTTGAAAAATGGCACACGCAAAAGGAAGTCGATTCAATGCACACTTGCATTGAGAAAAAGATTCGGAACCGTAAAATGTGCTTGCTTGTGTGTCATCTAGACAGAATCCAAAGCGTTATAATGTAAGATATATTATATATATATATATATATATATATATATATATATATATATATATATTACATCAAACTTTCTGCAGAAATTCGATACGCTCAATTACTACAAATCTGTTCGACCTGGCAGAGATTCAATAGTGAAAATACGTGCTTTAAAGTATGACCCATCCAGAAAGATATATAAATTAAGACACACCGACTCCTGGGAGCAACTAAATCCTCGCCTAGACTAGATTCTTTACACAACATGTACCAAGAAAGAAGGAAGATGAAGAAAGAAAAATTTGAACATCTCCAAATTTTTAAGAAAAGTTTACTTCAAGACTACTATACCTTCTACGACAATCTTCCCTACGAAAAAAATTAATCTATTCACCATGTAATATGTTCTAATATATTGAATGTAATAAAAATACAATCATGATAAATTTGTGATTTTTTCTTCTGGAAAAATAAGTATGTCCCTGACTTCAAGGACAAAAATTCCGTAACACCTTAAAAAAATTAAGTGTTATACTTCGCTCGTTTTTTTTTTCGCTTTCATCTCAGTGTGGCCGGTTTTTCAACAGTTAGTATAAATTTCGTTGAGTTATTAGATAAACACAATCTTCAGGAAAGTTTTTTGTCTCCCCTGAAAAATTTTCCGATGGGGACATAAGTGATTTTCTCCGGAAGGCGACAATATGTAGTATTACATTATTTAGGTCGGTGGTTGTCGAGGAATGCTAAAAGGAGGCAATAACGCTGATGCTACTCCAGTTCTCAGGCTGCGTGGAGGCGGATCAGGAGAATTCGCTGACCCACCATTAGCAGAATCCACACGTCTAAGTGTGCCAAAAACACCGCTAGCCGCATCCACACGGATTGAGCCGAGATCACCATTCCAAGAATGCAAATCTGTTATGGATCAATTCGATGCTGTCCTAGCTGCATACAAAAGAGCTTTAGGTAGGCAACTGAATGAAGTTTGTTAAAGAGCAACGTCTACTTTATAGGAGTTTCTTGAGCTTTATCAGACAAATTCAGAAGTTTATCAGAAAAATGTAGTGTGTTCAACCAACGACATGTTTCGTCCAACATGCAATATTGGAGGTTTGGACCCAATGATGTCATATGTTTGAGGTTCTGGTTTTGACTGAAACAGCAAAACAACCTGTGATATAATAACGCAATCTGTGATTCAATGACAATCACGACATTTTTTTGTAATAACAAATTAACAGTTACGGCAAGTTGGTCACCTAAGGTCTCATTTTGGAGGTAATTCGATCCACTACAAATTATTTTCGACCACTTACATCAATAATCCATGACTGAATATGCGCGTAAAACGATTTTTCCAGCTTTGTCGTTCAATAAAACAGTTAACCAGCAAAATGACTTGTATTTCTAGATGAAGCCATGCAATATATCCTCAAGAATACAATTCCGCTATAAAACCTACTAATACATTTTTTCTGAAACAGTCAACTTGGTCTATAAGCAAAATAGTTCGAAAATCCATAGTTGTAGTTACCGTGTTTGGCGGGTGAAAGTGAGACCACCAGTATCCTTGATACAGAGTCCGTCAGAAAGAACGCATGTTTTTAAAATGAGTAAGTAGTACAGTTAAAATAAGTATGGGAAAAATATTTTATTATATCAAAATACTCAGAAATACAAGCCATTTTTTTGAGTAAAACAAAATTTACGTTCTGAAAACTATGTCGGCCATATGGCGCACTTGAGCCGAAATGCAGGTATCAAGGCTCTCCCGAAATGAGCCCATTGCATCGGCCAGCATCCGTGCAGGAATTTGGGTTACTTCTCTTCTTATTTCCTCCTTCAAATCGACGAGGGTCCGAGGATTGCTTTGGTAAACATTTGATTTCAGGTAGCCCCATAAAAAATCACACGTTGACAAGTCCGGAGAGCGAGGAGGCCATGGAATATCGCCATGACGTGAAATGAGACGTCCTGTGAATTTTTGCCGAAGTGCGAGCTGTGTGAGATGTTGCCCCGTCTTGTTGGAACCACACTGTTCTGAGACGGACACGTCGACGTCGAAGTGACGGAAAAAAGTTGTTTAGTATGTGGATGTAACGCTCTAAATTCACAGTAGTTGTTTCTCCATCATCCTCAAAAAATAAGGGCCAATAATCATCGTTGGGCCTACTGCATACCAAACTGTAACTTTCGGGGCATGCAGGGGGTACTCATGCAACTGTTGGGGGTTCACTGGAGACCAATATCGACAATTTTGTTTATTGACGTATAAAAACAACGTCATGTTATTGTTATCCAACTGTTCAATCATGAGCTGTGTGAAATTAACACGTTGTGCATAATCCCCTGGCAACAGTTGTTGACAATCTTGGATTTTGTAAAGATGGAACACTAAATCCTTCTTCAAGGTGCGACCTACAGAGGACGCGTGGATCCCTAGGGAACTGGCACGCAAACGGACGGAACGATTCGGGCTTTGTAGCGTGTCAACCCTCACTCTGTCTATGTTTTCGGGGGTTCTAACAGTACGGTTTCGTCCTGGCGGATTTTTCTTCATCACATTACCTGTTGTGCTGTATGCTCCCACCCATCTCAAAATGGTGTTACGGTCTGGTACTGTCCTACGACGTGGACCACGAAAGTGAACGCCAAACTCACGTTGCGTTCGAACGACTGACTCGCCATTTTGAAAGTACCGACGTACAGTGAACTCACGATGTTCAACGTTCCAAACCATCTTGCCAACAAAACGGCACTTCTCCCACTATCAACACGCTCTTCACAACCGACACGGGACCAGCCCACTCGATGTAGAACCCATTCAAAAAAACATGCGTTCTTTCTGACGGACCCTGTATATCTCTATCTTCCTCACACATACACATGTAACCTACCCCTGTGTGTGAACGTTTGTCCGGTAAGCTCAAAGAACTATGTTTTTTTAGTTTGTCTCCGTGTCGAAAATTTTGTCATTGCGTATGAATGCCCTTCAATCATATTTGTCAGAGTGACAACTTACTTGACATCGGCATGCAATTCGAGCTGTCCTGTTATCAATCTTCAATATAAAATTGTACAATGCCCGGAAATACGATCTATGGAGAAGGCCGACAGCTCGTGCCTAATTTATTATAGTATTTCCAAGAAGAGAATGAAAACAGCGGTCCCCTGTTACCCACTTCATGCGTACTAGAGAGAGTAGCAGATGCGCTGAAGATTAGTCTGCGCAGTTTCCGCATGGTACGGAGACTCGATCTGTTTGCTTATTTCATATGGCGTTGATGAATTAACCGCCAAGAACGGTGGCTACAACTATAGATACCTACTATTAGACAACTCATGACGTAACTCCTGTGACCTATGATTATTTCTTTAATAGAGTCATTTTTCAACTTTTAGTTAATCATAATCTCGCTAGGAATTTTTTAGCCAATCCACTCGCGATATATTTTTTAACATACAACATTTTATATAAAATACATTCCATCCATTTAACAGATGGGTGAAGGTCATTCTAACTCAGATCTTAGACTATAAACGTACGTCATATGGTTCACTTATGTTTTGCACAACTTATCTTTTTTTTACTGTACCATTTTCATCGTTATTTTGTGTATGCCATTACATGTGGATAGCAAATTGTCAGGCATGACGACTTACACGTAAAGCTTTCCCTATTGCTATATTGCTATTACTCCTCTAGATACTTCTCGATGGTTATAGTATTGTTTGAAGCAGGATAAAGTTGCGTAAATGTATTTCAGAATCACGACTAATATCATCTTTTTAATAAAATCTAATATAGTAATTAACGATAGTGTTTGTTGATATGTTTATACTATTTCCTTTTAAAGGACCCTGTGGTGAAGCCACATGCCCTTACGCTCAGAGCATAGCTGAAGAAAACTGCAGGAAAATTTGCGAACATCCCCCTAAAGATTCGGACAGTATATCTTGTAGTGAGACACCTTGCAATATCGTACAGTGTTCATACCAAGAACCTAGAAAGTTCGATATACCTGGAGGCTGTGGATCTTTGAAGTGTGCATATACCAAATACAAATTAGGTAAGCAATACATCTGTAGAGTGATTGAAAAAACAATGGCAGTGTCTCATAAGCCCTGTTTTTACAGCAGTCGCCAACCTGTCAGTGACCGTGTTAAAGATCCCGACACACAAATTTCGTTCATTCTGCTACGCTATATAGACGGAATTCACACGGCCGGATCCCACGCATAGTCACCGACCACTGTACGAACAAACCTTACAACAGAAACTACGATATATCCAAAATCAATATAAACTTTACTAACTTCAGCGTATTTTTAAAGTAAAAACTGCCTGTGTAGATCACGACCTATTTGATTATTTTATGTTTGTTTGTTTAAGATTTATTTAACATGACTGCTACAATTACATTCTTCTAAAAACAATTACATAACATACACATATTTAGAAAAAAAAGCAAAATTTGCATCTCTAAGAATTTTCATTGTCCATGAAATATTTTAATTTAGTTTATTGATTATTGCTAGTTATACTACTATTGTAATTTTGTAAATTAAAATTGATATTTCCTCTTATATAATAATTGTGGTAATGATTATTCAATTCTATGTAGTGTTCTAAATGTTCTGGAAAAAATGATTTTTTATTTTAAATATAAAAATAACAACCAAATATGATTTTATTAATTTTTTATATTCAAGCACTGCAATTCTTTTAACATAGATTTTATTTTGGTGTACTTTTTTTTATTCAATATTATTCTCATAGCTGTATTTTGCAAGACTTGTAATTTTGAGAATACAGCTTCATTGACAGTGAACAAGATAGTTGAACAATATAGTAAATGCGGTAGAATAATTGTATTATAAACTATTTTCTTGGAATAGGTACCAAGACCATGAGAAGCCCTATAAAAGTAATTTGTTTTTTTGGCAATTTTTGAAATAACGTATTCATAGTGCTCTTCAAACTTTAGTTTACTATCAATATATATATATACTAAGTGACATATAAATCCGAACACCCAGTTTAAATGGTTTTATTTTAATAAAAGTTGGTGAATGTATTTATCTTACTGTAAATAACAAGTGAAAACATTTTCAGCCTTATCAGTTGGACATTCCGGCTTTTATACTGCTTTTTTTTTAATTCACTAACGCTCTAAAAATGAATATTTCAGCCGCAGTAAAGAATCAACGTTGGCGGATTTTGGTTTTTGACATCCTTTACGATCGGTTACGATGCCTAGAGTACGGAGACCTGTACGATTTCGTCAACTTAGTGAGTTTGATAGGGGCCGTATAGTGGGACTTCGGGAAGCTGGACTTTCTTTTCGGGCAATTGCAGTTAGAGTGCAAAGAAGTGTAGACACTGTGATTAGGTGTTGTTAGGCATGGCTTCGAGAAGGCCGTACGCAAAGAGCAAGGGGATATGATGGGTAGGAGATTGCTCAATTTGCAACGTCCTCCTCAGACTCTAGAAGCACTTCGAGAGGAGTTGGTGGTTGCCTGAAATGAGATACCACTGGAGGACATTGACCATCTGATCAGAAGCATGCTTAGGCGCGTTGGAGAATGCGTAGCACATCAGGGTGCATCCACACATTGTTAAAGGTCAAAGGGCTTTAAAGCAGTGCAATCATTTTGAAATTTTTATCATTTACTTATTATGCTTCATTAAGTACTTATACAAAATTTTATTAAAATAAAACCATTTAAACTGGGTATTCGGATTTATATGTCACTTAGTATATATATATACCTAAATATTTAATTGATTCAACATTAGTCAGAATTTAGCATTTTTAAAGCAGTGTCTATATTTTCATCTGATATGTATATTAATGTATCATCTGCAAAATATCTGAAGTTTACAATAATCTAAAATATTACAAATGCCATTAATGTATAAAATAAATAGTAGTGGACCTAGTTTCCTACCTTGTGGTATACCAACAGAAATATTTTTTGATCTTGATAATGTAGATCCAATTTTGGTTTTTTGACTTCTGTCAATTAAATCGTTTTGTAGAATTTTGAATACAGATCCTTTAAATCCGTAGTGATGCAATTTTGTAAGTAATCCCTGTCAATAGTCTCAAACGACCTTTTGAAGTACAAAAACATTGTTACTGTATGTTTCCTATTGTCCATACATCTCCTCCAGTCCTCTCAAACCATTTGTGTTGCCGTTTCAGTTGAGTGTATCTTCCTGAATCCAGCTTGAAATTTAGTTAAAATGTTATTTCGCTCAATAAATTGGATGATCTGTTCGTAAATAATTTCTTCAAACACTTTTTCAACATCTGGCAAAACATTTATTGGCCGCTTATTGGTGTACAACTCAGAATTCTTAACTTTAGAAACAGGAATTATGGTAGAACACTTCAGTTTTGTTGGAAATTCGCCATATGTAAACAGTAATTATCAGGGTTAATATTCTTGCTCCGATAACATCAAAACCTTCATTAAGCACACTTTTGGACAAAATTTCACTCTTATTTTGATTTGATTTAGTTTTTGATATAATCTTCTTGAGACGATTAATTTCTATTATTCTAAACTCACTGAATGATGCATTATAACCTGAGCTAATGGAATATTGGTTGGGATCCCCGTCAATAATTGATTTTACAATTACAATTTCTATGAAATAGGTATTCATTCGATCTGCTATTATTTCTTCATTTGTTATTACCCCATCGTCGAATTTCATTTTAGATAATGTACTTTTTCTAATAGGAGAAACAATGTTTTATTAATGTTTTCATGTTCGCTATTATTTTTACTCTGATCAATTTTGACATTGTAGTATTTTTTCTTTTCATCTCGTAGAACTGCTACTGATTGGTTTCTTGATATAGTGTATTCTAGCCCATCATTTTCACTTCCAGTAATCATAAACTTTTTATAATTGTAGTTTCTTTTTAATTTAGAATTCTTGAACGTCTGCGAGAATCAAGGTGTTGGATTTTTCCTTTTATAAATTGTTGTCTTGACTGTAGCTTCTTCTATGCAAACTTCAACATTATTCAATAGGCTTGTATAGTAGCTATCAACATCAACAAACGCTTCAGTCGTATCTTAAAGTAAAAGAGCTTCTCGTAATTTTACATAGTTAATATTAGTAATTTCTTCCACTTTGTTAGCATCAAATTTACTTTAAACTTCAAAACATATCCATAATGATCACTGATCTTAGAAGTATGCATAACTTTTGCAATTAAATTTTGTTCGTTCGTAATTATAAAATCTATAATTGTTTTTGATTGATAAAATACCATCTGTATGTCTGGAAATTGTGTTTGCTCTTATAATTTGATAGCCTTCAAAACCAACTTCTTCATCGTCAATATCCTCTGTGAGATGTGCTTCAGTTAAACAGAGCATCACCGGCTTCACTGCCATCAAGTAATGTAAAACCACATCGTTTTTAGATAGAAATCCTTCAATATTTATATGTTGAATATAGTTTGCATATTCTTTTATCTGTAATTGCTATGGTTATCACTGTAATATGATATGGCTTGTGTTTTTTTATGTTCCATTCGGACTATGCTACAAATTTTATTAAAAGGTGAATGGTGTATGTCGAAATTTGTTTTATATTTTGAATTTGAACTAGTTCTTTCATTTTCTGGTATTTCACAGTTGTGTGGTCGATGTCCACTTCCACCACATTTCAAACAAATACCATTCTTGGAGCAATTCTTTGCTGTATGGTGGAAACCAGCATATTTGAAACATCTTAGGAGGTAATAATGTTCAAAAATTGTACATACATCCATAGATATAAAAAGTCCACCTTCTTTCATAACTTCACTAAATGTAGTATCATCTAGTTCCAAGATAGCCTGATATCGTTGTTTCATTTTTTGAATTATCACCATTCTTATTATTAAATTAGATCTAATAACTCTGTTTCTTTCTTTTATGTCCTTAATCAGTTTTTCTTTACCCATTTCTTCAGTAAAACCGACGACTTTAATCATAGGTAATTTCTTTCGACCCACGTTATCTGTATAATTTTGTCCAATGTTTTTTCCACTTCTATTTTCAATTTGGAGATATCTTCATTATTCTTACATACAATTCTCACAGCTTCATCTTTCAAATCGGTAATTTTTGTTATAGAAACGTTCATTTTGGCGGAGTTAATATATACTAAGTGACATATAAATCCGAACACCCAGTTTAAATGGTTTTATTTTAATAAAAGTTGGTGAATGTATTTATCTTACTGTAAATAACAAGTGAAAAAATTTTCAGCCTTATCAGTTGGACATTCCTGTTTTTATACTGCTTTTTTTTAATTCACTAACGCTCTAAAAATGAATATTTCAGCCGCAGTAAAGAATCAACGTTGGCGGATTTTGGTTCTTGACATCCTTTACGATCGGTTACGATGCCTAGAGTACGGAGACCTGTACGATTTCGTCAACTTAGTGAGTTTGATAGGGGCCGTATAGTGGGACTTCGGGAAGCTGGACTTTCTTTTCGTGCAATTGCAGTTAGAGTGCAAAGAAGTGTAGACACTGTGGTTAGGTGTTGTCAGGCATGGCTTCGAAAAGGCCGTACGCAAAGAGCAAGGGGCAGTGGACGCCGCCGCAGAACAACAGACCGTGAAGATCGCCGCCTAAGATTATTGGCCTTAAGGGACCGTTTCTCCACTACCAGTTCCATTGCAAATGAATGGTTTGCAGAACACGGAAGACCTATTGGCATGCGAAGTGTTTACGGATGAATGAGAAGTTTTGGCTTGTTTTCATACCGGCCACACTGGGTCCTCCCTTTAACTCGAGAACACCGACGTATTCGCCCTGAGTGGTGCAGACAACGGTCACTCTGGGATCAGGAATAGAACAGTATTGTCTTTAGTGACGAGTCTCGATTTTGTTTAGGCATGGACGATAGTCGTGCCAGGGTTAGAAGGCGACGTGGTGAAAGGAGGAATCCACAGTTTTTTGTTGAAAGACACGTTCATCACACTGTTGGAGTTATGGTTTGGGGTGCTATAGCTTATGGTTCCAGGTCACCTTTAATCTTCATCAGAGGTAACATGAACGCGCAGCGTTATATCCACGAAGTTCTAGAACCCCATCTTTTACCCTATCTTGACACCCTGGCAGATCCAACTTTCCAACACGATAATGCCTGACCACATGTTGCAAGCGTCACAATAGACTTCTTTCAACATAATGATGTCACATTGTTACCATGGCCACCAAGATCTCCCGACTTATCCTCAATTGAGCACGTGTGGGATATGATGGGTAGGAGATTGCTCAATTTGCAACGTCGTCCTCAGGCTCTAGAAGCACTTCGAGAGGAGTTGGTGGTTGCCTGGAATGAGATACCACAGGAGGACATTGACCACCTGATCAGAAGCATGCCTAGGCGCGTTGGAGAATGCGTAGCACATCAGGGTGCATCCACACATTATTAAAGGTCAAAGGGCTTTAAAGCAGCGCAATCATTTTGAAATTTTTATCATTTACTTATTATGCTTCATTAAGTACTTATACAAAATTTTATTAAAATAAAACCATTTAAACTGGGTGTTCGGATTTCTATGTCACTTAGTATATTTGCTCAATACTTGCTTTGTTTGAAGGCAATTTTGATTTCCAGTAACTGGTTTTATAACAATTGTATTTTGGGGTTCAGGTAGAGAAACAACCACATTTTTAGCATTATCGGATTCCTTAAATGCCATTGTTGGTTCTTCACTTGGATCAATATTTCGTCCATGTTTCACAACATCACTAAAAGATAGGGACTGCTCTAGAACACCCGATTGTATTTGTGGTATTAACTGAATAATGCTGTTCTGTGTTTTTGGACATATCTGTATAAGATTTACATGGCTTTGTCATTTCGTTGTATCTTCAATTTGCCTTTGTAATGATTCAACGTTTTCATATGATTCCTTGATAATTTTTTCTTGAATTGATGTTGTCTAGTCTTTTAATTTGAGTATTTCCTTTAAACAAAAACCTTTCTCATCCAATATTGTCTCTGTTCCTACTTTATCACTATCTTCCTCATCATTTGGTGTCTCCATATCTATTCTATCTTGTGGAAAAGACTTGACCTACTAAATCTGACAAATGTCTGTCAAAAAGGTCTGCATCCAAAAACTCGAATGTTTCTTGCGGTGTCTCCTCCACCGCCTCTCCCGGTTCACCAAATTTAGTTGAACACTCTTCTTCTCCAATTAGCAAAACCGAAGTTATACTCGTACATGTTATATTTTTTTCAACGCCAATTTTTGCTAAAAGAAAGGTACATAAAAATGGCAGACATGCTTTCTTTCCTAGGTCTAGTTGATGACGATGCCGCCCTAGAACTGGCCTGTCTACCTCCCGCAATCTCCGGCAAGTGCGGTCACCAGAAGTGCCCGTACCCGTGGCCTTCGGATCTGCTACCCATCCATTGGGATTGCCCAGAACCGCTCCCTAAGGGACCTTGCAGGAATCCCAACTGTCCACATCAACCGGCGAATCTCAGAAACATCAAGTGTCCACCTCCAAAACCAGGACCTTGTGGAAAGGTTTGTAGATAGATAAATATGGTTTATTATCTTCAGAATACAATCATTCTTGATGCAAAGCTAATTTAAAACTAAAATTTTTTTGATGCATCGTTTGCCAAATTGAAATGGCGGACAGAAGAGGTCTTTTTATATCACCCCAGGTCCCTCAAACAGTATTTAGCCCAACGGAATTAATTATGTAGATTTTTAATTTTTTTTAGTAAAAACTCCAAAATGTAATACACAAAGTGAAATAAAAAAAAGAGTATGTCCACTTAATGATTAATTTATCTTAATGGGTGATGTTGTACCAATGTGACAGAATCAACATTACTTGCCAGCAGCATGTAGTTTTTTATTTATAAACTCACAAAGGATCACAAAGATGAACAAAAAATGTAAGTCTCAATTTTGAAGTTCCGTAAAAAAAATTAAAAGCGTTCACGTTCTTAGAATTCTTTTAAAAACAACTCCGTCGCGTAGACGAGTGCTTTTGCACGTCCCCAGATGTAAAAATCCAATGGAGTTAGATCTGGGGAGCGTGCAGGCCATGGAATAGGACCATCATTTAGATGTTCCCGCACAATTAGCCTCCAGTATGCAGGACAGCCATCATGTTGGAACACAATTCGTCTGTCGCCATTGAAAATTGGCACCTCATTCGCCAATTCGGGCAACTTATTTTGCAGAAAATGTAGATAATTATCTCCGTTAAGACGATCTGGCAAATAATGTAGCCCAATTACATGATTGCCAATTACTCCTGTTCAAACATTCACACTGAATCTTCCCTGAAGAGAGCATGGCGTCTTCACTCTTGGGATCTGATCTTTTGAAGTCCAAGGGTGCAGATTGTGCAAATTTAGTATGCCTTCCTTGGTGAATTTGGACTCATCCGTCCACAGAATACTTGTCAAAAAGTCCGGATTGTCCACGTCTGTGTGCAGCAAGAAACGACAAAATTGGACTCGGTTGTCGAAGTCATTGTTTTCAAGACCTGCAATCAAAAAAATACGGGTAACATTAGTTTGCCGTCGCTACATGCTAAATAAAAGCGATAAGAAGTTTCCATTGCAGACAGTTGTAAGTGTGATAAAAAAATTACGTACCTTGTACAGGAGTGTAGTGGAAGGCATGTTTATTATTCTGGCGAAGTACTTTCTACACTTTCCAAACTAAAATTCCCAGTGATGAAGTTACATTTCGACTCTCTAGTCATAAAGTAAGGAAGCATTTATACAAACCATTATTACAAGAACCAGCTGTGTTGTAGGCTGTGCTAACGTCTTTTTCAAGATTGTCTCTTGACGACTTCGGTTTGTGTACTTGAGGCTCACCCGGGAAGGTTCTGGATTTTTCAATCCAACCGAGAGTCGGGCCCGTGCTATTATTATGGCGCGGAGGCTAATTCCCGGATTGAACGCTCTCACCGCGCCCCCCAAGATCAGTGGCGCGAGACTGACCAAGGCGCCGGTTTTCGGCGCCGACACTACTAAGAACGGGCCAGATCTACCCCTGGCCCAACCCGCATCCAGCAAACGCGGGAGTGAGGACAAGGGGAGGACAGACAAATCAAAGGCGAAGCCCGTCAGCGGCGCCAAGACATGCAATACTGGCGCCAAGTCCTCCCCGAACGTCGGCAGTGCAGCTAAGAACGCAAAAGATGGCGGATCGACAAGTGCCAAAATCCTCTCATCGATGTCAACATTGCGTCGCACTACACCTCTTGGTACATTATTGCTCACAGTACCGATTACTCGTAAGCGTCGACAAGTGTTTTGGAATGTGTGGCGAGTAGGTACACGCCTGTTAGGATAGCGCTCTTCGTAGATTCTTTGCGCTGCTCGTACAACACAGTTGGCTAGTCCGTACACCAACAACATGTCTGCATACTCTTCATTTGTAAATGCAGCCATCATCAAAATAGAACTCAACGAAACCACTGACAAAACAACAACAGTCACAGGTCGCGGCACTACGTAGAAGTAACAAAAGCGTTAGACAGCCAGCAGGGACGAAAATCGATGGAAAAATGGACCCATGTCGTCCCTGTCGGTTAGCCGCTCAACTAGTAAAAGAGAGAGATAGATGATACTGCTATGTACGAGGGAGACAAAAGTTTTTACCAGAGTTACGTTGTACGTGTAAATTACACAACAGAAGTAATAATTCATTGTTATTATCCGACCGAAAAAATTTGACCCTGTACACAAAATTTGCAAATTCAAGAAATTGTTTCATCTTTTTTGTGACTTGTGGCATACCGGTGGAATCGGGATAAACTAAAGTAGTTTTTAAAAGAATTCTGAGAATGTGACCGCTTTTAGTTTTTTTTACAGGAATTCAAAGTTGAGACCTACATTTTTTTTGTTCTTTGTAACCCTTTGTGAGTTTATAAATAAAAAACTACATGCTGCTGGCAAGTAATGTTGATTTTGTAAGATTGGTACAACATCAGCCATTAAGATAAATTAATCATTAGCTGGACATACTCTTTATTTTTTTTATTTTACTTTGTGTATTACATTTTGGAGTTTTTACTCAAAAAAATTAAAAAATCTACATAATTAATGCCGTTGGGCTAAAAACTGTTTGAGGGACCTGGGGTGATAAAAAAGACCTCGCCTGTCCGCCATTTTAATTTGGCAAACGATGCACCAAACAACAAAAAATAACAAATTAAAATATGCGGTTCTTAAGTAAACATAATGTAGAACTCAGACAAGTTATAATTATTTTAAAATGATTATTTATTAGGATGTTTTTGAATTCTCGGCGGAATATATTCAAATTTTAAGACTACTATAAATTATTGTATCTTTCATAAGTGTTGATTTAGGTACTATTAATTTAAGAACTTGTTTTCGCCTAATATCGTAACTTATAATTAACGTTTCAAGTTTATATTTATTCAAAAAAATAAGAGTTGCTGTTTAGTTATATATCTAATATGTCGTTTGAAGTTCAGGGTGTCCAGTGGGAAAGTTCACTATTTGAGTTGAGAAAAAAATACAAACTTAATGAAAAGAAAATATTTATTACTATAAACATATTCGTAAATTCGGCGGGTTCTATTTGTTACATTCATCCAAATGTTGGCCATTCCTTCGGACACACTCTTTTAATCGAGCGCGCAAATTCTGAAACTCTTGCAGAGTTCCGGAGTGATGTTGTTTATTTCTCGTCTAATGTTGTCTTTAAGTGTTCGTGGATTATTGGAATACACTTTTGATTTTACACAGGGTGTTCCTAAATGATATGCGAATATTTAAGGATGTGAATCTAAATGAAAAATTAATGTTAGTTTGCTTTATATACTATGGTCCAAGAATGTTTCCTTACAAAAACTCGGTGTGTTGAAGTTTTAGGAAAAAATGGAAATTAATTAATATTTTCAGAACCTCTTCAGATATTTCACTGATATTTAGTACGTAGTGAAAGTTAATAAAGCTGCATATTTTTAAATGTAAAAATAATTTTTAGCTTAAACAGTGGCGTGCGTACGGGTATTGACTTCGATATTTTTTAAGAAAAAAATGGTACGCCAATGGTTTTTTGCCAAATAAAAATTATTTTTAAATTCTCCGTTCAATTTATAATAAATGATCTGTCTTGAATTGTTTTCCTTAGATGCGTCATTTTTGGGTACAAAATAAAAACTGTTCTATTGTCTAACTTGCAAAATTATTATTAATTTAACTGGAAAAATTTAACACATTGGAAAAATTCAACACATTGGAAAAATTTAACACATTAGGGGTAATGAATAACAACAACTGACAAAATAAACATAACATTAAAACCAACGAAATGATTACAAACATTGTTGAAAATGGCCCCCTTCACTTAGTATGCATGCTTCCGCCCTCCTTCTCATGGAATTGCGCACTCGTTGAAATATCCCTGGAGAGGTCTACCTTCAGATGTTCCGTTTCGGACAGAACCAGTTTCAACAAGACGACGATGAATATTAGAAAAGGTTCGACTATCTGGCAAAGCACGATCGGGATATCTCTGGTGATAAATCCGTCTGGCTTGCTCACCATTACCGTCGGCAAGGCCATATACGTAATGCATTTCCGCCATTTCTGCATTTGAATAGTTCACCATTATTAACAAGATTGTAAAAACTAAATAATGAAAAAGATGTCAGAGCGAACAAAGTGTTTCCATCATAAAGAATAGCATGACAGCTATCTCATCGCAGTTAACAGTAGATAGAGGTATCCCACAAGGAAGCGTCTTGGGCCCTCTCCTCTTTGTGATGTTTGTAAATGATCTGACTGATAGTATAACCCGAATAATGTATGTACTATTCAATATGCAGATGATACTAGTGTTATTATAGCTGGCCAAGATTTCAACCAAGTAGCCGAAAATACATTGAGCATATGCGAGAAAGCATTTTGGTGGTTTGCTCGCAACGGTCTATCCTTGAACACATCAAAAACAAATGCGATAGTATTCAAATTAAAGAAAAAATCGAAGCTACGAAGATCCACTTAGCTGATAGGGTAGAAGTCAAGCTGACAGACTCTGGTAGATTCTTAGGAGTGTATATTGACCAACGACTTTCCTGGGCTACACATGTAGAACATCTAGAAAAACGGTTAAACAGCACTGGTTATAGTATTAGGATATTAAGTAAGTACCTAGACCTTAAGACTCTAAAAATTGTTTACCATGCCAACTTTGAGTCCATTGCATGTTTTGGTATAATTTTTTACGGACACAGAAGCCAGATAAACAGGCTCTTTCGGGTACAGAAACGAGCATTGAGATGCATGTTAAAAATTCCGAGGAGAGAAACATGTAGAGGAAAATTTAAAGGGAATAAAATACTCACCCTAGTGCCAATATATATTCAGGAAATATTGATTTTTACATTTAAAAATATTGGGTACTTTATAAGAATCCCAGGCAATTACAATACAAGGAACAGAGATATCTCTTTTGTACCCAATTCATCATCTAACTGTTACCGAAAAGAACGTACATTACAGTTGTGCAAAGCTTTACAATAACTTATCCCAGTAAGTTAAAAAGTTTTCGAATATAAAAGAGCTCAAGAAATGTATTCACAAGTTACTAATGAATCTAGAGCCATATGGGCACGATGAATATCTAGAAATGTAAAACAAACATTGTGTAACATTGTAATATTCAGACACTTTTTTTGTTTCTTGCATTTGTTTGCTATTATGGCATTATGTAACGTATATTTCACCTGACAGCGGACATTACGTTGTAATTGTGCACTGTTGTTTTGAAATAAAGATTATTTATTATTATTATTATTAAAGCAAACTATCATTAATTTTTCATGTAGATTCACACCCTTAAATATTCGCATATCATTAAGGAACACCCTGTATAACCCCACAAAAAATAATCGCATGGCGTGAGGTCGGGTGACTTAAAAGGCCAGTGAATGTCTCTAAACTTCGATATAACTTTTTGAGGAAAAAGTGATTTCACCGTTTCCATCGATTCTCAGGAAGTATGGGCAGTGGCTCCATCCTGTTGAAACCATTTGTTTCTGTTAAATCGGCGTTCTGTTCTCACAGTAGGAACAAAAAATGTCAATCATGGCCTTGTATCGCTCGGAATTGGCTGTCAATGCATGCCGTTTTCATCTTCAAAGAAATACGGCCCAATAATACCGCTAGAGGATATGGCGCACCAAACAGACACCTTTGGACTATGTAGCTGTTGTTGATGTTTCCCTTTAAGTTTCGCTGTGTGAAACCGTCTGTGAAAATGGGCCTCGTCGCAGAAAACAACGTTCCCGAGTCAGATTCAACATCCGGTCAACACAAGATCTCCGTAAGACGTAATCACTTCCATTTAAAGCATGTACTGATTGGATTTTATAAGGATGAAAACCGATTTTTTTTCTTCATTATGCCATGCAGTGTTGACCAAGGAATTCCGAAAGCAGCGGAATGCTTCCAGACAGAACGTTCAGGATTTGCAATGATCGAATCACTTACTCGACGTACATTTTCTTCGGTTGATACAGTAGGTGTGGGGCCAGGAATTGGTTGATTAAGAGTAGAGCCTGTATCACGGAACCTCTTAATCCACTTTTTCAATAGGTTCTTCCTTTGGGCATTTCTTGGTCGGCGAATGTTGTATCATGTACAAAATTTCCGAAGGGCAGCTGCATGTGAATCACCACTCTTAAAGTAAGCTTCGATAGCAAAAGCACGTTGCGCTCCAGTCCAACGTTCCATCGTGACTATTTAACTCGCACGCCGAACGCGTCGATCAAGACCTCTCCCCACTTCCTCGCATATACGGTAGCCGCGTAATTAAAATTTGAAATGTGAACTTTCCCACTGGACACCCTGTATAAGCACCTTTTTCAAGTGATTTTGACAACAGACACACAAAAGGGAATGCTGTACATCTAATCTTAAGCTGTAAAGTAATTACTTAACGCTGCGCCTTTTGCTACGTTCTAATTGAATCAAGGTAGCGTTTAAAACTCATATATTTTGTCTTGAAAGATAAGTAATTGTTACCACACCATTTTTTGATTGCTTGTATATGTTTTAATTTCATTCGCATCTGTTTCTTGTCAAAGTATCGTAAGCAAAAACTATGAAATTTCCATGTATGTTTAAACTTAGTAAATCATTGATAAACACTAAGAATATAATGGGACCCAGTACTGATCCTTGAGGGACACTGGCGTTTATATTTAATTTGTTTGCAATAATACTCTCTTCATACTTTTACAATATGGTCTTTCTTCCCAAGCCAATTGGCGAAGAAGTATTGCAAGCGCGAATAATTTCGTTTCCACTATAATTCGGAGAATACTAGCCCGATTTTGATGAAATTTTGAAACCAGGTTACTACTGTGCAATGGACGAAAAATGTTTATAATTTTTAAAAAGCGATCCAGTGGTGGCTCAGCTACGAGCGGCAAATGAAAAAAGGTCGTTCAAACTTCGTTTTTCGACGATTCAGTTTTCAGATAAATTTATGTTAGGGTTGAAAATTGGGGTATGGGAGCATAAAATGCTTATGAGTTTATAAGTTCCATTCACGGTTGGATGTTTAGAGTTTCGTTCCTTGGTACCTGCGCTGTGAATCCTTTCTCTCCCAATCACCCGAAAGAACCAGTAAACTGACTGGCGTTGGCGGCAAAAGTACATTGCCTTTGTGTTTTGAATCATGAGCAAATTTAACGAATTATCTTTGTGTCTAGTAGGTGAACTCTACTTCTAAAAGGAATATAATCTGATTGATGACAGAATTGCGTGGAAGTACAGAGTCAACCTGCTTGACACCATTTTCTTATTTGATTATACAGGTGACATGCCCTTTCGCAATGCCAGAGCCGTGCGACAAGCCAAACTGCCCATTTAGACCGAGACCGTGTCTATTTTTAGAACAAGAAAAACTGAAAAAGAGACAACAAGAGCGTAGAGAAGTTCAAGATGCAGGAGGTGTAGAAGTATGCGAAAATCCTGAATGTCCATTCGCACAGCAGGGTAATCCTGTTGAGCATGATCCCAGGTATAACACAATATAGGATCGGCAATATACAGGGTGACTTTGAAGTTGAGTCATTAATTTTCAGATAATGATTGTAGAAGGAAGATAAACCAAAATATTTATGTAAAAATAAAAAAAAAATAAGTATCCCCCCGACAAGTATTTCAGTGCGGACCTGTATTTGATCGTGAGGTCTTGGAGCACCGGCATGCAGTCCCCTGTGAGGTCTTAAGTCACCTGATTCACGAGCCCGTTGTACTACATTGCTAAAGGCACGAGGGGTTGGTTGCACTCGATTGGGAAACCGATCCGCATAAATATGTGCCATTTTTTATTTCGTTTGAGCCACGCAGCAAGCACTACTATTCACTCACGCGTTACCGACTGACACAGACTGAATAAAAACATCGTGATCAGCGTTTCAAATTCTTTCGCTTTTTTGTTTCCGATGCGATGAACCGATAAGGCGGAGTATATCCGTTGTTGCCAAACACAAGCACATAATATTATTATTGAGACAGGGCGGTACTCAAACTTCTAAAGGGCTATAACTTTGTTACTTTAATTTTACCACAAAAATGTTAAAGGAAAAAACATTTCTTTTGGTCAGATATACTCACTGTTAAAATAAATGACTCAACTTCGAAGTCACCCTGTATAACTGACTGATTTGATTTACCAATATTCAATATATTATTGTGACAAGAATAAATAGTACTGTTGGCGCCATCTGTTGGGAGACTCTCCTACTCGCCAGAGCTTCATGGCCGATCTCTGCTTTTACATGAAACACGACCGCACAAGCCGCTTGGCGACATCTGTGAGGACCGTGCCAGTGACTCGCCTTCTAGATCGATGCGAAGTGTTCTCGAAGCGTCTAGACTGTCGCACGCCAGACTTTTCTCGACCCACGATGCGGACTATATTACTCGACGGCCGGGAGATGGAAGCAGAGTACAGTAAAGTAGAGCGGAGTGGAGTATAGCTCAGTCAATGGCGCGACATACAATTTAGTCAGACATAAATAGTGGTGTACATAAATGTTTTATCAAGTTGAATAAATTAGTGCATTTCATTTTGTGGAATCCAGTGTCTTAATACACACCCAAAAGAACCCGGAAAAACGCTACATTATAGGTAATAATATTAAAATGAAATAAGTAAGATCTATTTGTTATTATTATATCATTTTTTCAAATAGATTCACTAATACTGCTGTTCAATCTTCAATTAATTTATAGTGCTTGGTTTGTTGGCATAAGGCTTATTTCTTAGAAATTCTCAAGTAAATAAATAATTAGGAGCTGTTAAATTTGGTGATCTTGGGGATATCAAACACCCTAGAAACATTCATCGTTTTTCTAGCGGTGTGTGACATGTTACCTCATCCTGCTGGCACCACATTTCATGCAGGATCAGTTGTTGAATTTTAGGACCAACCAACTTTTACTGCATATCGCGGTGACGCTTACCAGTGACAGTAAGGGAAGACGTTGCGGATGATTACGTGATATCATGTAAAATATTGTGGCTGCTGAAGCAATATCGCTACTGGGGAAAAGACGTGCATTTTATAAAATGTCATTCAATTTTCTATAAATTGTCTCCTAAGGATTTTTGTCAGATCACTTGTTTTGGAGATAGTTAGGTTTGACTATTTGAGGTAAAATCCTAAAATATTCTTATGAAAAGGTTTAGCGTGTGAAGCTTGATATTGGAAACACTATATGGTAAGTGAAAAAAAAAAGCTATGGCACGTCATTACATCATTAACTGAATAATATGCGTGTCTTAGTCTCAATCAGTAGCGTGGAAGCTTACCATTCATTAAACCTTGTTTATGCATGTAACTGGTTTTCATGGTATACTTCTCCTGGTTAGATTCTTTTGTTTGTCTAAAATCACAACTAGTAATTGTGAGACCAATCAATTTGAGTAAAATTCGTATTTTTTTTATTTCTGAAATTATCGGTGTTTTTACAAATTCTCTAGCAATTCGGATTAAGATTAATTCAGCATTATTTTTTATTCCCAATGTTATGTCTTCATAAATTAGAAACAACCACGTAAGTTGGTTTCTTTGTTTTGAAGTTTATTTATCTATAAACAAAAATGCATATGCCGAAAAAACTAGTGCCTTGCACAGGAACGGTAAGCTTCTTCGCTACTTATTGAGGATGAGACACGAATATTATTCAAATAATGTTGCAATGAGGTGCCATAGCTTCCTTCATTTGCCATAGTGCTTCCAATATCAAGCTTCACGGTGTTTTCAGAATAGGGAAGGCTACACTTTTTCGTAAGAATGTTTAAGGATTTTACCTCAAATATTCAAACCTATACAGGGTGTTTCAGAACTATGGGATCAAATTTGTAGGGGTTATTCAGTGTAACAGTAGAAAACATTTGAGTATAGGGACACATATCCGGCGCTTGTGTGTTGTTATCTTTAAAAACGATAACAGAGATTGTTTTTTGTAGCTGCATTCCATGTCGTCTTAGTCGTGCTATCGTATCTGTGAAGTTTGCAAGAATTTAACAAAAATTAATTGTTGCTAATGAAAAACTTTACCAATCAAGAATCGGCGGATATGCATTTGGCATATGGAGCAACAAGCTGCAATGCACGAGCAGCAGCGCGGTTGTATCAAGAACGTTATCCCGAACGAAAGCATTCGGGATACAAAAAGTTTATTGCTATTCATCGGCGGCTCTCCGAGACAGGCATGTTTAAAACCAACATGCCTGATACTGGTGTTGCTCGAACCGTACGAACGGTCGAATTCCGTCTGGCGGGTGCTACACGAGCACAAACTTTATCCTTGCCACTTCCAGAAAGTTCAAGGACGTAAATAAATCTTTCTACCCATATTTACAGGAACTTTTTTTGTTCTTTTTGGATGGTGTTTCTATCCTAGAAATATTGGCATGTCTTACTGAAATGCCCTGTATACATACAAGAGATTTCCATTTATTCTGGAACACCCTGTGAATTTTCTGCTAGAACTTCTCTGTTGACGCTGCCTAATATCAAAATTTCATAGATACGAGGGTGAATTTGAATCATGTGCAAACCCGGCTTGTCCACATGCCCAAACACCTAGAAAGAAGAAGACCCGCGGTAGTCCAAATTGTCCATTTGCAGATGAAGGGCCGAACGAGTGCGCGAACCCGCAATGCCCTTTTGCACCGCCTTCTCCAAAGACCAACTTTTGTGGGAGTCCGCAGTGCCCACATGCGCTTAAGCCAAAGGCTAAAGGTAAGTTCAGATGATCGAATGAGAAAACGTGCCAAATTGCAGTTAGCAATTTTAGTTTTAAGAACAATCGACCAACGATAATAATAAAACATCATATTCATAAACCTTTGCAGATCAATCAAGGACGAAAAATCTACTATATATACAGGGTGTAAACGTTATGGTAGTCATTATTGAAATGGATATAAGGGGGTCAAAACAAGTCAAAAAGTTCATATGACCGATGGTCCAAAAGTCAATAGATTTTTGTCTAAATGGCTTTATAGTTTACAACTTAAAGGTTTTATATCGACCACAATCACCAAAATCTTACTAATTTTTATAATCTAATCTGAAACGTTTTTAAATTGGATAATTAACAAATAAATTGCATTAAGTTTTTATAAGTTAAGCCAAAATTTGTAGTCAATAAGAAAGTAAGTTTCATTAATTTGAATATTTAAAACACACTTGACAACAGCGCGTCGGTCATCATCACTCTTATTTAGAGTTCCCCAAACTTTTTTGTGTCGTAGACCCCTTGCCATGTTTTTCCGTGTTGGGTAGACCCCCTACTTACCTGATATTGATTTCCTGTAAATTTCTAACTGTAGTGAAGTTTACTGTTAAAAACTTAAAGTAAAAAAACATGTTAATTTATACATTTATTATTTGAATTTAAATTAAAACTACTCAAAATAAAATTTTGTATCTGTTATGTAAAATATACGTAACATTAAATAAACAGGTGTCTGACCAATAAGTGCCCGCATTGGGAATAAGTGTCCGCATTGAAAAAAAATAAGAGGGATAAAATAAAAAAAAAGAGAAAAATAATAAAAAAAAAGTTTTTTACTTAAAGTAGTACAATAAGCGAGTTCGTTTATTAATTATAACATAAACGTATGTTCTACAATAATTTCACTGTTAGTTTGATTAAATTCTGCTTCTTATACGTTTAAGTTATCTAAAAATAGGCAAAAAATTAACGAATTTTAGTGTGTACCTATCCTTGAATTTTCAGAATAATTTAAAAAAAAATATTTTCTATAAAGGGGGGTTCTTTAAAAAAATCAATGCGGGCACTTATTCCCAATGCGGGCATTTATTGGTCAGACACCAATAAACATAAAATAAACTATAAATAAAATAACATAAGCAATAAGTCAATATTTTTAGTGAGAAGGATGAACCTGATGCTTTAATAATAAATTATCAACATTTGGCGTCAATTTTGTAAGGGTTAATCTTAAATCTCCTCGGCTAATGATGTCCAGTCTGTTTCTTTTTTTCGTTAGGAGATTGGTAACAGCGCTGACCCCCTAGGTATGACGATGGAAAGGAAATTAAAAATTTCCTCGCTATATTCCATAATACGGGATAAGTAACGGGTATGTTGTTTTGCAGCCAGAATTGCTAATATACGTTTTTAAACTGAACCTTAAGTTCTTCGTTTGTACTTAATTCAGTCAGTTCCTCTTGTATTATGACATTCGTTTCTTCTATGCCACCATATGGATTAATTATCCACGGTGGTATTACCATAGTCAAAATATCCTCAAACCTAGATTCAAAATCTGAATAGAGGGCATTTAAATGTTGAACGTAAGTTGAAACGTCGTCTTCCTGGCAGCTTGACTGTGACAAATTGGGGAACTGAGAAAATTCGCCCCGTCCAATATTTTGCTTCATTAGCTTAACTCTGGCATGAAACGCTGATCAGATGGACTTTGTTTTTATCAAATTTAAACTGTCGCCTTGTAATTGCAAATTAACCATATTAAATTTTGTAAACAAATCTGTTAAATAGGCGATGTCTGTTTTCCTCTTCATTATATTTTCTTTTAAAATTTTATCTTTAGTATCCAGAAATTCTAAAATAGTCTCAAAAAGTGCAAAAAATCTTTTCGACAGCCAGCGTACTTCAGTGTGAAGGAGTAATTGATGAAAGTGTTCGTCATTTTCTTCACACAACTGCGCAAATAACCGCGTATTCAACGCGTTGCCTCGGATTCGGTGTACTGCATCAATGACTAAATGAAGTGATTCATGCAATCTAACACTCAAATTTTAAGCAACTAAATGTTGTCGATGGATGACGCAATGTATTGCTAACACCCCTGACACATTTTGTTTTAAATAGCTTATAAATCCACGATAACGTCCAACCATGGTACGTGCTCCATCTGTAGCTACTGATATTATATTTGATAAAGGAATTGCTTTTTCAATGAAGTAATCCTTCAAAACATGAAATATTGATTCACCTTTAGTGTCGGTTATCAAAGTTCTTGCTGCATTATCAGGTAAAGTTGACTCGTCCAGTTGTATAGAGAAATGGGTCGTTTGCAAATAATTACATAAGAAGCTTTCAATATCAGAACTCATTGCATCAATACGTCTTTCAACAGTATTGTTGCTTAAGGGAATTCTTTTAATGATATCAGATGCAGGTTTGTGTAAAACAGCTTTTTAAAACCTCTTCAACGGCTGGCAAAATTAACTTCTCTCCGATAGTATGCGGTTTTCCGGATTTTGCTATAAGTAACGAGATATTGTAAGACGCCCGCAAACCATGATAATTTCTTTGTGACGTCGAAGCGAACATTCTGTCCAGTGTAGGTCTCTTCTGAAATTTATCTTTGAGTGTTTGAAAGTATTTCAAATCTTTCTCTGTTTTATCAGGGTGGCATCTTCTCAGATGATCTTGCAGTTTAGTTGGTTTGATCGCGTCATTGCCCAAAACTTTGTTGCATAAAAGGCACATAGCCGATTGTTTGTCCGGCAATGATGGAATGGAGCCAAATTTCAAATAATCAACACTGTACTGTCTACATTTCTTTTTAGATTCGGACATGGCATCAGTCATCTGTGGGCAAAATTAAATTATTTAAATAAGACAAAAAATCCAGCAGCTGTACGTTATATTAAAAATATTTTTTGATTTTTCCGAAAACATTCCATAATTCGAACATCTTCTTGCAACAATTAGCTCGAATTACGGAGATTGCACTGTAATTATATTACCGATTGCTAAAACTTTCAAAAAGAAACTATTGAGGAGTACTCGTGTAATTTTGCATGATTGAATATTTAACTACTATAATAACTAAAGTCATGATTGGCGTAATTTATCTATCTTTGCTAACTACGAGTACAAAACTGAAATCTAATAAAAAATAATGTACTTACTTTTCTCCAGCACTCCCAAACAAAATAACACTGACTCACTATAATTTGTGTGATATACTATCTGTTTATATTTTTTAAAATATTTTCTTAGCACTTTCCTTTTCAAGATTCAGGAAACGAATAAACGTATTTGTCCCACATTCGTATTTATAGAGTGACGAATTGAACAAGTCAGTGCAAGATAGCGAAGCTCTGAGACTGCGACTCTCAGGTTTTTACAAGTTCAAAATGTATTGCGACCACAAAGCGAATACCAACATCGTACAACTTACACAGTTTTATAAACATATGTATATAATAAATTTTTTACTTCATAAGTACTTTTATAAATAATGTATATGTTTTGATATTATAAGATAGTATGATGTAAGTAAATAGGTACTATCAGTGTATGTGTTGAGATCCACTATCGTGGACCCCCATATTCATTTCATGGACCCCCAAATTTTTTTCGCTGACGTAGACCCCTTGCAGGTTGTCATAGACCCCTAGGGGTCGATATAGACCACTTTGGGAATCAATGCTCTTATTGCACCTGCAATCGACCGCAAACGGTAACACGGGTTAGTTATCCCTTTGCATAGTTTTGCGGCGTTGTCAGATTTATTTTACTTTAAAGTCGCTTTTCTCTAAAAAAATGCCGTTTTGATCCCCATGTTATATGAAACTTTTTGCTTCTTTTAAGCTCATCTATCACCCATTTACATAATGACTATCATAACGTTTACACCCCGTATATATATATAATATGTATGTTTTAAAAATCAGCCCAGAAGTGAAATGGCAACGACGCAAAATTTGATATTTTTTCGATGCTTTCCGATCAGTATTAGAGGAGGTTCTAAGTAAATATTTAAAAAACCCTAACTTCATTTTTTGACAGTCGTTAATATTCTGGTCATTTTATGACAAATTTTTAGGTAGCTCAAACATTTTTAAATCATGACATGGGTTATAAGGTATTTCCCTTGTCACTGATTACGCTTAGAGCTCTCGTGTACTTAAAACTATTTTTCAGGGGACTTTAGTGGAAATCTAGATTGTCCAAATGCTCCGAACCCAGCGGAAGTTGACTCTGGTAGCAATCCTAAATGTCCCTTCGCCGCTAAGCAGAAGAAATCTGAAGATAGCTTTTGCGGTAATCCTGCATGTCCTTACAACCCTCAACAAGAGAACACTTCTGACGAGGTACTTACATATTCAGATTATGGCTGCCTTTTACAGTATAATAAAATATACTAAGTGACATATAAATCCGAACACCCATTTAAATGGTTTTATTTTAATAAAATTTTGTATAAGTACTTAATGAAGCATAATAAGTAAATGATAAAAATTTCAAAATGATTGCACTGCTTTAAAGCCCTTTGACCTTTAATAATGTGTGGATGCACCCTGATGTGCTACGCATTCTCCAACGCACCTAAGCATGCTTCTGATCAGATGGTCAATGTCCTCCTGTGGTATCTCATTCCAGGCAACCACCAACTCCTCTCGATGTGCTTCTAGAGTCTGAGGAGGACGTTGCAAATTGAGCAATCTCCTACCCATCATATCCCACACGTGCTCAATTGGGGATAAGTCGGGAGATCTTGGTGACCATGGTAACAATGTGACATCATTATGTTGAAAGAAGTCTATTGTGACTCTTGCAACATGTGGTCGGGCATTATCTTGTTGGAAAGTTGGATCTGCCAGGGTGTCAAGATAGGGTAAAAGATGGGGTTCTAGAACTTCGTGGATATAATGATGCGCGTTCATGTTACCTCTGATGAAGATTAAAGGTGACCTGGAACCATAAGCTATAGCACCCCAAACCATAACTCCAACAGTGTGATGAACATGTCTTTCAACAAAAAACTGTGGATTCCTTTCACCACGTCGCCCATTCGTAGATGTGAATTGTGTATTGAACAATTGGGTTTACATTTCGGGGGTTCGTTTTGTCGTACCAAAAAACCCTTGTATACCAATTTTCACTGTTATACATCAAATATTGTTCGAAATATTTAAACAAAAACTATTTTAAAAAGTAAATTTAAACACCCTGTATTTCGGAAGCCACGCATTTTTCGACCCATGTTTATATAGATTTTATGCATTAATTTTAAAAGTTCTATCGAATCTCAAAGTTATGCAACAATAAACTGAAACACCCTGTATATTATACAGAAGTATGGGACACTATGTGTACTTTTAATACCTTTAGCCCCATACCCTGTCAAACAGGTATAATTCTGTATGCGAAATTGCTTTTTTAAAAGCTGGAACAGATTGTATATATCCATTTTTGAAGGATGGTGCAGTTTATCCTAGTTTTCGCTCCTATGTTGGAAAAACATATTTCAAATTCATGCATTTGACTTAGCCAATAGAATTTCATTCGAAGGCCTTACCTCTCCGGCAGAAATAGGACTACATTCAAAGGTCGGAGCGAAAAATAACTTATTATTACATTACGATAGAATTTTTAGAATTAATCATGTGACAATTTGGGCGCAAAATTTTACATTTGAACTTTGGAAGGCAAGTTTTGGAATTTATCGTTCATTGTAAAAACGAACACACTCTGAATTTACTTTTTGAATGCAAAATATTGACAATCCATCGAAAGAAAGGTTTTAAGAAATAAATCATTCACTTTTGCCGAATGGTCGAGCTATTCAAATTCAGAGATGAATAAACATTTTTATTAATCAAGCTGTATAAGAATTGTTTCCTCAATAGCTTCTCGACATAACACTACGGTACTACATATACGAAACAATTCAAAAACTCAAGAAATTATTTTTGTGAGGAAATTAATTCATTCAGAATCACTCTGGCTAATAATTGTCAAACGAGACGAATATTTCTAATGTTTTCGGAGTTACTGGTTGTTTCGGACCATAGTAAAAATATATACTAAGTGACATATGAATCCGAACACCCAGTTTAAATGGTTTTATTTTAATAAAAGTTGGTGAATGTATTTATCTTACTGTAAATAACAAGTGAAAAAATTTTCAGCCTTATCAGTTGGACATTCCGGTTTTTATACTGCTTTTTTTAATTCACTAACGCTCTAAAAATGAATATTTCAGCCGCAGTAAAGAATCAACGTTGGCGGATTTTGGTTCTTGACATCCTTTACGATCGGTTACGATGCCTAGAGTACGGAGACCTGTACGATTTCGTCAACTTAGTGAGTTTGATAGGGGCCGTATAGTGGGACTTCGGGAAGCTGGACTTTCTTTTCGGGCAATTGCAGTTAGAGTGCAAAGAAGTGTAGACACTGTGGTTAGGTGTTGTCAGGCATGGCTTCGAGAAGGCCGTACGCAAAGAGCAAGGGGCACTGGACGCCGCCGTAGAACAACAGACCGTGAAGATCGCCGCCTAAGATTATTGGCCTTAAGGGACCGTTTCTCCACTACCAGGTCCATTGCAAATGAATGGCTTACAGAACACGGAAGACCTATTGGCAATCACCTTGAGTGGTGCAGACAATGGTCACTCTAGGATCAGGAATGGAACAGTATTGTCTTTAGTGACGAGTCTCGATTTTGTTTAGGCATGCACGATGGTCGTGCCAGGGTTAGAAGGCGACGTGGTGAAAGGAGGAATCCACAGTTTTTTGTTGAAAGATATGTTCATCACACTGTTGGAGTTATGGTTTGGGGTGCTATAGCTTATGGTTCCAGGTCACCTTTAATCTTCATCAGAGGTAACATGAACGCGCAGCGTTATATCCACGAAGTTCTAGAACCCCATCTTTTACCCTATCTTGACACCCTGGCAGATCCAACTTTCCACCAAGATAATGCCCGACCACATGTTGCAAGAGACACAATAGACTTCTTTCAACATAATGATGTCACATTGTTACCATGGCCACCAAGATCTCCCGACTTATCCCCAATTGAGCACGTGTGGGATATGATGGGTAGGAGATTGCTCAATTTGCAACGTCCTCCTCAGACTCTAGAAGCACTTCGAGAGGAGTTGGTGGTTGCCTGGAATGAGATACCACAGGAGGACATTGACCACCTGATCAGAAGCATGCTTAGGCGCGTTGGAGAATGCGTAGCACATCAGGGTGCATTCACACATTATTAAAGGTCAAAGGGCTTTAAAGCAGTGCAATCATTTTGAAATTTTTATCATTTACTTATTATGCTTCATTAAATACTTATACAAAATTTTATTAAAATAAAACCATTTAAACTGGGTGTTCGGATTTATGTCACTTAGTATAGGTTGTCGAAAATTCAGAAACGAGGCATGCCTTCTACGGTTGCATATCAACGCTTAGAATTTCTGTGCACCTAAAATGTATCTGAGCCGCATTTGATTAATTTGAGTGTAAAGAAGTTTGCAAAATTCGATTGTCTTAACAGTACTTTATCGGAAGTATAGATACTAATCTGTGGGGAGTACTGATACAACCTACTACTTGGTTCCACTGTTTTCTATCCAGTTTTCATTTAATTCGCGAAAAAAAGGTTCGCAAAATTATGTGGCTAATAAATAAATTGATGGTGTCATCAAAAAACACATAGTAGTGTACCGTGTTCGTCTATGACCAAATAAGACTATTGAAATATAGCACAGAGTTTTTGTGAAAATGTTACAGGCATTGCACCAATCATCAGTACGATATAGGTCTAGTCGTTTGGAGTCAGATGCCGTCAAGCAAAAAACATAATATGCACATATGAAAAACTCAATATTGTGATTTGCCAGAAATAAAGGTGTCATTATTAATGTCTTTTTAACAGGTTTGCGACAATCCCAAATGCCCAGCAAAGAAAAGGAAGATAGAGCAAGAAGGTATCTGTGAGAATCCCGGCTGTGCCTATCAGAATTCTGACCAATGCGCAACACTGTACGATGACGATCTTGACAACAAGCGGCCATCCGAGGAGAAATGCCCAAAGGTCGAGGCCAAATGTGCTGAAGACGCTGGAGATGTCTGTGACAATCCGGAATGTCCATTTGGGAACAATAAAGCAGGCAAGGGCTACTTATATTTTTCATACTGCTGCAGTTACGAATACTCTGAACTTTGACAGATGTTAAAGAGATTAGCTATGGTTAATAGAATCACTACACTAAGAAAAAAAGAGCCTTCTAACCGTCATCTTATTGACTAAAGTAGAATGATAAGCACATGCGCTTAGCAAGGGGGAGGGTTAGAGGGGAAAATTACCTCAGACACACGTTGGTACCTGGTATTTATTTTATGAAAAAATGACCTTTTGTTAATTTAGTTCTGTATTTTCAACTTCCTTATATGAGTTCCTTATATTATTTTAGAGCATATTTCATTCTTACTGCCAGTACCTGGTATTTATGTTTTTCTGGCAACCAACAATATTGTTGAAAGCTTTGTTTAGACAAAAGTTTGGAAAATCGACCTTTCGATGTTGATTTAGCTTTCAATTTGCAAGTTCCTTATGCTCTTTGAGATTATTTTATTGATATAGTCGGTACCTGGTTGATATTTTCTATCAGAACAAAAAATGTTGTTGAAAGCCTTTTCTAAAAAAGATATGAGTTCGATTTTTCGTCGTAGTCCAGTTTTGTACTTTTCTTCTTATATTTAAACAAAGTTTAATTCATTGGCACTACTGCTATTAAGTATAGTTTCTTTTGTTAGTTTTTTAATGTCTACTATACTACTCAAAGAATCAGCATGTATATCACAACTATCAGATACCGTATTGATATTTTGGCAGTGACATGCAATGGCGAATTGATCCCTAAGTTGGTTTTCCAGATGAAAAAATCACTTAAGCGCAACATAACTGAGGGTACATTAAACTCAATTTGAAATAGCAAATCTGGGCAGCCTATGAGATCATGAAAAAGCTTAGAAATTGTTGACACCAAAATCTTGAATTCCAAGCAATCTCTGAATTTTAAAACACAAATACTTGAAAAAATGACTTTGCATCTTCTCTAGAACCTGTTCTATCAAGCGGTGATCCTCAGGATCTTCCAGAAGCACTTCTATTATCACTTTTTTGATTCTGTTTAATGTACTTGAAACTAAATCTCATCAAATATAAAAACTGAGGAAAAATGCTAAGAATAAGCTGGATGAACAGTGTGAAAAAGGATACTGTGATATACTCAAAACATCAGCAAAATTGTATTGTTCTGCATCGTACGAGGACTGTAAATTAAATGATGCGATTGATTTTTTTTTACTTTTCTTATTCAAGTATAATTACAATTTTAAATTGTCACCCTCAAAATAGCTTCCTTCTGAAGCCACACAGCGCTGGAGACGGTTCTTCCACTCCTCATAGCAGTGCTGGAACTCCGATACTGGAGTAGACTTCAGCTGGTCAGTTACAGCCATTTGAATGTTTTCGTCTGTCCCTTGAGCTGATTTTTTAGCTTCGCGAAAATAAAAAAGTCACAAGGACTCAAGTCAGGCGAATAAGGAAGCTGAGGAGCCACAGGATTGTTTTTACTCGCCAAAAACTCATTTATTGACATTGCTGTGTGACAAGGAACAGTATAGTGATGCAACACCCAGCTGTTCTTGATCTGACGAACGGCGCCGTGAGGAACATTTCACTATTCCCCGATCATGTCAACCGACAATGTGAACGCACAAGATCTCGAATTCTGTCGATATTTTCATCGGTTCGTGGACCATCTTCAGTCGACTCTCTCCCTTCTGAAAATGCCATAAACCACCGGACAACCTGGGCTCTTGACAAAACACTATCTCCGTAGGCCTGTTTAGCAAGAGTCCCCGTTGCACTGTGCCCAAGTCTGAAGCAAGGCCTGCTGAGATTTAGCAAAAGTTTCCCTTGCACAGTCTGAACCAAAACCTCAGAATATACCGTTGCTTGAAATTCATCTCACTCATTTTTAGAACACAATAGGAAATACTGTTTCACAAAGAAATCGCTACGGTCAACCAAATGACTCGAGCGAGTTCAAACTTGTACTGAAGGCGGATTACATGTTCCCTTGTTTCTCCTCTAAGCCCCGCACCTCCAGCATTGCCAGATCGAACGCTACGTTGCCAGACAAGATGAGGTGAGGAAAACGAATAAAACCTTAGCTGAAGAACCCCCGTTAGTCAAACTTTTCAGATTTGCTGCAAATATGATCATTATAGAAAACATGACCGCTAACGTCCCTCAAGAAGACATAGGACAAGAAGATGAATATTTAATCCGATTCCAAGCCATTCCTAAACCTTTTGAAATACTATGCCTTTCCATGATTATCCGAATGCCTCAATCTGAAAATTACGTTTTTCACACGTGGGTTTACATCTATGTATCAAACAATTCTATTTCACGGATTACAGACCAAACAGCTTGATGAATTTCGACATACCTACGGGTTATCGTTGGATTCGTCTTAGCAATGCGAGAGACACTGACTATAAAAGCAAAAACGAAATTGCGGATTTTAATAAAACAAGTCAACCTTGAAATTCCTATTTCCCGATTTTGACTTATGAGGTGTCTAATTTTGCTGAAGAGTGCGAGTGATACTGGCTTTACTGAAATTTTATAAACTCAACTTGGCGAATTTTATCCGAAAATTTCAAGTTTGAAATTGCTATTTCATGGACTACAGCTTAAGGGACTGGATAGATTTTGACATACAAAATGGCTCTAGATTTGTCTTCACAGTGCAAGTGATAATGAGTATACCAAAATTCCGTAAAATAAAAATGGCGGATATTAAACTGCAACCTCGAAATTTCTATTTCACGGGCCACACACCGGCTTGATAGGTTTTGAAATTTGAGGTGTCCTTGAAAGCATAATTGAACATTCTTATCGGTTACTGCAGTCGGATTTTTTGTATTTTTATGAAATGTACTTGTTGAAGTTAATATTTTTCTGACAATTTTCAGGAGAAGAATTCATTTGCAGAGATCCACTCTGCATGTATGCTCAACCCCTGGCTTCTTGTGGTATTCCAGACTGCCCCTACGAACCAATACCCTTTTTATACTGTCCTAGCCGAAAATTTCCTTCAAATCGTCCTCCACCACCACAGTCATCGCGAAGGTCATCTTCTGCCTGCTATAGGTAAGAAAATTGGCATTTTGAGGTAAAAAACAGTAACATTTGCTTCTGTAGACCCAAGTTGGAAAAAGTGACTATTAGCAGTTTTTAAAAATTGATAAGGTAATAACGAAACTTTTAATAGATCTATATGACTTTATGTAGGTACATTTGAATTCTTACATACTACTTTATAGAATTCATATAGTCCATGTCCATGACACTAATTATGTCACATGGAGGCTATGATGAAGAAAAAATTTCCTGATGATTTCTATTCGTCATTGTCTGTCAGAGCGGTCCGTAGGACCTTTGCTCTTGGTTGAAGTTTTGTAAGCCAGTAGGTCTGTCAGGTCTGGTTGCCCAGATACCAAACAAAGTCTGGGAGAAAGAAGGGAAGAAGAAATGAAGTAAGGTTCCTGATGCTACCGCATTATGTCTAAACATCCTGACACCTATTCATCTTTTAGTACCTCCTAAACACAGAAAAGCTAATGCGTCACAGATCAGAAATTATAGACCGGTGACTGTACTACCTTGTTTTTCAAAATTATTTGAATATTGTTACTTAGATTGACTAATTATCGCAAAATCGGTTCTCTTAACGGAAAATCAACTTTTACAGCGTTACATTCTTTTTTTGATACAATGGTCAAACACGTTGAGGCGGGCCAGTGATCTTCTGCAGTCTTAGTACGGCTTCCATCTGGGTCAATCATTCATAAAATTAGTTAAATGTGGAACTAGTGGAACTGCGTATCTTTGAATAAAGTCGTAGTTGCAAAATAGATCGCAATACATTTATATTGCCTGTACCAATAATGCTGAAGTGAGACTTGTAATAGATAAAAATAATATTGATAGATATAGGTGTACCACAAGGTTTTTGGGACCAGTGCTGTTTTCTCAATTTTGAGCACTCCTTCCCTATAGGCCATTTTACGTTGTACGCAGACGATGCTTCAATCATCAGGTAAAAACATGATACAAACTGCCCACTAAACAGCATCAGTAACTGGTTGGAGGAGGGAGCTGTTCAAGAAACAAGATCTTGATATTTCCTGGCCTATTTATTTATAAAGTAGCTATCTCCGCGTATGTCAATAAAACAAATTACAATTTCATAAACAAATATCATATATCAAACATATCTAGCTTATGCAATCAGTCCTTACCAAATTCATACTAAGAATATTGCCAAACGTTGTTGGCTACACTATTCCAGCTAGATAATTCAGTAAAAAAATATTGCCCGTTTATTGTCATGCAGAATGTTAGCAATTATTCCACATCAACGAAGCATCAGGTGCGAACTTGATTCGTGCCGTTGTATTGAAGAGGAGTGCAGTGGACCTTGCTCCAGTTCTCTCTCGCCTCTTCCAGACATCTTCCGAATCCGGCAGCTTCTCAGAAAACTGGAAATTTGCTCATGTCTAACCCATCCCATAAAAGGGGTCTAAGGCCAACCCTTACAGCTACAGGCCTAAACCTTTGCTTTCTGTTTTAAGTAAGTTGAAGGAGAGGTGCATGAGCCGCGAGTTTCTAAAGTACCTCGAACGTTACGGCTTGATTAGCAACAGGCAGTATGGTTTCCGGCACCAGCGATCCACAGGGGACCTCCTAGCTTGCGTCACGCAATGGAGAAGTCAACTCATCCAGTCTTATGGTGAGGCAGATGTCGTTGCTCTTGATATCACGAAAGCGTTCGATCAGCTGTGGCATGCTGCCCTCTTATGCACACTGCCATCCTATTGCCTCTCAAAGAAGCTTTATGGATGGATGGCTGACTCTCTCTGGCCGCAAGATATCCGTCGTAATTAACTTAACTGGCTGATACAACCGCTCCTTTGTCCTTAGTGTGTCGAGATTGCGGATCAATGTACAAGAGGACGCTATTCCCAGTTCTACTAACCTTAAACAGTTAACAAAGATCCTTTGTGATCCTCATAGCAGCCGCGGTGCCCTGGCATTTAGGCTTCTGCCTGAGCGGCCGCTTCGGAGCAAAAAAATCAAGCGACACACCCCTAACTCAACTTCCATTAGAAAAACTTCTATTTATGCATTTGACAACTTCCAGGGAAGCCCAGCCTGGCGGAGAACCTGAGTGCGATGGCGACGAAAAGCTACGCAAGGATGAGTGCGAAAATCGCAGACAAAGCTTTTCTTCGGCGAGAAGGACTAGTGCGACTCTTGAAGCAGGAGCTTCACGTCGCAGCAGTTCCAAGAAGACTGAACTGGCAGGACTGGAAAGAGGAGATGCTGAACAGCTGCCAATCGGTGCTGAAGGGAAGAAGAAGCACAGGAAAAAGAGAAGTGCATTCGTTTATAGTGTAGGAGAAAGGTAAATTACAAAGGATCTTTTTTATAAATTATATAGGTATAAAGGTTCATGCATCGGTATTTGTTTTGTTTGATATGGTTAAGAAGGGCATTTAAATACCGGCTCGGCCTCCGTGTAAATAGTGTAAAGTATAGGTTATTCGTATAGCAGTGTAGTAGTGCCTAAGCCAGGGTCCAACTGCTGGGTTAACAAATCATGTGACACACACAGCAGAAGATCAAGGCACACAGAACCTTCTTACAAAACCCCACTGTAGAGAACAGACAAGCCGACGTCGAGTCCAGAAACAAATATAACGAAGCGGCTTGCAAAGCCAAAAACCAGCACGATGTAAAAGTTAGGCTCACGGTAATGTCGCAGCGCAATGGCAGTCGGTCTTTCTGAACGCTGGCCAAGCAGATTGGAAAGAACTTCTCACACAGTAGCCTTCCACCACTTACGTGTCAGGATGGAATGATTGTATCCGTCAAAGGCCAAGGCGGAAGTGCTTGACAAGATCTTTGCTTGTAATGGTTTCACCGTCCGATTGTATTTATTAAATCACTTCTCGATTATCATTTCAGAATCGCAACTCATTAATCCCATCTCTAGCTTTTTTACTTGGAAAATTTTCCGCTTGGAGCGCGCTTGATGCGGAGTTCCTGATCTGTGATCTTCCTCGCGCTTCCTTTTCACTTGAGCCGCCGATCTAACAAGAGCTGAGAATTTTGTTCTCTGTAGCATGAGCTCATATAGCACCGTGTGCTAGAATTTTGTAAAATGTGTGTCTAAATAGGACAAAATGATTGGGGCCACCCCCTTTCCCTTTCCCTTTCCCTTTGCCTTTGTCTTTGACTTTTGCCTTTGTCTTTGACTTTGCTTTTGCCTTTGTCTTTGACTTTGCATTGCTTGGCCTATCACTTCACCCATGCATGTGCCTTGGCAGCGCCATCACCTTTAAGTTCAACTTTGCCTACAACTAGTTTTGAAGCCACTAAATGTGAGGTCACCCCTCATAACTGGGACCTCCACTAGAAGCACCTGGCCATCCTCGCTTCAGTCCAGTCAAAATGGACCAGCTTAGCGAAAGATAAGTGTATAGTTTTGTAACAACGCCAAAGATTTAAAACTTATTTTGTTCTTTAAAATTTCAATTTCAAATGTAATGAAAGTGCTTTTCAAGTTAAATAAAATCTGTTAAATTTTTGTGTTCTGTTTGTTCCTCTATCCTCTAGCCATGCCATGGTCGACACACAGCTACACGCCTGTAGATGTCTTCATGCCACCGACTGGGCTACCGGAAGCTAATGGTAACCCCCTTTCTGTGATTGTGCAGAAAAGTTGGAATCTTCATTGCATTCCATCTTTTCTGGACTTTTTGCGGAAAGGAAGGCTTACATGCTGCCGACACCACCATGGACATCCCCCCCAACGCCCAAGTGCCGTCAATTCAAAGGGTTCCCTACACTATGCGGGAGGTAACATTCAGGCATCGTCAGACGAGTGCTCTTGTCGCTCGACATCAACAAAGCTTCTGGTCCGGACTTGATTCCTGCCATTGTACTGAAGAGGTGAGCAGCGGAGCTTGCTCCAGTTCTTTCGCGTCTGTACCAGATATCTTATGAATCTGGCATCTGCCCAGAAAACTGGAAATTTGCCATGTCCAACCCATCACAAAAAAGGATCTAAGACCGACCCTCAAAACTACAGGCCTATAGATCTGCTTTCTGTTATAAGTAAGGTGATGGAGAGGTGCATAAATCGCGAGCTTCTGGACTACCTCGAACGTCACCGCTTGATTAGCGACAGGCAGTATGGTTTCCGGCATCAGCGATCCACAGGGGACCTCCTAGCTTACGTCACGCAATTGTGGAGTAAACTCATCCAGTCTTATAGTGAGGCTCATGTCGTTGTTCTTGACATCACGAAAGCGTTAGATCAGATTCAATTCAATTCAATTCAATTCAATTCAAAATATTTATTTCGTCATGAATAAACATCATAAACAAAAGAAATTCTACATATAGAGTAATGACGAAAAAGGACAGTCTCTCGATTATAAAACCGATACATTGGACCCTTTAATACAAAGAGTCCATGCGAGAAAGCCCTGAATACCCTAAAAGTTCTTAAACAAAATAAAAAATACAATAAAGAGGCAAAAGAAGAGGTTGTGAAACACAAAAAAGGCAAAAACGAAGAGAGAACCCCCGGGAGCTGGCAACGGACGCGTAAAACAAATCTATACAACCTGTCAGCGAGTAGGAATGTAAAAACGATATTTTTGCTCACACAAACGCTGCTAAAGTAGCTGGTGATTCTGTAACAACGTTTTTGTCAGTTTTGAGAATGTTTTTGACGACTGAAGTTGGTAAATTATTCCATAAGTGAACCGCCACATAGGCATACGATTGTCGGAAGGAACGCGTTCTATGCCTAGGTACGATAAAATTGAGATTATTTCTACTTCTCTGGGCACTAGGCAAAGGCACAAATCTTTCTCTTAAATAGGGCGGGTGACCTGTTTTTATAACCCTATAGATAAAAGAATACATGTGATATTTTCTGCGATTCGTCATGTTTAATATGTTGTAGTTATTCAGATAAGGAGTGATATGGTTTCGATATGGAATTCCAAATGCAAATCTCATGCAACTATTTTGAACTTTTTGTATGCATTTTTTGGTTCGCGACAATAGCGAATCACCATAGACGACATCTCCATAGTCAAAAAGTGATAAAATTAAGGTATTACACAAATAATATTTTTGTTTGGCTGATAAATGTTTTTTTAATTTGTTTATATTTTTTAGTCGCATGTAAGCTAAATTTGTTCTGTTTTTTCTATGACTGCCAAAGCCAAGCGAGCTATCAAATATAATGCCTAGATTTTTTGTCTCCTGTACTATGGGGATTCTGTCATTGTTAATAGAAATTACTAAATTTTGTTCAAAATGTTCTCTTTCAGTATTGTTTTTATTCATAGCCATTACTTGCGATTTTGAGGGGTTTAGTTTAAGATTGTGATGCTTTGCAAATCTGTCAATTCTTTGGAGATCTGAATTTAGTTGTTGTTGTGCAATATGGATTGTGGTTTTATTGACAGGGAGATATATTTGTGAGTCATCTGCATATTGTTTTATCTTTGCGAATTTTACCGATTTGACCATGTCAGATATGTAGATTGAAAATAGCAAAGGAGATAAAATTGAACCTTGAGGAACTCCTCTTTTTATAGGTTTAAAATCGGTTTTGTAAATAGCAGAATCATTTGCTAACATAACACAGTTTGAACGGTTGCTTAAGTATGTTTTTATTAGATTTACGGAGTTCTGCGAAAACCCCTGGTAATGTAACTTAGCTAGTAACATTTCATGATTCAGAGTATCGAACGCTTTACTAAAGTCGAGAAGAACCATGCACGTACTATTTTTTTGTTCTTGATGATGTCTGATATCATCCAAGATATTAACTAATGATGTACTTGTGCTAAAGTTTTTTCTAAAACCGGATTGACTATCTGGTATGATATCGTTTGTGTCACAAAAAAATCTAATTTGATTATAAATATGCCTTTCTAAAATTTTGGATGTAGCGGGTAATATGCTAATAGGCCTCAAGTCTGTAAATTCTTTAGGTTCTGCTATTTTTGGTAAGGGTTTAACAATAGCTTTCTTCCATATTTCTGGAAATAATCCCCCCAAAATGCATGTGTTGATTATATTCAGCAAGGCATTCGTACAAAATGGGATACATAACTTTAGGTCTCTCATAGAGAAACCATCCTCTCCAATGGCATTTGATGAGATATTAGTTACAATTTTGATTAGACTGGCCCTGTCTAACAGTTGGAAGCTAAGAGAATCGTTAATGTTTACATTGTTTTTGTAAAAATTGATTAATTCTTGGGAAGCAGTGTCTGGTAAATTATCGGTCTGCTGGAAGTAATTGTGTATGTCATTTACATTTTGTAAGTGTTCGGGTATAGTTGAGTGAGTTTTCTTGCATGTTATGTTGAGCTTTTTGGTAGTGTCCCAAAATTCCTTACCTTTCTTTGTTGAGAGTAAGTTAAAGAATGTATTTTTTTCTCGGATAATTGCATGCTTTGTATAGTTCCTTAGTTGTTTATAATATTCAAAATGAGCCTGTGATTTTGATTTTTGAAATTTTTTATGAGCTTTATCTCTTAGTCTGATTAAAATTCTTATATTTTGAGTTATCCAGGGTACATAAGGTTTTTCGGTTATTTGTTTTGTTTTTATTGGAGCATGTTTATTCAGAACAGTTACTATATTTTTATTAAAGACTTCTATTTTTCGGTCGATTTGGTTTATATAGTAAATATCCTCCCACCCAAGTAGAAACCCTTCATTTAAGAAGGATTCTGTATCTATATTATTGTAGTCTCTATATTTAATAGTCTTTTGTGATTTATTTATTTTTGACTTTCGAAAGGCTGAGTAAATTAAGTTATGATCTGAGAGATTTTGAGAAACTGCCAATGATTTAGAATCGATAGAGATAAGATCCTCACTAGCACAGATTATATCAATGAGGCTAGCCTCTCTTGTGGCAAAATTGAATCTTGTTGGCTCACTGATCCTTTGTGATGAGTTAAAACTATGAATTATATTTTTGAGGCGATTTGTGTATGCAGAATTATTTAAAATGTTAATATTTAGATCTCCTATCAGTAATAAATAATCATATTTGACACTGACAAAACCGAGAAAAGGAGTCTAAAAAATAAGTGACACTCTCAGAAGGCGAACGATAACTATTAACTAAAAGATAAGTTTTTCCACCTATCTTAAATTCTATACCTATGGTTTCTGCACAGTTAATTTCCACATTTACCCTTGAATATTTCAACCCGCTTTTTATGTATAAAGCTACCCCTCCTCCTCGACCCTGCCTATCATTCCTTATAAATTTGTAGCCAGGCAAGCAAAAACTCTCACTTCTTAAAGTTGGATTGAGCCATGTTTCAGAAACTCCAAAAATATCAAAATTGTATTCTGTCATATAATTACAGAACTCGTCAAATCCAGAATTTATGGATCTGATATTTAGATGTCCGACTGTGAAATGGTTTTGATGTGGACTATCAAATATTGATTCATCATTAACACTCTCCACTCGCTGACCCATGTTATCATTATCCATTATCCCTTATTTCCTCACTATTGCCAGTCCCCGAAGACCAATCCCCGTCATCCCAATGCCCCCGCGTCAACATATAACCTCTATGTAACACTATTACAATTTTGTTCTTATTTAATTTTGTAAACGAGACTAAACCTAACAACCTAAAAATAATTGCCATTCTTAAGTATACATGCGTACTTGCATACATACCCTCACAGCAATGCGTTATCTGTGGCATTAGCAGGTCCAGAGACACAATTTATGTTTTTCCCAAAAATTAACAGAATTAAGTCCATAACTTGCTGCGAAAAATAAAAACTGAAACCACTGCCACATCTTTTGAGGTTTTTCCAAAAAACAACGAGTATACAAATGAAACAGAAATTCATTATTTATTCTCTTAATTTAAATATTCTTGATATGTATTTTGAAATTAGGCATTTTTATTTTATTTAGTGTCCATAAAATTACTGTAAATTGGCAAAGTATATGTGTATGGACTAATAAATTCGTTTAAAATTATTGCATAACAACATTGTGATTCGTATTAATTATTATTAAACAATTATTTCTTATTTGTTTAACCTAAAAGTGTAAGAAGAAAAATAATAATAGGCGAAAAGACGAGTACTGATTAAGCCACATTCAAAGTAGTAATACATTTTTTACGACTAGAAATAACGTCTAACACTGCCTACTTTGAAAACATCTACAGTAATGTTACCTTCATGTTAGAATGCTGCAGCACCCGTCCCCCCACATACCTCACTACACTGCATTGTTTATTGAAAACCTTACAAAAAAAAAACCTTTTAAACATTAATTTTGTGTAGGTCCTCATCACTGGCGTTTCGATGAACTTCATTGTTTTGTTTTACGTAAATATTTAATCTTAGAATCCACGCATTGTTTTTCGTAAACAAATCAATACATTTTTTAAATAACTTCAATCGCGATTTAGTCAGATCTTCTTTTATACGAATCCCGGTGTTTTTCAACAGTTTTCGATTTTTCAAAACCGATGCCCGTGAATCGCTGGAGGTGAACCGTACCAGCACGGCCGACGTACTGATATTTGAGTTTTTGTTTGGTATGCGATGGTATTTGACTATATCTTTTTCTTGTATGTTTACTTTCAGTTTGTTTTGAAACAGATCCACTATAACATTACCCAAATCTTCCGCTTCCTCTTCCTTCAGCCCAAATATTCTGACATTTTGGGATCTCTCCATTTGCTCTTGATCGTCCATTTTCATGATAAGACGTCTATTATCCCTTTCCAAATTCTCGACCCTGTCACAAAGAGTCTGTATTTCCTCCTCGTTCCTGTTAAGTCTTTTTTCAAACTGCTTTTCTACCAGTTGTACGACTTTACTCACTATTTCTTGTAAAAATTTTTCGTTGAAGGTATTGATGATTGCTGACTTGATTTCGCGCATATCGGTTGTCGATAACCCCATAATGGCGACGAACTAGTTGCTATTGACCGTTCTCAGGAATAATGAAGATTTTTCACTGTTTCAGTAGTTTCAGGCACTTATTTCTTCACAATTTTTGTGGGATATTGTAAAAACTTTAAGATGCACCGCAACTTTTCGATTAAACCTATTTGTAAACTCAATTTTTGGGTCAATTATTTCGGAGGCCACAGATGCAGTACTACCTTACTTGCGCGCCATCTACTACTCTACTCAGATGTGGCACGCTGCTCTCTTAAGCAAACTTCCATCCTATGGCCTCCCAGAAAAGCTTTGCAGATGGGTGGCTGACTATCTCTGGACGCAAGATATCCGTCGTAATTTACGGGTTCTCCTCTTCATCCCACAAAGTCAACCCGGGTGTTTCCCAAGGATCGGTCTTGGCTCTGACACTGTTCCTCTTACATATCAACGACCTCATTTCCTGCACGATAAACCCAATCCATAGCTTCGCTGATGATAGCACTCTACATGCAGGAATTCTGAGCGACAAGCCAATCTCTGCCGCTGAGCTGGAAAAAAGAAGACTAGAGACGCCTTTCTCTCTGACGAGAGACCTGTAGGTTATCACTGCTTGGGGACGCAACAATCTTGTACTGTTTAATGCTTCCAAAACACAGTACTGTACTTTGACGAACAAAAAGCTTCCTAGCGCTCATCCGGTTCCGATGGATGGCCGAGTTCTGTCAAAGAGCAGTTCGTTTCAGCTGGTCGGAGTCCAGATCACCGAGAACCTGGTCTGGCACGAATACATCTCGTCAATAGCGGCAGCTGCTTGGAAAAAGCTAGTCTATTTGTTTAGGCCTAAGAAGTACTTTTCTCCGCATGACCTTCTCACTCTATACAAGGCCCAGATAAGGCCTAGCCTCTAGTATTGCTCACACGTTTGGGGTGCTACCGCCCCGACTACGTTATTTATGCTCGATGCTGTCCAGAGGAGGGCTGTCCGACTGATCGATGACTCTTCTCTAAGAGACAGTCTCGGGACCCGTTCGCACCGGCGGGCCGTCGGCGATCTAGCTCTGTTCTACCGCTACACCAATGGGATTTGCTGCTTAAGGCTCTCTTCCATGATGCCGCCGCGCGATGTGCCTTCCAGACAGACCCGCCTGACTTTGGCGTCCCATCCTAACCGTGTCGAACTTCGTACATCCAGAACTGGCCGATACGACCGCTTCTTTGTTCCCGAGGATGTCGAGATTGTGGAACAATCTACAAGAGGAAGCTTTGTCCGGTTCTGCTAATCTTGGGCAGGTTAAAAATCGTATTAACAAAATTTCTTTGGGATCATCATAGCAGCCGCGGTGTCCCGGCATTTAGGCTTCTACCTGCGCGGCTGCTTCGATATAAAAAAGCATTAGTGTTAAGGAAATTGGTTTCGAAGAAAGAAATATAAATCAACACGATCATGCTAAGAAAACCAATGGCGAAACCACGATCTGTCACACGATCCACATGTCCTATTTATATATGCTTGGTGATTCTGGTCGGACCAGCGGCTGAGCGCTTCCGTGCCAGACACCTCATCTCAAATTCCATTAAGTCGTTTGGAGTGTGCCCGGGAACTAGATTAGTTAGAAGTTATTTCCTGATATGAAAGTAGCTTCTGCGCTATTCCAGACTATAGTCTATGTGTGTAGCAAATTTCATCCAGCCTTTTGGAGTGATTAAGTAACAAACATCCATGTTTTCTCCTTTATAGTATTGGGGATATAGTAGTGGGGATTCCTCGTGAAAAGTATAGAATTAATTACCACGAAATTAATACAAATTTTGGCGCAGATATCCTGGTGTGAAGGTTGGCCATAAAGAATGTGTTACTCCAGTATTCAATGTACCTCCAAAAATGGGTTGGTTGTGGAATGTTGGCACCATGTACAGTCAGGTAAGTTTGATTGTATTTTGTATAATTATTCTTTTACACATTTTTTTAATCCATTTTTTGTAATTTTACATTCTTGTCTGTTAAAATTACATCCTTATGCATAAGTATTCATAAAGTGATTTTTTAATTTCACCTTAAACATTTTTAAATTCGAACACTGTTTAATATCATTATTCAATTTATTAAATTCAAAATACTCCGTTTTGAAATACAGATTTACTAGTTATGCCTCTATTACCATTTTTCATCTATACTGCCTCTTGCTTCGTAGTGAAGATAATGACTATTTAATTTTGTGAAGTTTTCTAAATGTGGTGGTAATAACTGATTTTTCAAATTGAATATGAAAATGTGAACTAAATAACATATGAAATTTTTCACATTCAACCACTGTAGTTCTTTTAACATAGACTAAGGCCCGTATCGTCAGTCGTCCCTACAATTGTAGGGCGCGTTTATGGCCTCCTTGATTGTCATAGTCCTTTCTCTCCTTCAAAAATTTCTAGATTACACTTGTCCCGTGTCACCGTGTCAGCGTCAGCGCTCTCCTATTGTGAAGATATGTTTTCTTTTTAAATTGTAGGAAATTTCAGGCTGATAAAACATGATATAACTCAAAAGCAAGCACAATTTGATGTAAATAGATGTTTGTGACATAACCTCAAAATAGAGTTCTGACACGGAGAAGTAGAAAACTATGACAACCAAGGAGGCTATAAAGGCGCCCTACAATTGTAGGGACGACTGACTATACGGGCCTTAATCCTTGCATATTTTTTTTATTTAAAATTATTTTCATAGCTTTATTTTGTAGAATTTATAATTTTGAAAATATGTTTTCATTTGGTGTAAACAAGATGTTTGGACAACATAAAAAGTAGAAAAGAATTATAGTTATACACATTTATTTTTAAAACATACTAAGATTATGGGAAACTCTATAGAAGTAATTTATCTTCTTTGATATTTTTGAAATAATGTATTCACAATGCTCGTGAAACAGTAGTTTACTATCCACATATTTATACCCAGATATTTAAACGATTCGACTACTTCAATTTTTTCATCATTAATCATGAGCCTAATTGTATTGTCACCTAAATGTTTCCCTATTGTCGTACATTCTGTTTTATTGGCGTTTAATTTGAGTTTATTAACATTTAACCAATTCATATTGATAAATTCAAATTAATATCTGACTCACAGTTTGGGTTTAAAATAGGTGTATCTACCAAAGATGCCATGAAATTATTAATAGGTGATCTAAAAATATTAATAGCAATCAAACAATGGCTGTACTCATCGGCTTACACAGAACACATTCGGACTAGAGGTACACTACTTAAATTACTTCAAAATTATTTACATAATAAAACAAGGTTAAAATTGAAATAACAACTAGTGAAGAAATGACTGTAATGTATGGAGCTCTACAAGGAATAATACTTGCGGCCTGACCTAGAGATGGCGATAGTTGTTTAAAAAATATCATTGTATTAGAAAGTATGCAACCTATAAAGCATAGCAAGTTTGAAGACGCCACGTTGTTTAGTATTTGTTTGGCAGCCATCAATACTGAACGTTTTCAGTGAATTTGTGAAAATGGAGAAAATTGGTCATCGTTATGTGGTACAATACTTTTATTTCAAAGGCCTCAGCCCAACCAATATGAAAGCTGAACTAGATTCTATTCTGGGTGAGTCTCCTCCTTCGTTTACAACACTAAAATATTGGGTAGCAGAGTTTAAACGAGGCCGTATGAGCTGCCAAGACGAGCATCGCAGTGGTCGACCAAATGAGGTGACGACTCCAGAAATGTTGAAGAAAATTCACAAAGCGGTACTGAATGATCGTCGACTAAAAGTGCGCGAGCTAGCAGACATAGTAGGCATTTCAAAAAGTGCGGTTCATCGCATATTATCTGAAAATTTGGACATGAGAAAGCTGTGCGCAAGATGGGTGCCGCGATTGCTCACAATCGAGCAAAAACAGTGTCGTGAAGATGTTTCAATTGAGTGTTTAGCGAAGTTTCACAGCAACAAAGCAGAATTTTTGCGTCGTTTCATAAGTATGGATGAAACATGGGCCATCACTTCACAACCGAGACAGAAGAACAATCAAAACAATGGAGTCAAAAGGGACAACCCGCTCCAAAGAAGGCAGATGACTGCAGGCAAGGTTATGGCGTCGGTTTTTTGGGATGCGCGTGGGATAATTTTCATTAACTATCTTGAAAAATGTAAAACTATCAACGGCGAGTATTATGCGAACTTATTGCAACGTTTGAGCGATGAAATCAAGCAAAAACGGCCGCATTTGGTTAAGAAGAAAGTGTTGTTTCATCAAGACAATGCACTAGCTCACAAATCCGTTATTGCAGTGGCAAAAATTAAAAAAATAAAGTTTGAATTGCTACCTCATGCACCCTATTCACCAGATTTAGCCCCCTCGGATTATTTTCTGTTACCAAACTTGGAAAAACGGCTCAGTGGTCAAAGATTTTCCAACAATGAAGAACTGATGTCGTCAGTTATTAATGGCTATTTTGAGGAGCAAGATAGTTCTTATTATAAAAAGGGTATAGAACCTATTGAACATCGCTGGGAAAAGTATATAGAGCTCAAAGGAGATTATGCTGAAAAATAAATAGATTCTTTTACAAAAATTTTGTGTTTTCTTCGTTTGGGTCGGGTACTTCTGGGACCACCCTCGTATATATATAAAGAGAAAATTTTCCTAATTTTGTTATATATATATATATATATATATATATATATATATATAGCTTGAGACGTGGTCATTGCCGTCTAGACCAGTTAGGTGAAAAATAAAGCTTCCGCCTTCAATTGGGTGCTTCGACAAAATTCAAGCAATCTCTTTATACTTTATGAGTCTCTAGCTTTCAATGGACTTTGCCATCTTCATCAGGAGATTTGTATGTGAGATTGTTGCTAAATGTTATCAACGGTTGGGTTGAGGGAAACATTTAGTAGCCTGGTGAAAGCTGGATACATGGTACATTCGTTAAAATTAAGATAAAATACACACAGCTGTATGTCAGGAATACATCAAAACATATTAAAAAATATTTAGAACGAAAGTTAACATTACATCGTGACCCACCTGATGCTGCACAAAATGGTGTGGCACAAGATCATAAGTAGGATGAAACATTTGACAGATGACAGAAGGTTGGTGGTGTCAGTGTCGATGGATGGAACGAAAATTTTGTAAAGTGTGTGCTATGTTGCCAAATCACTTTAGATGGTGTGATTTATCAATATGTTGGATGAGAACTTGTCAACAGACCAGAGGCAGTTGAACAAACTATATTGTTGATGAGATGGACAGTTGAATTAAACAATTATTATTTTATTATGAGAAAAAAGCACAATTATTCAAATTTGAATGAAATGGAAATTTTGGAGGGAAAGGGTGGCATAGACCAAAAACCAGATTCCATTTATGGTTGTGAAAAGTCAAAATTTGGAGAGATGTGTACGTACTCCAACTTTTTGCAGTTTAGCAAATCTGAGTAAATGACGCTCAGTTGCTTAACATCTGCCTTCTTATTCATACAGTTGTCATTCATGAAAATGTTGGACATTTCCATCCTTCTGCATCTCATAAACTATCCAAAAAAACATAATTTTTTTGAAAATTGTCGCTGCCGGTGCAATATGGCGTGTGAAGTAGAAATGATCTAAAATGGAGCTCAGCTGCCATTATGAAATTCTTGACAACTACTTTCATTTCAGCTTGCTAACTTGAGCCAATCAAAAAACTGATGAGACCTTTTTGAAAAGTACATATTATGAGCGGCAACTGCATATTTCACAAATATTTTCACGTCTAAGACAATGATGGTCTTAACGTAGAATCTTTGGTTATTTCAGCGTATCTAGATTACGTTCAATGTACCTTCCACCATAAAAGTTTTGTCATCAATAAAAGATTATGTCATTCGTAAATTTCAGCCCCGTCGCGGTTGGCGTCCTGGAGCGATCCAAAAGTCAATCGCCCAACGAATCCGCGCCCATCGCCAAGCCAAAGGACTGGGCTACTTCCGGCCGCCCAAGTTCCGGAAAAGTAAAGGCGGGCTTGGTGACAGCACTGACGAGATTCGCGTCCATCCCAAACCGACGCTGCACATTTGCAAGAAGGATGGGGCCTACTTGATTACCATGAACCCTCTGAAAGATCCATACTCGCTGGTTGAGAATGAGAATCCGTACATGGACTGCACGCCTATGCAGTTTAGGATTACCAAGAATAAGAATAAGGGTGAGGACTGTGTTTATTAGCAAAATACCTTTTTTCAATGTGTGGTGGTAGTAAGGCGCACGCGGTCAATCCTACAAATGATAGTCAATTCTAAAGTGTCGGCAATGATTACTAAAATATTTTATTCCTCAAACGACACGAAAAAATGAAGGCACGTGTGAAATTATCGCATACGTAAAATTAATTAAGCAACAAAAAAAAATTCTGTGGGGCTTACCTACAGATCCCAAAGAAACGACAATGAAAATTACATTGAACGACACTTAATTCAGATCGCCAGGGGCAGACTGCCCTAACGTAATATTGCTACCTTGGTATACACCCAACAAACTCTGGCTGACAAGAATTTACTCTTGTTTGAGATCGCTAAAATATAAAATGGGCCATTTTGAAGAAAACATCTTGTTTTGGTACAGTTGTATCAATTATGATGCTGAATCAGTATATTGCTCCCGTCATTACGAGAACATAGTAATTTTGACAAATTCGCAATCAGTTACTCAACATTTTTTAAATCAATAGTGAGTATTCTATTCTATTCTAACAGCGTGGGGTAGCAAATTGTCCCAGGAGGGGATCCTAAAATTTCAAGGTCCAGCCGGATTCTCAGGTGGGCCACGTCTCCAACTGCCCCCCCCCCCACGCGGGCGCCCAAGGGAACTTCTGACTGCGAAAGTGTGACCACTCATTTTGGGGTACCGAGTATAGCACTTGTAATGGTTGGAACACCTCCTTTCAAGTTTTGATTGTTTCAAGAAAAGAATTATTAGGAAAGTAGTACGAGATACCGTAGAAGCTTAGAAATTGTATGAGAAGCAATTTGTTATGAGGGTCGCAGACGCGTGAAGATCTATTGAATCTGCTCCAGATATCAGCGGCAGCACCTCTCGTCCCTTCTGTTATCCTATTGCAAAATATTCAACATATTCAAAAATCTACATTCAGCCGTCAGGCTTTCACCGTAGAAGCACAAAAATTGTTTGAGAAGCGATTTCTTATCAGGGTCGCAGACGTGTGAGGGGATATTGAAATGCTCTCTGCTCTGGATATCGATGCAAACACCTCTCGTCGCTTCTGCTATCCTAGTACAAAATCGTTCGAAACCGAAATCATCGTAGAAGCTTCGAAATTGTATGAGGGTCGCAAAAACGCCAAGGAGATTTGAAAATTCTATCCTGCTCCAGATACCAGTGGCAACACCTCTCGTCATTTCTGCGATCCTAATCGAAAAACTTTGATAAGCAGTATCCAGCCATCAGGGGCATCAGGCATTCGCCGTAGACTTTTAAAAATTGTATGGGAATTTGTTATCAGGGTCGCAGAAAAAACGTCAGATTATTCATTTTCAACATCGTTTTTGACTAATACATCTATCTAATTTCCAGAAGACGGTGATGATGACTCGAAAATGTGCACATGTAAAGACGATGAAGCGACTTCGTCTAGTGCCAGCGAACTAGACATTGAGTTCACCCCACCAGCGGGAATAATTCATCCTGATAGGTTCAAGAAGAAGAAGAATGTGGTGCACACTGACACCCAGTATGAACCAGATGACTTCGCGACGAAAAAAGAAAAAGGCGGAAAGGGGGGTAAAAAGGACAAAAAAGGAGGAAAGAGTGGTAAAGGGAAGATAGGGAAGAAGTAGATGATACTTCCTGACAACCGGATTATCATCTTTCATCATTCCCAAAACAAAGTGTTTTTCTCCATTTTCGTATGTCGTTTTATGCTTCGGTCATATGTAAAATATCTATGTGTGTGTGTCGGTAAGCATGAATAAAGTGTAAGTCTCGATGTTTGTAGTTCATACCATGCAATCCCTAAAAGTACATATGAGATAGTGGTATCTTTTAGGCAGTTAATACAGCAAAGCAGAACAGTATATACCTCAATTCTCTATAAAACACAATTTCATTCAGGATTGTTATACATTGATCTGCGCAATGCCAAAAAATAGAATACTTGCTCCATAAGTAGAAGTATATACCAGAAGATCCAGAAGTCGACGACAAGCCAGAAACGGAGATAAGCCAAGCCATAATAGTTAACATAATAAAAATATGATTATAGGCTTTAAATAAAAAAATCGGAAAAATCTATTCACTGTAATGATCCTTTAGTTCCCATTACTGCAAATTTCAGTTTTTTTCTTAGACGGAGTAAAGGACAGTGTCATTCTACGTAGTGTCAGAAGGACACATAGTAACGCCACGTTTATTAATTCACGATTGTCTAGTGCCACCATGTCTGTGTGCACCGTACAGAAATAGGCCAAATCAAACACATAGTGAAGAATAAATTTCCTTTTCTTACGAGGTCGTCCTACAAGCAGTCGAAGACCCAAGTACAAAGTATGTCAAAGTGAAGCAAGCAAGACAGTGGCCAAAAGTAGAGCCAACCAAATTTTGCGATAGAACGAACTCTACCCGTACAACGAACAGCGAGTACAATCTCTACAACCCCAGAATTCCAATCTTCCAAAAGTCTAGTTTTCTCAAACAATGTTACAGAGATACCGGGAAGATCCACGATTTTTAGAGAAATTTTTATGGACATATGAGTCGATATATGAAAAAGATGGTTACATGGATCTATACAATTCACACGAGTGGCACGTAGAAAATCCACATTTGGTGCAGTGGCGGATTTAGAGGGGGGCGCGGGGGCGTTGGTTTTGCAGCGAAGCACTGTTAATCTAATCATACTAAATGAAAATACCACTGGTTTGCGAAATAATTGTTTTATTGCTGCAAGTTGTTCAAGCAGGTATTCAAAACATGGAGGCATAAAATGGATACACCAATTTTTGTGGGAAAACTTTTTATTCGACAACAAAGAATGAGAAAATGTGTTTTTGGAATTCAATCGAAAGTAGGCAGGAACAAAAGAACTCTTCATATAAGATTTTTAGGTATTTATGAGACCAACAAAATGAGAGCACACGTAAAAAAATCCGACTAATAGCAAAAAAGCTATGGCCGAAAACAGAGACAAACTGCAAGTTTAGGCACTTGTTGGTAATGCGACGATGGTTTCTCGCAAATATTTGAGATTCTTCAAATTCGTAGGATTCGTACTTTTAAATAACCGCAACAAAATTGGAGTATATTGGTCAAGTAGTTTTTGAAAATGTCTAATTGTTTATCCCAAAAACACCTATTTTCCGTCCATCACTACTAGTTTATCGAGCAATATACAGGGTTGCTTCAAAAGGCATTTTATAGCAAAATTCACTAGTTTACCTCGCCGATATGGATAGCAAACCATTCTGGAAGATAAATGTTATTTTTATGCAAAAAAGGATGGGTTACGTTTTTTCCTCTAAACAAATTCAAACATGTATTTGTGAGTAATTCGCAACAAAAGATGATAGATGCATTCGCTTTGTTTTAAAATGTATATAGTAACGTGTTTTCCGAATATCGCAGAGCACTTGTTCAATTGCTCACAAATACGAAGTGTTTGAATTTATTTAGAAGAAAAAAAACGAAACCTTTGTTTTTCGCATAAAAATTACATTTATCTTTCGGAATGGTTTGTGATTCATATCGCCAAGGTAAACACGTGTATTTTTCTATTAAATGATCTAACACTGTATATTCCTCAATAAACTAGTAGTGATGGCCGGAAAACAGGTGTTTTGGGATAAACAATTAGAAATTTTGAAAAACTACTTGACCAATCTACTCCAATGTTGTTGTAGTTATTTAGAAGTACGAATCCTAAGAATTTGAAGAATCTCAAATATTTGCGAGAAACCATCGTCGCATTACCAACAAGTGCCAAAACTTGCGTCCATGTTTAAAATACCCCCTTGAACAACTTGCACCAATACAACCGAACTTTACAATTATTTCGGGAAAATTTGCTAATATGATTAGAGTATAATATGTTAGATGAGCACCTAAATTGAAAATAGACATTTATGAGATTTGTTTAGCGGTGCGCCTGTGGCCTGTCCAGAAAATGCGTCGATCGATGATACCGCGTATGTTTCTATTAATGTTGCTATATTGAATTCCTTTAAATCACTATGAATAAGTACAGCCCTGTAGTCCTGTACTTGCTTTGTACAAACGTACATTATCAAAATAATTGCTATCTAACAAATATAGTTTTTTTCCAAAGATTTCCAACATTTTTACAGGCGATCAACACCGATTCGAACCGTTCAACTTAGAAGGAAGACTATCCGCGCTACGTTAGTTCTGATACTTCGTTTGCCTATTTTGTTCGATGAATGGCATTTAAATCATGGACAAAAACAACTTCTTGTATTAGGAACTGTGTGAATTCGTGTTTCAACATTATTTGGTTTTTGGATATCCTTTACTGCATTTAATACCTATGTGGCTATGAAAGATCTCATCAATCAGAATGGAGAACATCTTTTAACTATAAACAGTATGACAAAAATCGTTTTGAACGAAAATGAAAAATAACGTATCAACAAATATTTGCAGTCAACAAGATCACTTTGTTGATAAAGGATTAAAATAATGTCTATAAATCTATGGTACTTACTTCTGTATGATGACTGGCTGTTTCCAGTATTTGACTTGTACTGCGTAGGTACCATGAATTTATGCTTAATAAACATAAGGATGCCGGGTAAAATCGTTGTGGAGACAAAAATCACCAATCCTGCTAGAACCAGGGCACCTACGTTGATGTTTGCCAATGCGGTGTGTGCCGTATCTAATGATTTCTTTACTGGGATTTTCAGAAAAGGAATTTCAAACTCCAAATCCACCTAAAACATAAAAGTTCTCACAACACGCTTAGCAACGGCGAAATCGGACTGTAGGTATTTTGTCTCCATGCCGCCGTGTTCTCGAATACAACAGAGTACAGAGTACTTGTCAGCTAAGTGATTTAAAATCTAATAAAGGGTTATATTCTAATTCCAAATGTTCAGTAAAGGGTTCAAGTTCCAAGTTCCAAATAATAAATAATAAACCGAATTCATTAACTGTCGGGTCGAATGTTGAAAAAAAAAATAGAACGATTCTTACGATTATTTATTAATATATTTCTGCAAATATGCTTTTTCGATAAAGGAAAGTATCGGGTTTCCCATAAAGTTTGTGTAAATGTTATAGTTCAAAACTTTGGACATATACAAACTCTGGGCATGTGTATACTCGTAATAATTGCTGCCCAATCCCAAGTACTACCTCACTCAATACATACCGATATATTTTCATCGTCAGACTCAAAAGTGATAAACTTGCCACTTTTCGATTTAAGCTCCTTTTTATCTATAGTCATCATACTTTCACTAATATTCAACCCTTGGATAGAGTAAAAACTAAAGAAAAAGATTAACAACGTTTGGAGGTACAACATAGTGTTGTCGTGATAATAGCATCAAAAGCACTACCGAGTTCTTTCACATAGAAAACACTTTTAGTTGTAAAGCATTGTGCAAGTGTTAGGTGCCATTTGCAAATCTACAAAATCTTCAATAACAATAGATTGTAATAACATATGTGTATGACACATTTCTATTCTTCAGCTCACTAAGCGTAACAGCCATTACGGTAGGTAATTATCTATAACACCAACAAAACAATGGAAATGCCAATTATAATAATTACCAAAAATCTTCAAATGGTCAGTTACCAATATCCGTAGTTTCAGGGACTCCATCTAATCATGCATATATAATAGTGTCCTTAGCTTCATAGGTCAGATCCAATCGGGGACCCAATGGAAGGCTTTAGAACTTTGTTTACAATATCGTAAATTCTTAACCACCCAGTATAAACTATCTAGTTACCACCATCAAAACGGCGTATTAGGGCCACAAAGAGTAAGGAATCCTGCAAGTTTTTACCCAGAACAAGACAGTTTGGAAGTGAGGAGTAGGAAGGAAAAATAAATCCTTGCTTTGCTTGCTTAATATTAAAAAATGGACTACAAATGACGAAACCACATACAGTATAGAGCACAAAATAATATATTATATAATAATAATCCTATTACTAATTTCCGATGCTATAGCGTTATACGCCTTCCGGTTCCTAATCGCCAAGTCTATCGCAGCAATACTGTTCAGATATATTTCTTCCTCACATAGCTATTTAGATTTCTTGCGTCCGTGTGATAGCTGGTCGTCCTCGTTTTCTATTTTCCTATGGTGTCCATTCTAAGACTTTTTTGGTAATCTTTCCCCTTCATTAGTTTCATATGGCCTTACCCTACCAGTTGTTGTTTTTCTATATCACATCCGCATTTGTGTCATTTATTTCCGTCTTTATTTCTTTCTTTGACTTCCCAATCTTCAAAACTCCATTTCTATTGCCAATAGCCTGTACTTTAACATTTGTGTTAGTTGCCATACATTGATAGATATTTCATTATTAGTACAGGGTGCGGCAGAGAGGATGGACGGTTTTAAAAAAATCATAAAATAGTTAAGTTTTACTCGAAAACAAATTTATTGATGGAATCAGGTTCACAAGGAAATAGCATTTGAGACAGTCAAGTGTGGAAAATCACATCAGGCATGTGGTGGCCGAAATCGTTGATGCAGTGCTGGAGGCGTTCTTGGAAGTTCGCGTAGACTCTCTCCAACATCGCTCTCTCAACTTGAGCGACTTCCACGCGAATTACGCCCTTCAATTCATCCAGACTTCGGGGCTTGTTCGCGTACACTTAGCATTGAGGTGTCCCCATAAGAAAAAATCGCATATGGATAAATCTGGGGACCGAGGAGGCCAATGAACATCGCCAAACCTGGAAATAAGGCGACCAGGGAAGAGAGGGCGAATAACGTCCATGGATGCTCGGGCTGTGTGGGCGGTCGCCCCATCCTGCTGGAACCACACACGTCGGATTGGAACACGTCGCCCTCGTAATTCAGGGAGAAAGAAGTTGGTGATCATGTCGACGTAGCGCTCTGAGTTCACGGTAACATCACGACCATTACCGTCTTCGAAGAAGTAAGGGCCAATGATGCAAGTTTGCGATACAGCGCACCAAACCGTTACATTTGGGCTGTGCAGCGGTCTTTCGTGTAACTGTTGCGGATTTTCATTAGCCCAATAACGACAATTCTGCTGGTTAACCATGCTGTTTAGGTGAAAGTGGGCTTCGTCACTCATAGGCGAAAACGCGGTGCTCCACCGTCCAAGGCTCCATAACGACAACTGGTAAAATAATGCTAAGACCTCACGAGTCAAACGGCACCCTCCCCACCTCTCTCGTAGACGGTGGCGAAGAGTACTACCCATCCCAAAAACGTCAGTCCTCTCTGCCGCACCCTGTATAAATATAGTATTTATAAATCCATTTTCTCACTTTATGTTGTTCTGCGATAGTACTGAGTTTAATGCTCATAATATCACTCTCTTTCTATTGTATCCTTGATAATTTCTTCACTTCTTCCTGATTTCACTTCCAAATACACATACTCGACACCTATTGAATTTTCATCCTTCAATATCTAGATCCTCAGCTCATCCTCCTGTCCAATAAACAAGTACTGTACTAGTAATCTAGCTTTCATTCGTCTGACCACAGACAGCCAACCATGGACAGCTGTTTCGTGCTATTTGGCAACTGCTCAGCATGGTGTAGATTTGATTCAGAGTATAAGTTTTATCAAAATAAGACAGCACCAAATGCCATCTATTACCAGAATCGACCACTGCGTAAATGAACAGCAAATTGTCTATTGGGTCACCTGTGCCCGCTAGATGCCGTCGATTCTAGAGACCCTGCTGACAATGCAAACTGGAACTCGTAAAAAATGACAGTTTGTGCTGTTTTATTTACACAAGTAGGTACTGTGCTTTCCTCTTATTGTGATATTTGAAATATCCTAATAATAATCCTTTATGCCTTAATAGTCGCTCACCTCGAAGGAAATGGTCTTATTGGATCTTCTGCGCATACTTGTAGGCTCTACTTTTATCAGACTTTGGTGAAGTAAAGCTCGATCACGTGACGACCTCCCGGACTGAAGGGGCTTTCAGCATCAGAATGCAAGGAAACAATTATGACAATTTTGATTTCATAATGACATAAACATTCGTTCGTTATTTCCGACCTCAATTATCGTATGAAACAAAATGCACCCATTGCGACCGACGTGTTGCGTTCGGAAGAAAGTGTCTTCTGAAATCGTCTCGCATTGTCTTTGCCCATGCGGTGTGTCTTCTTATTTTATATAAAGTCTAGTAACATGTCATTCACGCTCATTTATTGCGTTTGTTTTATGTTAGAAATTGACAATGCAGTTTTTACTTTTACTTGCTGCATTTGGGTTTACTGAGGTGTTAGGAGAAGCCAAGAAGTATGAACCTGAAACTGCGGGGTGAGTATATTTATTTGAGAATCATTTTCGTAATCAACATCTCAAACACTCTTAACAATCATAGCTCCATCATTCAAAAAATTTTGTTGAGATGTATGATCACTATTTATTGCTAGCAGATGTTTTAAAAGGATTTAAAAGCGTGTTATAATTAACAGAATGACAGAAAAACTGTAGTCAACACATTAGATAAAAATATTTTTGTTAATTGCTTGAAGTAAGAAATTGTTTGCTGATTTTTTACGTACTATGCCAAAAATTCCAAGGAATTATTCTAAATTGAGATATTATGTTTTTTGGATGTTACATCACAAGAATTACCATATTACTCATTTCCGTCGGTTTGTCTGTCGGCCTGTCCGCTAATTTTATAACCGCCTATACTGGAGAACCGCTCGGATTTTTTTTTTGAAAATCGGTCTAGTGGTGGCGGAGCTAGGGGCAAAAACACGAAAAAATAAAAAACATTCTAACTTCATTTATATATACGAGTATATATATATAGGGTGGCCCATCCATGTGTGGACGGAATATTACTCATAAGCAAATACATTTTGGAAAAATCTATTAATGGCATGTTATACATGACATGTGAAGGCACATTTCTAAAATATTGGCAATTATACAGGGTGTCCCAATTTTGACCTGCATATCAAAGTTGCGATTTCTTAAATGGATTGCTCATTCTTTACATACCTGGATAAACCAATTCGAAAGAAGAAGATTCATACAACATACTATGAGGTTTCGGTAATTAGCTACTGAGATGTAAGGTATTTTGTCCAGAAAAACCGTCCACTTCGGCAACCCCTCAATCCGCCATTTTGCAATTTGGAGTGCTCAATTTTGTATAAAAAAAAACTTACACACCTCAGCTTTTATCTTGTTTGTCACTTTATCGAATTTTCATTTTTGCTCATACAGGGTGGTCAAAAGCGCAAATTGTACTTTTTCTCGAAAATTTCAAATGCATCACCCTGTATATTTGTGCAAGTTTGGATTCAATCTTTGATAAGCTTTTTTTTAACAGTGAGTAGATCTGATCAAAAGAAACATTTTTTGGTAAAATTAAAGTAACAAAGTTATAGCCCTTTAGAAGTTTGAGTACCGCCCTGTCTCAATAATAATATTAGGTGCTCGTGTTTGGCAATAATGGATATAATCCGCCTTATCGGTTCACCGCATCGGAAACAAAAAAGCGAAAGAATTTGAAACGCTTATCACGGTGTTTTTACTACAATTTTATTCAGTTGTATTCAGTCAATGTGTCAGTCGGTAACGTGTGAGTGAATAGTGGTGTTTGTTGCATGGCTCAAACGAAATAAAAAATGGCACATGTTTACGAAAATGCTGAACTTGTGGACATCATTCTTATTTACGGGGGGGGGGAGTCTTTACAAAATGCTGCCGCGGCATCACGGATTTATACGGATCGGTTTCCCAATCGAGTGCAACCAACCCCTCATGCCTTTGTTAACGTAGTACAAAGGGCTCGTGAATCAGGTGACTTAAGACCTCATAGGGGAGGGCATGCCGGTGCTCCAAGACCGCACGATCAAATACACAATACATATTTTTTTTTTATTTTTACACACATATTTTGGTTTATCTTCCTTCTACAATCATTATCTGAAAATTAATGACTCAACTTCAAAGTCACCCTGTATATATATATATATACGTATATATATATATATATATATATATTAAAGCTTCCGCCTTTTGTTGGGTACTTCGACAAAAATTTAAGCAAGGAGGACTCTTTATACTTTTTTTATTCTCTCTAGCTTTCAATGGACTTTGCCATCATCATCAGGAGCTGCAATTACATTGATAACAGTAGCAACAATAGTGTAAAATGAATTTAAATTAACTTACAGTAGTATGTGAGGATGTTGCTAATTTTTGTTTACGTTAAGGATGAGGGAAACACCGATATATATATATATATGTGATATATTGTTTCTTATATGTATAAGTGAAATACGTTTCTAACATTCTCTAGTGTCGAATAAAAATTTCATCATTTCGCTAAGCTCTTTCAATTTATAGTGGTTTTGAACCGAGCCACCACCGCTACTACGAAGCCCCCCTCCCTTACCGCTCCAACTCCACCAAGCAAGTAGATCGCAAGGAGTCCAAGGAGTCTCGTTTTGGCATCATTACCTCCTCCTATGGAGGCACAGGTCCGTCTGGTAATGGCGGAGGGTACGGATCTGTGGCACCTATGAAGATCGACCTGGGAGGCGTAGCCTTAGGAGCACTTATAGGATTCGGAGCGGTACTCATCATACCCAAGATCGCGCATATTTTGAGTGGTGGAATTGGAGGATATAGAAGTAAGCTTTTACAATGCTACAATTAAAAGCATTTCTGCGACAGGAAATGCACAAGGGTTCCAGACTCCAGGGCTGCCAGACTTATTTTCTGAAAGATAAAACTTGGGGCATAGTAGAGTCTTGATGTCTATATACACTCAAACGCAAAATAAACAAAACACGCAAAGTTTTGGTCCAATTTAGATAGACATATTTTTTTCAACTCTCATTAGCTCTAATTTGCATATCTTAGTTTTGTGATGATGAACACTTGTTTCACAGGGTAAATCAAAAGACCTCTACTTCGAATCATCCTGTGGTGCGATCAACCAGATCACAATGGTTTACATTATAAAGAACCGCATTTTCTATAATCCGTTTCTTCATTCTCGCCAATATGTACAGTGGTTGAAGTTTTAGAGTGAAATTAACTTTTTACCACCACTTTGTCTTTTACACCTTTGTTATTCATTTTTTTTTAATTTTACATCCATTACCTTCCTGTATTGCGCTCAAGTTTCAACAGCTTTATCGAACAGAAGCGTATTGGACTCGACCCTTGGTAACACTCGCAGTGCATTTTGGCTTTTCAGGAGCGGCATAGGTCATATCACGAAAGTTTACATGAGAGGACATCATGCCACAGCTGATCGAATGTATTCGTAATATCACCGCGGCACAGCATACTGTCTTGTTCGGGCTGCGTTTATCTAAATCTAAACGATGTGTTACACGTGACTTCACCATGAACTTAATACCACACCATACCATTTACTGACCACATTATGTAATCAGGGTGTTCATTTGAAAACTTCTCACCACGGATTTATCAAAAACCACTGATTAAAACAAAAAACACCGAGGCACGTCAAAAAATTTGTCAAGGGCGATAACCAAAAAATACTTCACCCCCTTCCACCCTCGGCCCCCTAGGGTCATTCCCTTAAAAAATTTAAATGACAAGGGTATCGATTAATAGCTTGTTTGAAAGGTCTTTTGAAGTCCTTTATTTTGACGTTTGATTTCTTATAAGCGGTCGAGTCGTTTTCAAGAAAATTAGAAAAATCTGTATTTATCTTAATTTGTTCAGATAAAAACAAAAACACACGAAAATATCACTTTTTATTTCAATAAGTGCTCAAAATAAAGGACTTCGAAAGATCTTTCAAACAAGCTATTACTCGATACCCCTTGTCATTTAAAATTTTTAAGGGGGTGACCCTGAGGGCAGAGAGTGAAAGGGGGTGAAGTAGTTTTTGGTTAAAACAAATCTTTTGACGTGTGTCTGCGTCTTTCTTTTAATCGGTGGTTTTCGATCGATAAATCTGTTGTGGGAAGTTTCCAAATGAGGACCCTGTATATAATGTACATGTGAGGACTTACAAACTAATTTATTATCTATGTGAGTAAAGTCATAGCATCAGAGTACTCATCAACTGAATAGAAACAGTGCTTAAGCAATGTTATTTAGCAAACTTTGAGAATTAGCGATTAGACATATTTTCAAAAGTATGTTCTTTATTTGCATTGACGAATAAATTATATAATTTAACGTTAGGTCTATTATTCTTAGTCATACTCAGTTGCGAGTATGGATTCCTTAGGTAATTAACATTACGTAGGGTATAGGTGTGTATTTCTGCAAAGGTTTGATATTAGTTTAGATTTCTGTACACATAACATAGGACTTCAAAAATATAAATTGATGGAAGTGATAATATTCGTAGATTTTTGAAGTGATTTCTGTACGTTGATTCATAACTGGAATTTGTAATTATCTGCGGAGTCGTTTTTTCTAAAATTAAAATTTTGCTAGATGCTACTGGATTTGGTCCAGAGCATTGTGCTATATGTAATTTGACTATGGAACGTAATGTATGGATATCAAGGCATCTGCTTAGCTGCCTAAGAAGACATAATTGTACAGACAGTCTAGAATGTAAATAATCAATGTGGGATGTCCAGTTTAGTCTGGTATCAAGTACTATTCCTAGAAGTTTTACTGGTTCAGATCTCACAACCCACCTGCCAGAGGAAAATGTAGATGACTTGTCTTCATTAGGCGATAACTTGTTGGCTAAAAACCGTCTTTTGCCTTATTCTAGACTATCAAAACTCGTGTTTTGGTAAGGTCTAGACAGCAAGGTGGTATCGTCTGAAAATGAGAAGTAGAATCCATTATCAATACTCGATGGCAGGTCATTCATATAGGTATACTAGAAATAGCAGGGGGCCAAGTAGTGATCCTGCGGTACCCCATTGCAAATAGGCAAAATGTCAGAGACGGTGCCCTCAAAGCTTACTTACTGCTTCTTATTTGACAAATACGAACGAAATAGCGCTAACTCGGTATTCCTTATGCCATAGAATTTTAGTTTTTTCAATAGTATATGTGAATTGACACAATAAAATGCTTTTGTTATGTCACACATAGTATTAGAGTTATCTTCTAGATCAGGGCTGTCCAACATACGGCCCGCGAACTCCTTTCTTGCGTCCCGCTTCACGGGTCATGTATACATCACAAGGATAAATTACTCTCAAATACCGAATATGCATATACCTATTAAAACTCAATAATAATGTTGTATAGAAAGATTTTATAATGCGGCCCTCCAAACTGCATTTTTTTTTTAACTGGCCTTTGGGCCACATTAAGTTGGACAGCCCTGTTCTAAATTAGCCATCTAGTGTAGTGGTAATAAGGTGAGTGCTTAAAATTAAAAAATGCATTATTAAAAACAAGATTTTATTCAGCTGTTCAAAAAAATAACTAAAAAATTAAAAATAATGTATTTTCTTCATGAAAATAGTTAAACGATAATGAAGCTTCTTCATTTCAAGTTTTCAAAAAAAAAACGCTCATGTGCTACGCGTAATATCCACTCGTGACAAATATTAGCTAGAGTGCACTTACTTGCTCTATACCGTGAGAGAAGGTTTTTATTTTTTTATCCAACTGACCGATTACTTCGCCGCTACGAAGGAATTCATGGTATAAAAATGCTTTGTCAGGAAGCATACTTCTCACCCAGGGAATATAATATACCTATATATGTTATATGAATGACCAAGACACTGTTTTCGTATCAAGAACACCCATGCTATTTTTAGGTTTGGAAGGTGACATGTCGTCTGTAACAAACGTGCTGGCAAGGATAGATAACTCTCTGGAGCAGCAGAACATTGACAGCAGTGCTTGTATGCAAAGAGTGATCTGCAGTTACGTGCAAGATGCTGAGAACAATAAAAAATCTGGAGAGATGGGGAGTATTGATGAGGTCATCTTAGCTCTAACGAAGTAAGTTATATAAAATGATGCTCGAGATTTTGTACAGGGTCTCATAATGGATTTAAGATTTGAAATTATTCTGGCGTCGGCCCTGCGCCAAGTAGGAGGGCGGTGGTGGTGTAGATAGGCAGCGCGAACATCCGGATTTCAGTTGCGATGGCATGGCACCGTGGCCAGCAGAACAACGAGCGTTAATGCTTGAATCGTTCTGTAAGTCGAACGATTCCTATGCGCGTCGACGTTTCACATTTCAATATCAGACAATTAGACGATGCACCGTCGGCAGCTTTAAGGAACAGTTTGGTGCAAAGATTCTGAGCAACAGCTTCTGTCATGAATCAAAAACCAGCTGGTAGATCTAGAACCACAAGACCGTATGTTGTGCCATGTGCGCCTTGGGCATAATAGGGCCGTACTTTTTTGAAGATGCTGCAGGAAGTACGGTTACTGTGAACAGCGCTCGCTACACTAAAATGATTATTCCACGATCCCCAAACCTGAACCCCTAGATTTTTTCTATGGGGATAGTTGAAGAGTGTCGTCTACACCGATCCAGTACCAGAAACCATTCAACAACTGAAAAACCGCATTACCAATGCTATACGTATCATACCCGCACAGATGTGAGAGCGAGTTTTCCACAGCTTGCGCTGTAGACTAACAGCCTCCTACGAAGAAAACGATGGTTTGTTTAAACAATAAATCCGCATGTTTAACGTATCCAGCAAGTTTATTAAAATTGTTCTACAATGATTTGAATGTTCATCTTATTCCTTTAAGACCTTAAATCCATTTTGAGACACCCTCTATTTAGTCTAAGGAATATAACAAAATGTTGGGGGGAAACTGTAAGAGGACAAATTATTTGATACAAACGTATGAAGAGCGTTGCTCTACGAGAATATGGGTCGTACCAGGTAAACACATGTTACGCTCAATTTTTTATTTTTTAAAGTTATTTTATCGCTAAGAGAATGAACCTTGCCCCTTTTTTAGCCCTAAAAAACCCACAGATAAAATTTTTGAACACCTAAACTTTGAAGTTATTGCAATGAAACCGTTAAAAGTCAGACAATTTACTATTTAACTTCATCCCTTATATTTGTACCACCCTGACCACTAACCCTGAGACGAATGTTTGCTCAGACAGGTTATAAGAACACAATCAATTCCAAATCTAACTAACGTAGGTCTTTCTTCGTGTTTCTACTGGTATAGTAGACGACAACGCTTTTAGATTCATTTACATTTTTTGCCGATAGTCATAAAACGGCTATAAAACCGAGAACAGGAGGCATGAGGACAGAGACGGATCTGAAAATATTTAAACATTAACTCTTGCAAGTCTGGATGAGATGAGAGATGACTGAATCAAGTTGTTAAAATAACGTTGATTGTTAACGGTTTCAAATCTCTGAAATGTCCGCAGAGAACAACTCTCGCCTCTTTCCATCTATACTAAGTGACATATAAATCCGAACACCCAGTTTAAATGGTTTTATTTTAATAAAAGTTGGTGAATGTATTTATCTTACTGTAAATAACAAGTGAAAAAATTTTCAGCCTTATCAGTTGGACATTCCGGTTTTTATACTGCTTTTTTTTAATTCACTAACGCTCTAAAAATGAATATTTCAGCCGCAGTAAAGAATCAACGTTGGCAGATTTTGGTTTTTGACATCCTTTACGATCGGTTACGATGCCTAGAGTACGGAGACCTGTACGATTTCGTCAACTTAGTGAGTTTGATAGGGGCCGTATAGTGGGACTTCGGGAAGCTGGACTTTCTTTTTGGGCAATTGCAGTTAGAGTGCAAAGAAGTGTAGACACTGTGGTTAGGTGTTGTCAGGCATGGCTTCGAGAAGGCCGTACGGAAAGAGCAAGGGGCACTGGACGCCGCCGTAGAACAACAGACGGTGAAGATCGCCGCCTAAGATTATTGGCCTTAAGGGACCGTTTCTCCACTACCAGGTTCATTGCAAATGAATGGTTTGCAGAACACGGAAGACCTATTGGCATGCGAAGTGTTTACCGACGAATGAGAAGTTTTGGCTTGTTTTCATACCGGCCACACTGGGTCCTCCCTTTAACTCGAGAACACCGACGTAATCGCCTTGAGTGGTGCAGACAACGGTCACTCTGGGATCAGGAATGGAACAGTATTGTCTTTAGTGACGAGTCTCGATTTTGTTTAGGCATGCACGATGGTCGTGCCAGGTTTAGAAGGCGACGTGGTGAAAGGAGGAATCCACAGTTTTTTGTTGAAAGACATGTTCATCACACTGTTGGAGTTATGTTTGGGGGTGCTATAGCTTATGGTTCCAGGTCACCTTTAATCTTCATCAGAGGTAACATGAACGCGCAGCGTTATATCCACGAAGTTCTAGAACCCCATCTTTTACCCTATCTTGACACCCTGGCAGATCCAACTTTCCAACAAGATAATGCCCGACCACATGTTGCAAGAGTGACAATAGACTTCTTTCAACATGATGTCACATTGTTACCATGGCCATCAAGATCTCCCGACTTATCCCCAATTGAGCACGTGTGGGATATGATGGGTAGGAGATTGCTCAATTTGCAACGTCCTCCTCAGACTCTAGAAGCACTTCGAGAGGAGTTGGTGGTTGCCTGGAATGAGATACCACAGGAGGACATTGACCACCTGATCAGAAGCATGCCTAGGTGCGTTGGAGAATGCGTGGCACATCAGGGTGCATCCACACATTATTGAAGGTCAAAGGGCTTTAAAGCAGTGCAATCATTTTGAAATTTTTATCATTTACTTATTATGCTTCATTAGGTACTTATACAAAATTTTATTAAAATAAAACCATTTAAACTGGGTGTTCGGATTTATATGTCACTTAGTATATTTCCGCGGTACCATCTCTGCTGCGGGAATTTCATTACGTTTATAATGACCACTATGTTTCTTATTTTGGCAGTTGTTGCTTGAATGTATAGATGTCCCGTTGTCAGTTTTTTAAGGACACTACTATTGCCGCTATCACCCATTATACGTAACAGTCCATTATAAACATCAATGCAAATCTGTTGAGCATCAACAGACAGACATCTTCTTTTAGAAATACGACGGTATTCCTGACTATCATTGCTTCCCTTTGCTGCAAGGTATGGGTTTCCATCATTCAGAGCGCATTTGTACATATAATTTTCGATGTCCGTGGGCCGCTGACATGCCTGAGCAGATCGTTCCCAAGGGCGGAAAAAATTCATATCGCACATAATAATTATTACTCAAGACGTCGTCCTTCAACCTCGTGTGTCTGCATAAAATTGAAAATATATTCCCGAGTACTGCCGTTAGTTCCGCTCTGTTGCATCGCGCTGATACACGTGCTTGCGGGGCTCTGGAGGGGGTGGACGGGTTCAGGACTTCATAACCCAGACACATTATGTGAACTTGTTGCTAGGACAGTATGGAAACAATGCGATTTTTTAGATTCGCTACATTCAAACCAATTGTATCGAACTATTAGGGCTTTTTAGGTTATTGCAGATTGCTCAAATGTTTAATTTATACCAGATTCTATTATTATTTATACCGTATCATATAATGACAGTACTACATGGCGGGTCGGCAACAGAAAAAATGTAAACGAATCTAGGTCACAAATTCAACCATTGAGAAGGCATATTTAAAATGATAAATCTAATTAATATGGTCGATTTCTTGTAAAATGTCTCTCAAACTAGAGAATAATTATTATACGGTTTCTTTAAGGTGATCCCCTAAGTCGCATATTAGATCTAGAAATAATTCATCAATCACTAGGGTTAGCTGCAAAAACCTATTTTTTTAAATTGCGTCCGGACAGCAAATTAGCTGCCTTGGTCATAAAGTGAACCAATGAAAAAGAAGAATTTGCGCCATACTCGAAGAATGGACACACATCTGATACAATTTCTATAGTCCATGTATCGAAGAGAGAAACTAAGCCTAAACATAGTTTCGCATACTTCACGTGATCATGCTGCATGCACCGTTATGCCGTCTCCCACTCCACCTTCCTGGTTTGATATTGGTACTGTCTATGGGCTCGACCAAATTACAAAATGCTTATTTTTTATCAAACATCGACTTAATATTCAATGTACTTGCCCGTGCGAGTTCTCGCGCCCTCTAATCTGCAGTACTACTTCTAGAGTTGCCACCGTCAACGCGGCGTGGTGTGGTCGCATAGTCGTCCTACCGCCCAGTAGAGTGCCCGGCATCCCTCTGTTAACAGTAACAGGGCTGGCTTGAGGAACGGGGTTTTGACACGGTAGTCAAGTAAATTGATTATTTACTAGATGTTTGTTAAAGAATAAGCATTCTGTAATTTTATTTATGTCTTCAAAGAATTTATTAAGCAGAATCTGGTACAGCAACAAGTGATAGACTGTTATTTTCAATAGTAATAGCGTTATGTCAATCTATTGTATCAGGTTTGATTCATGTTTCGAGTAGGCCACAAATCCTTCTTTTAGATTGGTGGAATTTTTCAGTCCGGGCGCAAAAAAAAATGGTTTTTGTAGCTGAACCATGCGATATATGAAGTATACTCAGTGACATTAGAAGTGTAACACCCAGAAAAAATAATTTCTTCAACTGGATTTTTTGGCAATGAGGTAGTCTTAAATCAAGAATGAAACGATAAAAATCTCACGAAATTTTATTGACAAGTAATAAGAAAAATAATAATGTGTTGGGCGACTCCGCAGCTGAATACATTCCTGGACACGTCTAGATATTGACAAAATGAGATGGTCGATGTAAGGTTCATTCCAAGCACCTCAAACTTCGTGTATTAGCTGTGTCAGAGTCTGTGGCGGATGGTGCAAAGTGGATAGTCTCCTCCCCATCATATCCCACATATGTTCGATGGGATTTAAATCCGGTAAACGGGGTGGCCGCGGCAAAACATTAACGCCTGCTTCTTGAAAAAAGTGCGCCGTACGACGAGCAATATGGGGACTTGCTTTGTCTTGCTGGAAAAGGACGTGTGGGCGGCCCTATAGATATGGCAGAAAAGTGGTTTGTAGGACATCATCAACATAACGCGCAGCAGTCATACTACCTTGAAAGATAAGGGGTGATCGCCTACTATAGCTATAGCATGGCGGCGTCTTACCCTTCTACGGCCATCGAGCGTACCTAGACAGAATCGCGATTCGTCGCTGGAGATGACTTTATGCCATTCTGAATCCCAATGTTGGCGTTCTCTGCCCCCAGTTCAAACGTTGACGGCTATGGTTCGCAGTCAGTGAAAGCACTGTGTACCTACGGTATGAAAAAAGTTCAAACGTTCGACTGCGGCGATAGAGTGTACGCATAGTAACAGGTCTACTTTCTTCTCCAAACCACTGGTCAGCGATCTGACGCGTAGTAGCAAACGGTCTCGTAGGGCCAGTTGTCTAAAGCGCCTATCTTGACGCTCTGGTACATCTCGATGGACCAGTTAGCTTTCTTCGTGTTCCTCTACCTTCTTCTATCCATACACTACACACACTCATTACCGTCATTGCAGTACAATTAACACGGAGGCCAATTTCGCTATAGGACAAATCAACATCTCGATAGGTAATAATTCTACCCCTGTCAAAGTCATTAACATGGTGATAATTTGAAGGTATTTGAACCCGAGGCATTTTGTTATGGTTAACACTAAATGAAATGGCAATAACTAAAAATATCTGTACTACTCAGCTCTCAGAAACTGTTTTCTTCACAAAAACTAAGATATAACATCTTAACAAAGGCAAACAAGAACAAAGATAAAACGTTGACATTGTTGTCACAGCATGCTTTAAATATAGTCATTATGATGAAAAAAAAAACAAGTTGAAGAAATAATTTTTTCTGGGTGTAACACTTCTATTGTCACTAAATATATTTCTTGATACAATATGAGAATAAGAAGCCCATCTTACACAACTCATTTCATTTTTCTCAAGAGACATTTTACATGAAATCTAACAAATTCACTAGATATATTACTTCAGATAGACCTTCTGGTTGGCCTAATTCATGTCAAAGGCGCAAATTTTGATTCCCGCCGGTCAATAGTAAAATCTAGCATTAGTGGTTCGATTCTACAGTTTCGATTCTAATCGCGGAACCGCTTTCTTCGATTCGTTCAAGATTCATTTTAATTCCATTCGATTCTGATTTCTGCTATTCCAAGACATACCATCAGTCTCAATGAGAGTTACAACTGAACGACACCGCAGCAGGAATCGATTATATTATTGAATGCAATGGTCTTAATTCCTGAACCCGAACTTCAGGTGTTTGGTTCTGATTTTAATCAGTCCAAATGAAGAACGATCTACTATCTATAGTTAATATGGCTGGCGGATACGTTTTGCCGTTGGACGGTCACGGCGATTGTAGCAATAATTAGGAAAGGTTTTAACTGACACATCTCCGCAAGTGTTATGTCGATTGAGACCTTTCGATGCTTTTATACAATTTGTATTGGGAAGTGAGTATAACTTGTACTCGCACATTTATTGATCAATCAGTAGATTTGGACTTAAAACATTTTTTGACTTGCTCGGCTCAACCGAAAGACAGAGGAGTTTGCGTTAGAGATGGTTTTACTACCTGAACTGCTTTATATATGTTGTTTTCTTCTTTGTTTAATACTATTTCACTTTGTCTGTTTCATATTTTTCGATAAATTTTACATTAAAATTGCTACTTATGGATCCAAAAAGAGATATCGTTCCTTTCAAACAGTTTGCTCAAATGCAACCTGATTTTTAGTGCTGGTATGACAACGGTCGAACATGGCTTCAGGAATTGGAATCGAAACTACCAGAATCGGAATCAAAATCATCGGAATCAATTCCTTCCATTCCCTGCTCTGTTCGTCCCTTTGGAATGACTTACCCAGAACCATACATAACATACACATGTAAATAATAATGTATTCAATTGTGCATTTTTCAGCAACACGTTATTATCTTACGTTCTGGACGGAACAGCCGTGAAACAAGCTGTGGAACTAGGAAGATCAGGTGACCCAGACAAGTGTTCTTCGCTACTTCCAAAATGTGCAGTCACGCGCGAGAATATCCTGAAAGTCATATCTAACATTTTACCATCATAAAGCACTTACATGTGTTGTACTTACAGGCTGTTCCAAAACGTGGACATTTGTTTTTATACATATACGGAGAAATCAATATACAATGACGTCGTAATGTGTACGAGAGAAGCGTGCAAATCATGTGTTAGACAGAGATAGAAGCACCGCGTTGCCTATCAACCCGAAAGACGATGCCACGGACGCAGCTGCGGCACACCGCGTTGCCTTCGACGCACTCTTTCTAATGTACGTATTGCACGGTTCTCTCTCGTAGACATTACATCGTCAGTGATATTTGAATTTCTCCGTAGAGCTGGGTATGATCATCATTTAAAATAGGTGGGAGGTGAAAAGTGTCAAACACATCATCAAAATATTTTTAATAAATGACACAAAGTATAATTTGGCGTTTGACAATAAAACTATAATACGGGTAGTACTTCTAAACCTTGGAGATGCCCTATGTAAGAAGTCTAGCAGGCACGAACCGAGATCAAATATTTTTTTAAATGACCATCTTCTGGAAAAGTGTGCAGTCACAACACCTCGAAAAAAGAACAACTGATGCAGTGACAGATTCAAAACAGCAATGCTTGATACCACTCTTTAATAATTTAATCTTGATTTCAACTCAGTAGCATGTAAATATATTAATAAAGTTTTTTTTTTATTTTTTGTTAGTTTAATTACACGAAGTATCTTGTTGATAATACATCAATATTGACGCGGCTACTACTACTTAAGTGCATCTCAAGGACCTTAGCCTAAACATCGACTATTATATTGCTTATATTGAGATTATGTCACTTATTCTGAACAATACAGATCCCTAGAAAGCACCTCTAAGGGTGATAATAGGTCAACCTTTAAAATGAAAAAAAATCAGAAGTGAAGAAAATGGCTATTTTCAGTTTTTAACTCAAAAACTGTCAGTTCTCTAGATAAAGCAAAAATACCAAACTAAAAAAAATCGATTTTAGAACATATCACTTCTGATGTAGACAAGTTTTGGAGGCTCTCACCACGCTGATAATAACAAAAGCAAATGCGGAAATAGTTTCTGCAATGAAGCCGTTGTTTTAGCCTTGTTCAATGAACTACTGAAACACAATGCTTTAAATTATGATAGCATGATCTGATGTTTTAAGTGGCATTTGTAGATTGATATTTGAACGTTTAATTTGGTTACTTGGGAAATCGCCAGTTAAACTTTAAACGTTAGACCTTCAACGAAACTTTTAAGATTATTTTTTGGTCAGATATCGCGGAAAGGGGATTAAACTAAAATAAATCCAGTTACGAAAATCTATTTTCAGTAGCTGGTTAAAAAAGTAAATCAATTTTTACGTAGGCAACATGCTGTAGACTGAGCTGACTAGACAAACATCGACCCAGTTTTAGAAATAACTATAATAAGCTGTTTGACATCAGCTAGCCAGCAAAATTATTTGTATCTCTCGATGAGGGGCCTTTCTTATACCAACAAGAATATAATTCTGTTGTAAAGCAGCATATTACAATGTTTTCTTACAAATTCTAGATATCCTAATGGGTGGGTGTCTTGCCTTGTCTATGTTTAAGGAAAACGTAATTATTAAAGAGTGCTTTATTTTTATTTATAGTTTGCGCTCTTAACACATATATCATTTTATGATGAGGGTGGAAATAAAATGAATGTAATAGATTTCATTGAAGAATGTTCACAATATTGTGATTAATTTTTTACACTTTATTTTGAAGCACACTTGAAAACACTTCCAAATATTTACAAAATACATCCAATATTCAAATAAAAAACGAATGTCTTTGTTTTGATATGTTCAAGATACCCATACACTCTTCCTGGAAAGCACTATCTACAAAGTAATGCCTTGTTGGCTTACTTTTCACATTGGCAGACTTAGGTGGACAGACTGGTGGATTGAATGCCATGTCTGACATGTTGAAATCTTCATACAATTGATCTGGTGTAGTTTTAGCATATTCGCCAGGCAAACTACCATTTCCAGTCGCTGGCACACCACTAGCAATATTTCTTGCAAACATCCTAACTACAGGATGATAATGATTTGACAATGCTATTATTTCATAAAGAGCTGTACTGGCTGCATTAGAATACTCTGGATCATCTATTTCAGCTTGGTACTGTCCTTCACCTATGGATGGATCAAGGTCTAAAAGGATATCAAGACTCCTATTGAGTTGCATAATGTTCCTGATAAGACCTAAGCAAGCCAAAGCTCCATCATGGGATACCTGCAGACTGAGAATACTCAGGCGTTTCACAAATCCTAATAGTCTCTTGTTTGTGATTTTCTTTCTTCGTTTAATTAAGGCATCATTTAGTGTTTTGATGAAATCGCAGATATAGTCACTTCTTTTTGAAGCAGCATTGATTGATAATAGCTCCTGGTATAAGTTATTATAAAATCTTGTAGGATCCAAATTGATAACTTCACCCTGGCCACTGAGTATTGCAAAAACAGTTTGCACACAATGTAGTTGTTCAACATATGTCAGCCACTCTTCTTTCAATAAATGATCAATTATGTTTACTATATCCAGGTAGTATTCTAAATTGATGCAGTGTGAGTATTTCGCAAGGCCTTGCAAGCAAGCACCAAGTAGTTTGTTATTTTTAGAAGTTTTGAGGATTCTGAAATATATGTTGAATAATATTTTGGTGATTTCTGTTACATTCTTTTCTTTAGTCTGCCTATTTTCTTCTGCTTTGGTTTCAAGTAGCTCTTTATCTAGCTCAGCAAGCTTTTTTTTCCTTTTTCTTTCCTTTTTGGAAAGCTGTTGCACCCTAGCTTTTTTTGCCATCAATTTTTTCTGCTTCAAGTCCTGTTCCTTTTGTTGATCTAGATTCACATTCTTCAAATTCAACACTAATAACACTTCAAGCATATCTGAATGTACATTAGAATGTGTCTTCAAGTAATTATTGATTATCCTCAAAATTGTGAAAGTTATATCACCTTTTTTATCTTCTTTAAACAATTGTATTACCTTCTCTTTAGCATTTTTTCGAATGCCTTTGTCATAACTAGTCAAGAAAGGTACAACTACTCTTCCTATATTTTCAGAAAAATTGAAATAAGGATGAGTAACTAACAAGTCTAACATTGCTTCAACTGCTAATATTCCCAGTTTTATTTCATCTCCAGACTTCTTTCTAAAATCACCTTTCTTCTTTATTAGGACAAAAAGATGCTTCTCCAACTTCTTTAAAAACTGTTTATAGTACATTAATAAACTTTCCTCATACTTGTGCAATTTGAGAGTGTCTTTTTTAAGCTTCACACCTTCATTGATAGTCTTCTTTATTTCATAAGAAGGCAAAATGTCTTTAAATACCTCCAATATTGATAACATTGTAAATTTGCGAACAGTAAAATAAGCTTCTTTTAAATCTTCATTCATGATTGTTAATAGTGTCCTCAGATTTGTAATTTTTTCTTCAGGATTTTCCAATAATGTTGCACATAGATTTCCAACTTGTAGTTTCTTTTCTCTGATAATTTCATTCCTTCTAATGAGCAGCTGGGTTGCACTGACGGGTTTAGAAAAGTCTTCAGAATGGTCTTCTTCAATAGATTCAAAATTCACTTCTTCATCAGCTTCTTCTTGATTATCCCCATCATCTGTTTCTTCAACTGCTTGACGTACAATACCATCCTTTGTCTTTATTGGCAACAATGATTTAATTTTCTTGGTTTGAGTATTATCTAAATTTTGCTGATATTCATTTTCCAAGGCATCATCATTATTAACATCCTCAGTTTTTTGTTTCTTCTGTTTGGGGCTAATGTCAACTGAATACCTTATTCTATTGAAAATGTTGTAGGAACGGTTTGTAATTGACTGCTTCAAGAATTCTAGATCATCTTCTTCAACCATACCCAGCATATCTTCTCCATGGTCGCTTTCTTCTTCTTCAATTGTTTCAACAGGTCTTTTTTTGGGAGCAGCAACGGGAGCTTCTTTAAACTTTTTTTGAGGTTTCTTTGATGCTCTTATAACACCACGTTTAATAAGTTTAGTTCTTTTAATGTTATTCTTTTTTGTTTTAGACATCTTTGACTTGACAGCCATCTCGTATATTTATTTATTACTTATAGAATTGAAAAATATAGATTTTTGTAAGTAAAACACGTTTTGTTTATCTGCTTTCCTAACCTCCAATTCGAAATGCCACACGGACATGGAACGATGAGAGTAACATGTGATTTTATGATAGAAGTGGCTACCAAACTGCTCCTATCTTATAATCCATTCACACCTGGCCACATATTGAAATCCGGCTACTCTATCGATACCATCGTGATAATATCTAGACATGCGCCATTCGAATCTCTTTTGCCTCAGCAGGCACATTCGCATCATACTGACAGGGGTCTTGCTTAAGTTTCGCACTTTGTAGCAATTAAAAGCCTTAGTTCGGTCCTGTATTATGTCTTTTAGCTGCTAACATGTTACGACTGACTATTTTTTGGTATCCACAGCTAATGACCCTCACCTCATCCAATTCTGTCTTTATCGTACTAGCACAAATATGAATAAAATTGTCTGTGTACCATCCTCCCGCTCTTCAATTTTTTCCGAAGGTAAAGTGGTACCTTGAATTTTGCTTTGACCTGGGGTCCATTCAACATCAGACCCCAATCTCCTGATGTTCCTAAAGACCCATACTACATGGCTTGAGTCGGCCCTGAGTACATCATCATGTTTATTTGCAGTAGCACACACAAAATAGCGATGAAATTAGTGTATGGAAACGAAATATTTTCATAGAAACCCGACCAAATTGTAGAAAACGGATTTGTACGATAGAAATTTTGGCCTAACTCCGTGACCAACGACGTTGTACTATATCCCTTAGAGATTATACAGGGTGTTTACAAAGTCAAAGTCATTTATTTTAACTGCTTGTAGGACTCGTCAAAAGGAGTGGATATACCAAAAATTACCTATATAAAAGTTGCATAATAAAAGAAATAGTAAAAGATTGAAAATTTAAAAAATAAGTTTATTATCTCACAGATTTTTTGATAGTCTCGGTCACTGCTGTGTTAAATCTTAGCGTTTATTGTTTACTGCTCTTATAGTTTATCTAAATTTGGCAAACATTTTGTGTTATTGTATGGTTTTCAGTGAGATTTTTTGTGGGGCTATTTAAAAGAGTTGGTGTATCATCATAAGCAGTAAATACTCTGGAAGAACTTCCACAACGCACTGACAATGCTTGTGATTTAATTCGTGGACACCGGGATTTTATTTTCGAAGCTTACAAAGAGTTGTGGATTCGCCGAGCAAGATTTTGCGTTATTTTAACAAATGGAGACAATTTTGAACAGTTTTTGTAAAAACTGTATCCATTTAACTTGAAAATGATTTTTTTCAAATAATTTTAAGTAATGATTTTTGGTATATCAACTTCTTTTGACGAGTTCTACAAGCTGTTAAAATAAATGGCACAACTTTGAAAGCACCACCTACCGATGTTGAGTAGCTTCTAAACGGGCAAAACGATCGATACACTATATTCTACGATACGTCAAAATGTGAAAAGAAAAATATCAGTAAAATTCAAAATATCTCATATTGTCAAGTAACAGATGCGTACTGAGTACTGTTTTGTGCTTCTTGGCGACGCCGACGTTTTTGTGTGTTATTTTGCATAACTAGGCTGGATTTGGTTTACATGAACCAATCGTTAAGATTCTAACCCCCTTTCTAGTCCTCAATCCGAATTATGTGATTCCAAAACGACAAAGATGAACCAAAGTCTGCAGTCGCGTGACGAAGCGACTATAAGTGGCAATTCTATTCGGCTATAAAATTATAATGGGTGGGCCATTTAAAAGTTTCGATTTAAAAATAAAATAAAACAAAAACGGTTTGAGATATTGCCAAATTTATTTTTTTGTTTTGAAGTACAATTGTTCCGCTCAGAAATGAAATATTACTTCATTCAAATGGCTGCCGCGGCTGGCCTCACAGTAGCCCATTCGATCGGACCAATTTTCGAGCACTTTTTCGAGTGTTTGGGGCCGTATCTCGTCAATGGCATCACGAATGTTGGCCTTCAAATGGTCAATTGTCTCTGGATGGTCGACATAACACTTGTCTTTAACAGCGCCCCACAGGAAATAGTCCAATGGTGTCAAATCGCAGCTTCTTGGCGGCCAATTGACATCACCATTTCGACTGATTAAACGGCCATCGAAGGTTTCGCGCAATAAGTTGATTGTGGCATGCGATGTGTGACAAGTTGCACCATCCTGCTGAAACCAAACATTCTCCACATCAATACCATCAAGAGCAGGAACAAAAAAATCAGTTATCATGGTGCGATAGGTGTTTCCATTGACAGAAACGGTTGCGCCGTCCCCGTCTTCAAAGAAATATGGGCCAATGATGCCTCCGCTCCACAATCCACACCAAACAGTCACTCGCAAGGGATGCATTGGCTTCTCTAAGACCTCGTGTGGGTTTTCCGAGCCCCAGATACGGCAATTTTGCTTATTGACGTAGCCACCAATATGAAAATGAGCTTCGTCTGAAAAGATTATTTTTTTCGCAAAATCGACATCATTGATTAGTTGCTCGTTGGCCCATGTAGCGAAGGCAGAACGAAGTGGATGGTCACGCGGCTTCAACTCTTGAACCAATTGAACTTTGTAAGGCGTCATACCGAGATCTTTCCGCAAAATTCGTCGTAAACTGGTGCGGGAAATGTTCAATTCTTGGGAACGATGACGTGTTGACGTTGATGGATTTTCACGCACACTCGCAGCCACAGCATCGATACCTTCGGGTGTACGCACTGTATGAGCACGCTGACGTGTTGGAGCATGAACAATGAAACCAGTTTCACGCACTTTATTAATAAACTTGCGTATACCGGGCGCTGTTGGTGCTTCGTTGCGACCGAATTTTGAACGGCATTTTCGTGCAATTTCTGCCCAATTGTCTTTGTTTTGGAAATAAATTTCCAATATTACCCAACGTTGCTCAAGCGTAAATCGATTCATTTCGTTCAGCGGAGATAATATACTGAATTTTATGACAAATCAGATTGACATAAGTATTGTCAGCGTCAAATTAACACGTGGTTCAAATCGAAACCGATAGATGGCCCACCCGTTATAATCACTGCGGTGGTAACAGTAATGCGGTGACATATTGTGTAAGTATGGCTTAAGCGAGATGGGCGGTGTAGTAGTCACTCCTTTTCTGCGTCGTGTCGCCGGTCGTTATCGTGGACGTAGGCAACCAATCATACCACGTAGTCTGTGTCTCATTAATCCGAAATGAATGGATGCCTGGTATGTCTTGATATTCCGATAAAATTGTCAATACTAAGTAAACACATCTGTTGAAAATTGATAAATTACCACTACAGATAGTACCAGAACAAAGAGAAACAAGATGGTAAAACAAAACCATAGTTTATATGACCGCTTCCTAAGCGGGAATGCCATTTAAATTCTGGGAGCGTATCTCCTTTACCTATTTCTTCACAGGATGTGGCGAGGTGTATCTAAGAAATTTATATATAATTCTTAATAGTGTCCGTTCGTGTTAGTGTACATCCACATTACAAATATGAATCATATAATTGTAAGGTTTGCCAGTGTACTTTCTTTAGTGGCATCTTTTAACTTCGATACTGATTATCCGATTATTTTCTTCGATCCCTCAAATTCCTCTTCCTATTTTGGATACACCGTTGCATTGTCGCCAAAATGGTGAGTAGAATGTTTTAAATTATTACCTTAGAGCTAACAAAGATATAGCATGATTGAGTAATGATTATAAGACCATCTTATGAATAAACTAAAATTACATAGCGCGCTTTTTACTTTTTACAGTGATATTTTTTATGCCCGTCTTTTATATTAGCACTTAGCAATTCATGGAAGTCGAGCAGAAGTGTTGATGTTGAAAAACTGCCATAATTGCGAGCAGAGGAGTAGGAAAAAATTCAGGGTACCCGCAAGAAGTACTCGATGTTTTTTAATCATAGCACCGAGCAACGTTTCGGTTTATAAAAATGAAAGCCTCGTTCCGGTTTGTGAAAATAGTGGGTGACTCGTTCCAGTTTGAAAAAATTGAATTTATAAAAAGTTAATAAAGCGTACGTAAGCATCACAGGACTTTGTAAAACAAAATATATCATAAGTTCCATTATATAGGTTTCAATATATTATTGTCAGTAATAAGTGGTTCCCGTTTCATCGATTTTGTGAAGGGTTGTGCCGTGGAAAAAATATTTCGAGCCCTAGGTATACTTCGTAACGTCGGTCGGTGCCCGCCTAGCCCGCCGTACTACAGTATATTCAGATAAGAGATAGACCGGATGTAAACAAAAGGTTCGGGTGATTTTCACGCTAACGTCGCCGTCTCGACGTAAAACAGGAGCCCTCAATGGTCAATTCGCAATTAAATGCCTATGCCGAGCGGCAGAGCAGTCGTATCAAGGCAGAGTCACATTCAGGTTCAGACGTGTTACGTATGTCGTGTGCATCATTGCAATTTGATATTTCTTTGGACGTTTTCGTTTGTTATCTTATTAAGTTGTTGAGTTTGTCGTTGTTATTGTTATACCTTGTTATTGATTGTTATTGTTATCAACTGCTTGCGCAAAATGCCCAGTAGTACAGATACTGCCGATGAAGTTGTAAACTCCTGTAGTCCACCTAGGAAACGCTCTAAAAAAAGACACCTGAGTGCAGAAATGAAAGAGGTCATTTTGAATATATATAAGATCGAGCGCGAGGAGAACGAGGCATCAACCATCAAAGAAATTGTTGTGAAGGTTTCTCACAAAGTTGGGGTGTGTCGCGCATCAGTGTTTAATGTGTTAAGACAATACAAAAAAAATCACACCTTTTCTGAGCCAATGACCAGTAAACATCGCAAAAGTATTGTTAAATCATTGGATGAAGCTGATAAGCATGCGATTAAGAGGAAAGTGCATGAATTCTTCTTTAGGAATGAAATACCTACTATAGATAAAGTACTGCAGGAGGTAAATGGAGATACAACGTTGCCAAATTTCAAACGATCAACTTTCCATGCGTTACTGAAGCATTTAAATTTCAAATGGAAAAAATGGGGTCGTAATAGTTTACTACTGGATAGAGAAGAAATTGTGCTATGGAGGAGGGATTATTTAACAAAAATTGGGAAATATAGAAATCAAAACAGGAAGATTTATTACCTTGATGAAACGTGGGTAAACGCAGGACACACTACAAGTAAAGTATGGTTGATGATTCTGTAACTTCATCCAGGAGGGCCTTTCTAGATGGACTGTCCACCGGATTAAAAAATCCAGCAGGTAAATACGAATAATAGACAATAGACAATAGACAATCGGATGTTTTTCAAACCTTGGGAACCAGGTTCTAAACATTAATTCCAGGCTGCAGATAAAACATATTACAAGTAACAAAACTTTTATAACTTTCGATAAAATGCGTGGATGTTTTATTGTCATTTTCATTTGTTAGAACTTTTTTAAGCCATGTTTTTATGTGTTTTCGATATTTCAATAATTTTTTAATATAATCTTAAAATATGTCGAATATTATAAACTTAAAAAAAGTTACTAAGTTTTATATTGTGTACCGTTCCTAATATTTCTAATTATTTTAATTCATACTTTAAGCTTTATAAAGTTATAATTTGTTAATATTAATATTTGCGCGTATTTCAGGTTCCTGATCATTCATTTTTTAAAGGTTTATAACTTTAAATTAAATTGTGAAGCGCTGAGTAATCATACGACGTTCAATATTCTTTCTTTCAATATGACTAAATAATCCCAATTATAGCAATCTGATACTCATGTCTCAATGTTTTTTCGCTGAATGTGATGAAAACATTTGAAAAAGTTTCGCTTATTGAAACAAATCTACACCAGTTAGTACTTCGATTTCCAGGTAAAGGGAAAAGGCTCATTATCTGCCATATTGACAGTGAGGATGGATTTGTTGTTGACGGTCTGTGGTGCTTTGAGTCTAAGAAAACTGGAGATTACCACGAGAAAATGAATGGCGAATCGTTTGAACAGTGGTTTTTAAAAATTTTACCGAACTTAGAGGAAAACGCAGTAATTGTGTTGGATAATGCACCTTATCATTCTCGAAGAATGGAGAAGGTCCCAACAACGGCTTCAAGGAAAGTTGATGTTCAAAATTGGCTCCGCTCGAAAAATATCAACTTTGAAGAAGCAATGCTGAAAGTACAATTATTAAGAATTGTCAAGGATCACAAGGCGGAATATCAAAAATACGCCATTGACGAAATGGCAGCAAGTCAAAATAAAACTGTGCTCCGTTTACCTCCATACCATTGCGAGCTCAATCCCATTGAGCTCATATGGGCAGAGGTTAAAAATTATATAGCTAAGCACAATACAACTTTTAAATTTTGTGACCTCAAAGGACTTTTCATACCATTGCGAGCTCAATCCCATTGAGCTCATATGGGCAGAGGTAAAAAATTATATAGCTAAGCACAATACAACTTTTAAATTTTGTGACCTCAAAGGACTTTTCAAAGAAGCACTAGAATTAATAACAGCGCAAAAAAGGGAAAACTGTATTAAGCACGTGAAAGACAAAGTTGAAAAGAGAATGTGGGAACTGGACAATATTTTAGAGGAACAAGTCGAGCCATTCATTATTGACGTTGGTGCTTCAGGCAGTAGCGATGATGAAAGCTCATCAAGCTCATCTTTCCAATAAAAGATGTCGTTCATCAAATTCGGTAAGTTATAAGTAATTATAAAGCTACTGTATTTTTTAATTAATTATTGACATTTTTGAACCCATTTTGGCAAAACCTATTCAAGAATCTACTTTCTGACAATGTTCAACCATGCACATTTTTTTACGTTTTGAACGTTTTAATTTGGTTACATATTTACCTAAAAATCAAATATACTAATCAATAGGTATTCTAAAAGCAATTTTAAGAGATATACGATTATTTTTAATTTAGGCTAATTTAAACGCCATTTTGAGATTATATTCGACTGTATTTCACCAAACATCAGGCGGCATCCGAAGCTGGAAATCGAAGCGAAAATTTTTAAACCCTTATGTATATTTACATCATTATATATTTCTTAGCCCACCCCCACATGATCCTATATCCATCACCAACCGTATACACATCGAATTGTGCTAATTTACTACAAAGTTACGCAAAGCAGCATCTACTATCTAAAATATGTACTGCGTGACTCTTAATACGTCCCTGCCGAATGTTACAGCGTTCGATGATCACGTGGTCTTGTTTATGTCCGGTCTATCTCTTATCTGAATATACTGTAGAGACGGAGCTTGGAGCTACCCATCGACCACTATCCCGCTTGCAGTGGCGTGCGATATCGTCAGCTGATTCCTTCCTTTTCGGTACCCGAGTATATGAGAGATTTTAGCTTTCCGCCCGCGGTTTTACTCGCGAAACGTGTAGGTCGGAAGTTCATTGCATCACTTAAAAACAATGTTTTGTGTTATTGATAGTGTTTCACCGCTATGTTGCCGCTTGACTACTGTTGCTGTACTGAAAAGAGTGAAAAGGATAAAATTTTTAAATAGTGTCGTTGAAATTCATCAAGGACACTTGCGTCACGCAGCGGCGTCTATGGAAAAATGGTTATTTATTATTCAAGGGAAAAAGTACTTGATTTTAGCTAGACAAAAAAATCTATATTTTCCCGTGTATAATACACACTTTTTTTCTATGACGGGAAAACCGACGATTTAATGTTGAAAAATTATATTATTGCAATATTTAATTCAGAAAATTATCGAAGTGAAATTTGAATTTTGAAATGAGTAGGCTATGTTGTACTTATAGCGACAATTAGACCTGCGTTGCTAAGGAAACTTTTAAAGCAATAAATAGCTGTTAAATTAATTTTGTGATTTGATTTAAAAATTGTAAAATTAGTGGTTGTTTAGAAGTTATTTTCAATATTATAAAGTAAAAAATGTCAGCTAAATCGCGGAAAATTTACAAAACCGCGTATTCAAGATTCATGGAATGGAAGATGAAAAAAAAACATGCAGTTCTTTGTCGGAGACGGTGTTATTGGCTTATTTTTCGGAATTGGCACAACAACAAAAGTCATCAATATCCGGGGGAAGGTACTAATTTTTTGCTGGGGAAAAAAATTTCGTAAGAAGTGACATTTTGTTACCTGTCAACAGAGATAAAATGTCAAACTTTTTTCCGTCACAGAAAAAAGTATGTTTTTATACTGTGCGTGCACACACAATACATGTTTTTTGAGAGCAACGTCTCTTGGAAAAATATTGATTTCTTTTTTTGAACTTGTATAATGAGCACAGGTACTAGTCGCTCTTCAAGCTCATTTGCAACCATTCTGGAAACTCATTTTCCTATTCTTATTTATATAAGATAGTAAATATTTTTTCCTTTAACCCATGAACCTGAAACCTCATCACCTGACATTTTAATATTCAATTAAAAACAGACGTGCTTTGGTTCCCTTATTGCTTGTTCGGTGATGGGGTAATGACGGTGATCTAATGGTTTGTACCTACGAGGCACGTCCAGAAAGTAAGTGTACTGGTATTCTCACAGCTGTAGAGAATACTTTTTCGACATGTTGGCAACACTGCCGCGTAGCCTGACCCCTCCCCTTCAAAAAGAGACCAATCTGAGGTTAGTGTGTTGAAAACTCTTGACGCAGTAACATCTCTCGCGA